ATCCAGCAGCGCATCCGCCTCTCGTATCGGACTTTCTTACGCCCTCATTTCCGCCACATCCCGCAAGCCCTCCTCGGCCTCGTCCTCACCATCGCCGCCATCAATGCTGCCACTCATGGCCTCCACACCTCTCCTACCCCTCCCCCGGCCACCCTTCTTCCCCCCACCTTCCCCATCCCCTCCCCCACCTCCCCCACCCCCTCCCCCACCTCCCCCATCCCCTCCGCCACCTCCCCCATCACCTCTCCGATATTTCCACCCCTTCCCCCCGACTCCCCTCCACCTCTTCCCCCCGACTCGCCTCCACCTCTTCCTCCTACTTCGCCTCCACCTCTTCCACCTGCCTTGCCTCCACCTCTTCCCCCCGACTCGCCTCCACCTGCCTCGCCTCCACCTCTTCCCCCCGACTCGCCTCCACCTGCCTCGCCTCCACCTGCCTCGCCTCCACCTCTCCCCCCCGACTCGCCTCCACCTCCTTCCCCCGACTCGCCTCCACCTCCATTCCCTGCGGATCCTCCACCTCCTCTTCCTACCAATCCTCCGTCTCCTCCGTCTCCACCCTCCCCCGCCACCACCGCCACCACTGCCCGCTCCCCACCACCGCCACGACTCCTCCCACGCCGCCGTGCTCCCCCCCGCCGCGCCCCTCCTCCCCCACCACATCTGCGTAACCCCGTCACTCACCTCCCCGACCCCGCCGTCGCCGGCATTATCTACGCCATCACCTTCCACGCAGACCCCTTGCAGCGTATCTATATCGGCCAGACACGCAATACGTTAGCGGATCGTATGCAGTCGCACTTGGATCTAGTTCGGAGCTCCTACCGCCACGGTCACCCACTCGGGCCGCTGCAGCAAGCTTTCGTCACCTTCACCCTCTCCCGGGCCTACTTTCTTGTCCTCGAAACCCTTCCCGCCCCCTTCCATGAGACCGACGCTAATGACCGCGAGGCCTACTGGGCCCATGCTGTCGGAGCTTTCAGCCCTGCCGGCTACAACGTCCAACGTATTAAAAGCAGTCTCCTCGACGTCTCCCTTCCCACCACCCCCACCCCCACCCCCCCACCTCCTCATCCTCCCCCCCACCGCCCTCTCGCTGGTCGCTGGTATGCCTCCCGCGACTTCCGCCGCCGCCTTCAGCACATCTTCCTTCTGCTCCAACGCGCCTCCATCGCCCTCCCCGACCGCCTTGGTCCCCTTCCCTCTTACAAGCTCCTCACCCTCCGCAAGCTCTATTACCACCTCCTCCGCCTCCCTCTCCCCTCCATCCACCGCCACATGACCGAAAGCCATCGCCTCACTCTCCTTCGCCTCCTCCACCGTGCCATCGCCACCGCCCAACGCAGCCAACTACGCCAGCGGCCCCCTTACCACCTCTCCCTCGCCCTCCCAGCTCCCCTCGCACCTCTCCTCCCTCTCGCCCGCGCCCGCGCCGCCCTCCGCACTCCTGGTGTCCTCCTCGCCCTGCCAGCCCATGTCCCACCTGTTCCCGCCCTCACCTACGCCAGCCCGCCTTCCCTCCGCACGCACCTCGTCAATGCCGCCACCCTCAGTCGCAACGCCCGCTGCTCCATCGCCTGCACCTGCCACCTCTCTCCCCTGCCGCGCCATCCCATTGCCGGCCATGTCCTCACCACCGACCCCGCTGCCATCCTCTCCCCCGACGCCCTCTACCTCTGGCGAGCAGGCGCCAACACACGACTTCCACCACCACTCCTCCAGCTGTCCAATGCGGACGACCGCGACAGCCTCGCCTCCTCCCTTTCCTCCGCCCTCTCCACGTACACAAGGCGTCTCCACCACCTCCGTGTCCCCACCGCCGAACTCGACCCCTGGCGCAAAGCTGCCTACACCGCCCTCCTTCACGCCATCCATCCCTCCCTCGCCCCCCACGCCCCGTCCGACGTCACCCTTTCCCCTTCCTCCTCCTCCTCCCATCCGCACGCCCCCTTCCCCACCTTTCCCCTGTCCCCCGACCGCCTCGCCAACGCCCTCCAAGAGCTCCTCCACCTTCGCCAGCGCTATGCCATCTCCGTCATGGACAAGTGCCCCAACAACTTCGCCCTCTTCTGCCCCGCCCTTTACCACAGCCGCATTTCCGATGACCTTCAGCAATCCACCTTCTACGCTCCTCTCTCTCTCTCCACCTACCACCAGCTGCTCGCCCAAGCGCGCCTCACCCTCGCACCCCTCCACCTTCCCATCCACCTGCACCTTTCCCCCCCTACCTACTACGCCACATACAAAGCCCACAAGGCCCAGCCCGATTTCCGTTTCATCACCGCCTCTCCTCGCATCCCCACCACCCAAGCAGCCAAAATCCTCACTGCAGCCCTCCGCTCCCTCGACGGCGAACTCCCCAAGCTCTTCCGCACCGTCATGCCCGGCATCCAAGCCCGCCCCTGGCACCTCGCCGGCCCCCAGGCCGCTGGGGAACTCGTCCAAGCTGCCAACCTCTCGCCCCGCCTCGCCAGTCCCCACACCCATGCCGGTACCTTCCTCCATTATGACGGCCCCCACTCCCCTCCTCCTCTCCTCACCCCCTCCGCGCCTTCCCCTCCCCACCTCACCTCCACCATCCGCGACACCTACCAGCGCCTCTGCGTCCCCTACAACAGCCCCGAGCCTCGCTACCCCCTCCGCTCCCGCCGTGGCCAAGCCGCCCAGCCTGCCCCGCCTACCGCCCCCGCCCCCTCCCCCACCTCCCCACCCCCCCGCCCCTACCCCCCTTCCCTCCTCCTTCCTCAACCCTTTACCCTCCGCCACCCTCCCCATCCACACTTCAGCCTACCTCAACTCCCATTTCGCCAGTCAGCCCCTCGCCTCCGCTCCCACCCTCCAGTCCTACGACGTCGAGCGTCTGTTCACCAATTTGGACATTGATGCTACAGTACGTGACATTTGCGCATTGGTGGACGACATCCGCACACACCTCCACCCCAACGCCGTTGGTTTCAAGTTCTACCCTGCCAAACGCAACACTCCTGCTACCTGGCTCACCGCGGAGAAATGGCCGACCAAGAACAACCAACCGCTTTCCCGTGGCAGCGACATTCTGGGCGCCTATTACTGCTGGACCCTCCCACAGTTTGCGGATGTACTGCTCACTCTGTTGCGCAACGCTTACGCTGCCTACCGTGGCCAGCTGTATCAGCAAACGCGGGGTGTTGCCATGGGCGCCAACTTCGCCACGTACGTCGCCAACATGGCCTTGTGTGCTCACGAGTACCGCTTCCTCCGCACCCTCTACTGCGCCGCCTTCCAACCACATGCCCTCCTTCCACCACTCCCCCTTCCACCCAGCCTCGCGCTGGATATCCTACTTGCCTTCCAACAGACATACCGGTTCGCCGACGACCTCCTCAGCCTGGACAATCCATTCCTCCCCCACCTCCTCAGCGCCAACCAGCTCTTCCTTGGGCTGCTACCCGGCATCTACCCCATCTCCCTCACTCTTACCTCCTCCGGCGCCTCCTCCCACACCACTCCCTCCCTCCCCTACATGAATTTTGCCATTACCGCCTCCGCCTCCACCCTCCCCGGGCACCTTCTCTTCACCCTTGCTCCCTACGACAAGCGCGACGGCCCCAAGTTTCGCCACCTCCCTATCGTCCGCTACACCCTCTTCACCAGCACCCTTCCCCACCACAGCAAACTTAACCTCGTCATTAATATCCTTATGACGCACGCTCGGTTCAGTTCCACCGCCTCCGCCTTCACCTCCGCCGCCCAAGATGCTATGCGCCACCTCCATCTCCGCGGTTATCCACGTCCTTTCCTTCTCCTCGCCCTCCGTCGGTTCTTCCGGCTACACCTTCACCTCCTCCCTCACCACCCCCGTTGGTCACAGCTGCAGCGTACGCTCCTACCTTCCTAATGCCTTGTTGTCTCTTCTGGTTGCTCTGTGGCAGCAGCAGCGGTCATGACGGCAGATACAGCAACAGCTCTGGGCTCACGGACGCTTTGGGCTTTCGGACCTGCGCCGTCGCTTTCGTGGGCCGTGGCGTCCAGTTCAGCGGCGGCAGGGTTTGCGGACCTTAGGCTAGCGGGTTGGCTGGTGGTTATGCGGTCCACTGACGGTGGGTCGTGCCGTGGCAGTTTTAGGTTGCCCTTTGTCGCGGTACGGCCCGGGGCACGGTGTGGTTGCGTGGTCGCGTGTTTTTGGGTTTAGGTTGTTTTTTCTGCAGCCGGGCAGGCTGAGCAGGGTCGGGATTTTTAGGTCGTCTCGGGTTTGGGAGAGGGGCGGGGTTTTTGTTGTGGTCGTTGTGGTCGTTGGTCTTTGTTGTGGTGCTGTTTTTGTTTTCGGGGGGTTTTGGGGGGTTTGTTGCGGCCCTGCCGCTTTTGCTTTGCCCTGTGGCATGTAAGCATCTGGGGTGCTCCCCTTCGAGCCCGGTCACTCCCCACTGCACTGCACCGCATCCCACACGGCCGTGCCCCTCTGCTGGCCTTTGCCTGTTCGCTGCACGCATACCATTGCACCTTCAGCTTGCTCCTAGACAACGCTACCGTCGTCTTGTTTTTAGACAACGCTACTTCTCAGTGCGGTTCAGCTGACCGCGGCAGCCACAGCTCAGCGTCTGCTCGACCACTCACGCCGGTTGTGTTTGTTTTTTGTCTTCTGCATTTGCATTCATGTTGTGCTGTGCTTGTTTTTCGTCCTGTATCGCATGCCATCCTGTTTTTGCCGTACATTTCGCACTTAGATATAGGTTCATTTTGTCTCTAACTCTGTCCCCCTTTCCTCGCTCTGGTTCATGCTTCTGCGCATGGCATTACTCGCATTACTGCGGCTGCTGGTTCTGGTGCTGACTACGGCGTCTTTGCTCGCAGGTACGCAATGCGCGTTTGCACGCACGCATGCACAGCATTGTGGTGTCTCGTCTGCGTGTCCAGAGCGGGGGCTCCCGGCGTCGAGCTTTGGTCAGCGGGCTTTAGTTCTCGGTAGTATTTTAGTTTATTCCGACACGATCAGCATCACCGACATGCGTCGTCACTCATCACTCGCCACTCTTCTTACATCCAGCAACAGCCAATTACGCAGTTTTCTGTATTACGGTTCAGGTTCGGTCAACTTTGTTTTGCCTGTACTCGCGGTTCACATGCGAACCTCTCCCCATTGCTTGCTCCTGTCCTACTCAACTACACACCCGTTGCGACCTGTAGCCGTTAACAACCGCCACAGCACACGTGTCACTGAGCAGAAGCTTAGCCCACTTCAACAAGCCTGCCCCAGCCCCCATTGCATCCATGACCGAGAACAGAAAAGCCCGATCCAAGGTGTCATATGCCTTAGCAAAATCCAAGAAAGCTACCATGCCGGAACGCCCCTGGTGAGTAAGCAAATGCGGAAGTGTACGCAAAAAAAGCACATTTGCGCCAATTAATCTACCAGGAAGGAACGCCGACTGCTCTAAAGTAATCACGTCAGCTAGGGCCAGTCCAACGCGTGATGCAAGCACCTTCGCAAGAAGGCGATAATCTGTACACAACAGAGTAATAGGACGGTAATTACCGGCTAGTGTACGGTCACCCCTACCTTTCCACAACACCCTTATGACCCCGTCTAGAAAACCAACCGGTAACAAGCCTGTCTCCCCTATGGCGGAGAAAACTCTGGCTAAAATCGAGGCCAACTGCCCCTTGAAAACCTTATAGATAGCAGTAGGGAGCCTATCCCACCCCGGGGCCTTCCCCAGCGGCGTTGCTTTAAGAGCCGCAAGCACCTCCGCCTCCGAGACCTGAGACTCACCCACTCTGTCTGCTACCTCGTCCCTCAACCTCAAGTTCCGCGTGCGTACAGCACTAAGAACCTCATCACTAGCCTCCACCGACAAACCCGAAGACTTGCAACTAATATCCCTCCAGTAATCAGCCACCAGTTGCGGCAAACGGCCCGGAGCAGAAACCAACCGCCCCACGTTGTCTTGCAGCGCCGCGACCGTGTGGCACGCGGCTGGCGGTTTGACCACTGCAGTAATAGCTGGACTGGGCCGCTCCCCCACCCTAAGCCAGGAAACCCTAGACTCGTAAGCGGCATGAGCCGCCTCAGCCCGTGATGCAATGGCTACTCGAGCCTGAGCCTCAACCAAATCCTCCAGATTCGCCGTACTGCTGCTTCCCGCTGCTGATTGCTGCGTTTGGCGTGCTGCACGTATGGCATCCTGGAGTGACTGACCCGGCATTCGCCGCCGCCGCTGAGCTACCCGGCTAAGGGTATTTGCTGCGGCAGCCAACCTGCGTTTGAAACCGGCCCACCAGTTGACTGTGGCTGGAAGATCCTCCCGTGATGGCATAGTAGTTTCCTCCTGCACAATCCAATCCTCCATACTCTGCCTCAGGTCGGAATGAGCTGTGAAGAAGGTACGAACCCGTCTAACCCCTGGACCTCGTGCAGCCATAACACGTGGCAGCAGCTGCACTGTTGCGACCCGATGATCCGACGGTGTGGAGACCGAAACACTGGTATGGGCCACAAACGGCAGCAGGGCTGACGAAGAGTAAACCCTGTCCAGACGAGACCCGCCATGGTGTGGCGCCCTGTACAGGTGAGTGAAGTCTCTCCTGTGAGGATGGAGGAATCTGTGAGTATCAACCAGATCCTGGCATCGATCCTGAAACAGTCTAGCAATGGCTGCGTCATACTGCCGTCCACCCTCCCCGGCTGACGAGTCGTGCTGTGGATCAGCTACAAAGTTAAAATCGCCAGCTACAAGCAACGTATCCCCAGCATATCAACATTGCATCATCTCTGCCCTCGCAGATGGTTTCACATGCATGCCTGACCCCTGCCTTCTCCACGCCCTTTAATCACCACCTCTCCAGTTTCCACCACCACCTTCTCCTTACCGCGCATCACTCCCACAGTCGCGGGCAGGCAGCCAGGTTATGCCTCGCCCCCCGCGCACACAACGCTCCGCCCGGCACCCCCATGTAGCCCCCGCCCCGCAGCAACGAGTAGCACGCCCGCCCTGCCGCCCGCATGTCCACCGCCGCGTGGCTACACAGCACCCCTGCGGCACCCCCCCCACCCCCAGCACCCCTCTGCACAGCCCCACCCGCCCCCTGCGCAACACCAGCTGAACCCGCTGCCCCGGCACCCTCAGCAGCAGCACTCACATGTGGGTCAGCCTCCGTACCTTCCCCTTCCTCCCCCTCCTCGTCATGCCCCTCGCCTCCTGTCCCTCCCCCATCACCCGCTTCCTCCCCTGTCCCCTCATCGCCCTGTCCCTCCTCTGTAAGCCCCTGTTCCCCCTCCCCTTCCTCCTGCTCCCCCGCCTCCGCCTCCACCTGCTCCTTCACCACCGGTCCCCGCACCCACCCCCGCGGCTCCCTGCAGCTCATGAACTCCGCAAAGTCCGCATCCAGCTGCCCGAACCTCGCCTGCGGCTCCCCCGGGTGCCGCCCCCGCACCCGCAGCACCTCCAGCGCGCTTTCGAACGCGTCGTAGCGCCCGTCCTCGCCCAGCAGCCCGCCAGAGATGCTGCTGTACAGCATGTGCTGGGCGGCGCAGTGCATGCGGGACTGGGAGGGGTGTGTGTGGGGGGGTGGGGGGCGTTGGGTTGGTGGGAGGAGGGAGGCAGGAGGGCGTATCGGTCGGAGAGCTGGACTCGGTGGAGGGAAACAGTAGTAGCATGGCAGGATCTATGGATCTTTACCTCCTCTCTGAGCGAAACGAGAGGTCGGCTCGATTACCACTGACAGCCTGGTCCACACTCCACATCTTGCCAATCCAACTGCACGCAGCGCGAGTAGGTGCCGTACCGCTGGTTGCCGTACCGCGAGCTGCCGTACTGCCGGGCTGGTATGGTAGCCACCCCAAGCCACTGAGCTCCCGTGTGCACACCCACCTTCTCCACCCACCTTCTCCCCCTGCCCTCCCTCCCGCCCACTCACCCGCATGCCCGCCAGCTGCTCCTCGCCGACCCCCGCCAGCAGCTCATGCAGGCGGGGTATGTCCGCCTCCGCCGCCCGCACCCCCCAGCGCTGCCAGGACAGGGCGGGCTCGAAGGGCTCGGCCACGTGGTCCGCCACCGTCACCGGGACACAGCCCATGAACAGGGCCTGGAGGGAGGGAGGGAGGGAGGGAGGAAAAACAATTCTAATGCGTGTTGTGGTAGTGGGAGGGAGGAGGAGGAGGAGGAGGCACAGGGGGGTGTAGCGGTGGGAAAAGAAGAAACCCCCGTGTGTTAGCCAGTAAGCCCGAGAGGTGCAGGGACTGGGAAGACCAGAGAGGGTCCTGCCGTACATGGCACCCCGGCGCACCTGGATTTGCCGCTGCCCATGCCCCGCCCCCGGCGGCGCCAGGCAGTAGGTGGAGCCTGCCAGGTAGGCGCCGTACCGCGGCTCGGAGGCAACCAGGTGGAAGCCGGGGCGGGACCAGTGGGCAGCGACCACCTGGGGGGGGAGGGGAGGGGGGGAGGTGAAAATAAGGAAACTGACGAGCTGAATCACGAGGCTTCAGGGAGGGGGGGAGGTGAGAGGGAGGGAGGGAGGGGGGAGAGGAGCGCAGGCAGGGGTAGCAGCTCCGGCGGTGGGTCGCACACGTGATGTGCAGGCGGCGGGGCGCAGGGGTGTAGGGTACAGCGGCCCTCAGGTGCCGTGCTGGAAAGTAACAAGGCGTAACAAGGGGCTAGCTTAGCATCCGAATCCAGGTGTCCCACGCTCTTCTTCTCACCCCCCTCACTCCATTCCACTTCCAAGCCGCTCCCTCCCCTTTGCCTCTCCAACCTCCCTCCCCCCCTCGCATGGTACCCCCTTCTCTCTCCCCTCCCTCGCCCCCCTACCTTCTCCCGTATCCCCCCGCTGTACCAGTTGTCGCTGCTTTGGCCGCCGCAGTGGGGCCACGTCTCGGGGGTGGGGTAGCTGCGGGGCAGGGGGCAGGAGTATTGCAAGTGACAACATCAGCAGCAGGAGGAGGAGAAGGACGATGACACAGCAGTAGCCTCACGCAAAGTAGCGGCAAAAACGCCTTACCCCTGGTGACCGTTAGGCAGCAGCACCTGCCTCCGACCCCCGCCTCCCCCCACCCCCAGAGTCGCCACTAGCATTCACAACAGTACCCTGTTTCCTTCCTCTTCCCTACCGCTGGTCCGGGCAGATGCGCCCCGCGAAGAACAACGTGGCGGCGGTGCGGGCGGTGCGGTTGCGGGCGGCGGCGCGGGCGGCGAGCCGTGGGTGCAGCGGCGAGCGTGTCATGCCAAACTTGACGAAGTGGCCGGGGGAGATGTAGACGGGGAGAACCACGTCCTGTTGGGGGGGCAGGGAAGGGGAAGGGGAAGGGGAGGAAAAACAATGATATGTGCAGCAATGAGTCCCAATCCCATATCCCGACTCATGCAGTGAAGGGAAGGGGAGGGGGGGTATTGAGGAGGGGGGAGGGGGGGGGGAGGGGGGGGGGGGAGGAGGGGAGGGGGGAGGGGAGAACACGCATGCTGTGATGGCTAGGGGTGCGGGGGTGCGGGTGGGGGCGTAAGGAAAAGGAGCAGCTGCAGAGGCACCGAGCAGGACGCGGATGTGGTGGGCTGTGGAGGGTTGTGGTGCCATGTCCCATGTCGTACTGCCGTACCCGCCATAACGCACCTTGTCAGGTCGGAAGGAACGGCTCCAGCGGGGTATGTCACGATCCTTGGTGAGACCCCAGTCTGGCGGGGGGAGTGAGGGTGGGGGTGGGGGTGGGGAGGGAGCGGGGTGTCGGAAGCTTGCGGGGCAGTGGTGCTGGAGCTAGCGGTGCATGCCGGCTCGGTGCGGTGCTGCTGCGCTGTGACACGCCCATGCGGGTGGAGGGACCAAACCCCATCTCACCCCTCTACTCTCCCTCCCTCCCCCCTTGGATATCCCCCCCTCCCCCCCTCACGTGTCAGCCAGCTCATGTTCCAGCCCAGCAGCTGCACCTCGGGACTGGCCTCCGCCCGGCCCCAGTCGCCTGGAGGGGGCGGGAGGGGGGAGGGACGGAGGGAGGGAGGTAAGGAAGGGAGGGAGGGAGGCAGGAGCGGGGCTGGGGAGGAGGGCGGCGCGGGAAGGGCCGACACGGCACAGCGCACACCACCTCCCCGTTCACATACACTTTACCTCCTCTGAAGCGCTTTCCAACACATGTGCCTTGCATGTTGTTACCGGCCGGCGTGTGTGTTTTACCCCCCCCCCCACACCCCGCTCCTTTCCCCCCTCCCACACATTGGATATCCTTCTTTTCCCCCACCCGTGTGCAGCACCAGGTGCCGGTGCCCCCCGCCCGTGCCGTTCCACCAGGGCCAGTGGGCGGCGCTGTAGCGCATGGCGGCCTCAAGCAGGGGGGAGTCGGAGAAGCTGGGGGGGGGGGGCGGAGGGGGGGAAGGAGGGGGGAAGGGGAAGGAAACACGGTAGGGGGGAGGAGGGAGGAGTGGAGGGGAAGCACATACGCCAGACTGGGGAGCGGCGGAGATGCGGAGCGGCGGGTGGCTAGATAGGCCGCAGCTGCAAGGCAGGGCCCACCCCCGCCCTTCCCCACCCCCTCACCCTCCTACATCCGCCTGCCGCGTAACCCACCTGCAGGGCGCTCCCTCTCTACCCCCACCTGCCTGGCACTCCCACCCTTCCCTCCTCCGTCCAGCCCCGCCCTTCCCCCCCCCCCCCTCCCTCCCCCCCGGCCCCCCCACCTGCCGATTCTATCCCCATTGTCTTGCCCCAACCTGTGGCTTCCTATGGTTCGGTATGGTCTTTGGCCCCCCCCACCTGCGCTGTCTGACAGGCAGCAGGTAGTAGTCCGCCTCCGCCCCGTCCGCCACCCGCGCGCCGCTGCTGAGCAGGCGCTGCCACAGCAGCAGGTGCAGTGGCCGGTCCAGACGCCGGAAGTTGTACCTGTGCGGGAGGCGGGCGGGAGGGGAGGGGAGGGGGGTGGGGTAAGAAGTAAGAAGACACTGACGAGGCGGGGGCGGGGGCGTGGGGTTGCACATGGGAGATAGAAGGGTAAGCGGTGTTGGAGGTAAGAGGGAGGTGTGGGGAGGAGGAAGGGGAGCAGGGAGGAGCATGAAGGTGTCAGGGTGCGGAGGGCGTGCGAGTCCAGTGTAACAAAGCAGGAGCGGGGAAGGGACCCCCCAATGGGCGCATGCACCGGTCCTTCCCCATTCCTCCTAGCCCTGTGCCTCCACCCTCCCCTTCCTTCCTTCCCTCCCTCCTCCTCCATTCACTGCATGGGTCTTCCTCTCCTCCCTCCTCCCTTCTTCCTCCTTCCTCCTCCATCGCCACCACCTCCCGACCCCACCCCACGGTCCACCAAGCCCGCAGCGGCTCGGCTGCAGTGCCCCGGTGTACCCACCACACCGTCATCTCCGGCGGCAGTTCGTACACGTACACCCACGGCCTCTTGGTGCGTGTGCTGTATCCGCTTCCCGCCAGCAGCACGGGCCGACCCGCGGAGTCCAGCGAGAGGGAGCAGTCGGCGCCAAAGTGGCCTGCAGGGGGAGAGGGAGAAGGGGAGGGGGAAGGAGGAGAGCGAGGGTGAAGGAGGAGGGGGCTGAAGGAGGAGGGGGTCGCCGGGTGCTGGGTGCAGCGGCCGGGGCGTGTGCTGCCCAGAGGTGTGCGAGTGTACGGCGTGTACGGCGAGGAGATCCGGGAGGAACGGTCTGGGGTCAGGAGGCAGTGGGGCACATGGAGAGGAGGCTGGCGACTGTTTGGAGGGAGTTGCACCTCTCATGCACCCTTGCTCGCCGCCAGCGCTGTGAGACAAGGGCCCCGTGCCGCCCCTTGCTAAGAGGCCAAGAACACTCCGCCGCCCCTATCGACAAAACCACCGCCCTAAGCCAACAGGCTCGCCCCGTGTAGGCTCTTTTCCACCCCCGCGCCCCATCCATGCCCCAACATCCAGCCTACCCCACCGCCCCCGCGCCCCATCCCTGCCCCCGCCTTGCTCCACCTGGCTTGCAGTGGCAGAACCCCGCCACACAGCTGCCCCGCCGGTTGCAGCGGTTGAGGCAGCTCTGCGGGCGCAGAGGGCAGACGGGCGGGCAGGCGGGAAGGAGAGATCGGGTGCGTGGGCACGCAGGAAGGGCGGGGTGGCGGGTCGTAAGGAGGGGCAGGGGGTCGAGTGTGTTGCGACAGGGGAGCTGCGACAGGGTGCGCCCCTCCATACACCCACACGCCGGGTGTTGGGCGAGCTGAGCAGGCGGGGCGTCCTCCACCCACCCCCGCCCTCCATGTGCCCCCCCACCTCCACCCCCATTCTTGTTTTCCCTCCACCCCCACCTGCTCTGGATCCAGGCACTCCTTCAGCCCCGAGTAGCCCTGCTGGCGGCAGCGCTGCAGCAGCTCGGGGCGCGGCAGCCGCCGGGAGCAGTCGGGGCCGCTCAGGTGGCGGGGGCAGTCGCACCTGGGAAGGGGGCAGGGCAGGGCAGGGCAGGGCAGGGAAAAAAAGAAATTCCCATGTGTGATGTGAAGGGAAAGGAAGGGAGGGGGGCAGCAGCGGCGGGTTGAATGGCAGTCGGGTGGCCAGGCCGCACGAGCATCCTTCACTGCTGGCACCTGTACTGCGCCCGTACGTGCGGACACATGGGGTGAGGGGTGTGCTGCTAGACGGGCCAACCATGCCGCTGGTAAGGAGAGTAGGGGGACGGGGGAGCGGCATTGGCGGCAGCTCGGAACCTTTCATGCCCCACCAACATCCCCGCCATCTGCCACCGTGTTTGGTTTACACTCTGAGTCAGGAGCCTAAGTTGTGGGCCTTATATCCAGCATGGTAGTTCCTATCCAGACATCCCAGCCGCCTCCACTGCCGCCTACCTGCCGAGCTCCTCATTGCAGGTGCCATGCAGGGTGCAGCTGCCAGGACATCGGCTGGGAGGTAACGGCGTGTCAGTAGCGGCTGCGCCAGCTGCAGCATCGGCTAACGTTGGACCCCAGATCCGCGGGAGGAAAACGAATTCGACCGACAAAAGCAACAGCAACAGCCATGCTGTCGGGGGTCCTAAGTTGGTGCGCAGACGGCAACCGTTGTTCATATGGCTTCGTATAACAACCATTAAACATGTGGATGCGCCTAATCGAGAAAAAACATATTCATAAGTGATTCAGATTGTGGGTCCGGCAGCCTACATTTTCGTAGAAAGTACGCAAACAGGCAATACAGTTGACCCATTCAATATCTTTAAACCAAGTGATCCTAAATGTCTTTCGCCGGTGCACAGATTGTCATAAGTCATCGTGTATACGTCTGGCGGGCTATGGGCTGAATGGCCGAATGGGCATTGGGTACCATAAGCCCGGAGTCAGGTTGCTCTCTGAAGGCAATTGGTGCTGTCCCAGAGAACGCTGCGTAAAAGGACCCATACGGTACCCGTCGCCAATCGCGTATGGCGGTGGTCGACCTACCAACGCCGGGTTGTCGGGCGGCATGGGCTACAACGCATTGCAAACATAGTCAGTTCATACATCGGATGCGTCCGGTAGGAAAGGTGTCACCTCGTATTTGCCGAAGAATCCAAATTTCAAGCCTGTCGTATCATGGGCTGTCAAGAGGGCTGCCTTGCACGTCGTGCGCCACGGAGCCAAAATCACGGAGGTCAATTGCTATGCTATGGTAAATGCTACAGCTCATTGCAGATTCACACCTTGCCAAGCTGGAATATGGAAAGTACAGATACATGTATGGCACTCCAGGGCCTTCCTGTCCGACCATAGGAGCCATCTACCGGAAACTCAGGAAAGCTCTTCAATCTGTCTGTCGCGCACGGCAATACAACAAAACACCGGGTCGCACCAAAGGGGTAACTAGTTCCAACACCGCGGCTAAGATCAACAGATGCTTGCACCCCTTCAGGAGCTATCGAGAAGCCCTCCCTAACCGCCCTCACGTATGTATAGTTACCCAGTGAACACCTCCCAACCTCGACAAGGCGGCGGTGAAAACTTCACCATAATAAAGTTATACCTACATACGAGCTGCAGCTTGTGGAAAGTGCTGTAAACGTGCTGCCGGTCCTGTGTGCTCCACACAAGTTGCCCTGACTGCTTCATGTGTCCCCGTGTCGGCCTGCACCAGAGACAAAATGTGCTCAAAGCCAAGGAGACTGCTCCTTCAGTTTCCGGCTTCCGTGGTCAGGTACACCGCCGGCGGCAGGCGCCCCAGCTGATCCCACAGCTCCAGCACCCTCCGCAGCCACTCCCGCTCGCCTTCGCGCCGCCGGGCGGCCTGATCGTCCCACAGGGCCTGCAGCTCCTGGTGTGGGGTAAGAGGCGAAGGGGCAGGGAGAACATGACGGCAGGTGGAGGATAGCGTTGGTAGGACAGCTCAGGAGGGGGAGAACCAGGCCTGTTAAAGGCAGCCTACGTGCTGTACACCGCACACTGCATGCTTTATCAAATGTAGCAATCCATGTGACTATTTCCGTAACTGCTGTTGCTGCTTCAACGCCCCAGTATCTCGCCTTTCGTTTCAAATGCCTCATCTCAGTGACTCATCCGTACTCCTCCCGGTCACGCCCAGCAGTGGCACGTACCTGCTCCAGTGCTGCAAGGAAGCAACTCGTGGGACAAGCCGAGCTCGTGCATTTAACCGGCTCCACCTGCAGAGCCCCCGGCGGCAGCCTCTCAGCCAGCTCCCGTATCGCACCCACGGCCGCCTCCATGTCACCCGCCCTCCACCCAGCCTGCACCAGCAAGGCACCGCCCACAGCGGCTGCCGCTGCTGCCGGCAGCAGCTGGTATTTCTCCAGGCCTGGCACCTGCTTCTGCAGAGTGCGAAGAAATGAGCCTAAGAACTCAGCGGGCAATCCGAGGAGCCCTCTCACAAAGGAGCCTTTGAGCAGCAGGCATCCCGACTCCGCAACCCTGGCCGTTAAGCGCTGCATCACAGATCTGGCCACATCCGCTACTGCTGGAAGCGGCAGCTGCGGCTGCCGCAGGGGTAGCTGCGGGCCAGCCACCACCAAGCCAGCGCCCTCCCCCTCGCATTGCCTCAGCGGCGGCAGCAGGGGCAGCTGCGGCTGCGCCGGGCCCCGCAGCGCCAAGCTCCTTTCGTGTCCCATGTTGTTGCCCATCCACAGCGTCAGCTCCTGTGGCTTCCCCAGTAGCTCCACCGCCGCTAGCGCCAACTGCGCATCACCAACCATCAGGTTCCCCACCTCCATCGCCACCTCCGCCCCTGCACGCCGGCGTGCCTGCAGGGCCTCCCGCAGCTGCTGCAAGTGCCACTGGTCGGTGCCGACAGGTTTCCCCAAGTCAGGCAGCAGCACCAGCGTGGGAATGTGCACGCGACCCAACCCTCGCTGACAGGGACGACAGCACGAGGACAAAAGCCGTAGATAGAGGGCGAAGTCGGCGCCCCGGGCAACATAGCCCATCTTGGCAAACGTGATGCCTGTGCAGCGGCTGCTTCTGCTACTGTCGCCATGACCAAAGTGGACCGTGAACACAGCGCTGACGTCGCGACCTGCCGCCTGCTGGTAGCGCCCTGACACTTCCAGCCCCAGCGCCAGCTCCTCCAGTGCGGGCGGCAGGCACGCCAGCAGCTGCGGCACACCCCCGGACGAGGCTGCCCCCACCTCCAGCTCCTCCTCACGGAACGAGCATGGCTTCAGGCTGAGGTGCCGCAGTCGCCGCAGCTGTGCTATGCTGGCGATGGCAGCTGGAGTCAGGTACCGGTAGTTGTGCATCATGTCAGATGGCACCTCAACCTCCAGGCGTTCAAGGGAGCCCGCCAGCGTGCCCACGTCCTCCAGCAGAAGCCCAATGCCGCCACCTCTGACGTCTTCCGGAAGCATGCCGTCGTAGTCAATGGGGCGATTGTCAATGCGTAAATGCTCCAACCGCCGTAACTGCATAATGCCAGCCACCGCTGCCTCTGTGAATACGTCGCAACTCATGTAGGTGTACACGCACAGGTATCTCAAGGTTCCTGCCAGTTGGCCCACGTGCTCGAAGTTAGGACAGTACGGCACTGAGAGACGCTCCAAGTACGGCAAACCTCCTAGCGCGTCGTACATCAGCCGCCGCTGCATGGGGTCGTACGGCACCTCTATCTCCCCGTGAATAATCCACTCCGGTACACAAGGGACATCTAATCCTTTCATGTCCACCACGCGCAGCGACGGAAGGAGCACGGCGAGTGACGTCATGAGGTGGCCCTCGGGTATTATAATTACATCCTGCTCCGTGTCCTTAAAGGAGATTGAAAACTCCTGCAAGCTGGTAATGCGCTGCCTAGCGGCCAGTGGCTGGCCCATGAAGGGCAGCGCCATCAGGGTGGCGACGTCCACATCAGTCTCCTCCGGATCGCAAACAGTAATGCTCACGCTATTGCAGCGAGGGAAGCATGAGAGCGGTGAAAGGTGACCCGCTCTCCAGAGTTCCACCTGCGGGGCCCCGATGGTAAACGTTGCGCTGCGGATGCTGCTGTCGATGGTGGAGCGCAACGCTTTACAAGCCAAGCGCGCGCAACCCAAGCACTCTTCGCTTTGGAGGATATCGACGATGGCATCTGTGGCCGAGGGCGCCAGCTCCCAGAGCACTCTCCCTAGTGTCTTTTGCTGTGTTGGCATTGTGTAGTGAGCCTATATCCGGCGTTTCATGATTACAAAAAGGCTTCCAATCTAAACCGGCATAGCAGACTGCAGCGTGGCCTATGTATGCGCCCTATTAGGCGAACGGCCTTGTCGCAGCGATGATGCTTGCAGCTTGGGGTGGAGTTCTCGAGCTAGTTCATACCTAAAGCGCAATGTTATAAGGTAGTTAAGCGACTAGCATAGCTAGTAATAGGTAAGGCGTTCTGATAAGTTTGGTAGTCAGCTGATCTGGGCGTAGAGCGAGATCCAAATGATTCAGGCAGCTGAGCCGTTTAGTCCTCGTTTAAAGTTCCCGCTTTAGGACAATTTACCACAGCATATTCCATATCCTCCAGTAGTACGGTATGACGTTCAGGACTGCCCGGTTGCCCTGCCGCATGACCATCCTGCGCCACAGCTGCCCGCTCCAACCACCTTCCCACCCACACGCCAACTTGCCAGCTGAGGGCAACGACTCTCAGCACACCCTCCACTCTGTCCTCCAACGCCGCGACACCCCAGTTATCAATTGGCTCTCCTCACAGCCAAATCCGCGGGCACTTGCCCAGGTTATGCTGCGTCCGCGCGCACATGATGCCCCCCGGGATGCCGTGTGTCTTGGAGGACCCCGTCACGAACCGCTCACAGGGGTTCCTCCCGCGGTCCGAAAGCGCATGGCTACACAGCAGGCCCATCCCGCCCCCTCCCGCACCCCCACCTTCGCTGCCTCCATCGCCCCCGTCCCCGCCAGCCTGCCCTTTCCTCACTCCACTTCCCCGCTTTCCCGCTTCCTTTTCCTGCTCCCCGGCCGCCCTCAGCCCCCAGGGGTCAGGCACCGGCCCAGACACTGGCCACCCCCGCGGCTCCCTGCAGCTCATGAACTCCGCAAAGTCCGCATCCAGCTGCCCGAACCTCGCTTGCGGCTCCCCCGGGTGCCGCCCCCGCACCCGCAGCACCTCCAGTGCACTCTCAAACGCGTCGTAGCGCCCGTCCTCGCCCAGCAGCCCGCCAGAGATGCTGCTGTACAGCATGTGCTGGGCGGCGCAGCGTAGAGCCGCCTGAGGCAACCACCGGTCAATAGGGGAGGGGCCGGGGCGACGGTGATGCGACGGCGGAGAGGCGTACATGGTGAAGAGGAAAGCACGGTACTCCTCGGGCCCATCGGGCTACGACCGGTATTAGCACCGCAACACCCGCAAACCAGCATGCACGTCAAGACGCCGCCCCCGCGCTGCAGCCGCGAGCCTGCACATCTAGGCAGACCCGGCCATCCACCACCCACCCACCTGCTTCTCCGCATACTCCTCCTCACTAATCGCCTCCAGCAGCTCATGCAGGCGGGGTATGTCCGCCTCCGCCGCCCGCACCCCCCAGCGCTGCCAGTCTAGCGCCGGCTCCCAGGGTTCATACACATCGTCCGCGATGCACACCGGCAGGCAGCCCATCAGCGACACGATGATCTGCCGCTGCCCGTGTCCCCCGCCCAGGGGAGCCAGGCAGTAGCGGCTGCTGGCCAGTGCGGTGCCGTACGCCTGCCGCGCAGTGCGAGGTGCGGCAGGTCAGCCGAGGAGAGTGCATGCGTTAGTCGGAACGTATTGCGATTGCCGAAAGGTGAAGTCCCCACAGACAAGCCCAGGAGCCGAGTATGTGTGGGGTGGTGGTGATGGTGGTGGTGTGATGCGGGTGGCGGTTGGGGGAAAGCAGGAGGAGCATGCTGCATGCGTGGGTGCAGCCCATGCGCCACCACGCACGCACTCACGCCCGCCCGCATCCTTCCAGCCCCCCACCTTTTCGTGTGTGGTGATGCGGAAGCCGGTGCGGTTCCAGTGGTGGTAGTGCACGAACTGGCGCACCCCGGCGCTGTAGCCGCGGCTGCGCGGGCCGCAGTTGGGCCACACGCCGGTGAGGGGCGGCTTGCGGTCGCCGCAGATGCGGCCTTTGGGTGGGGCGAGGGGGGTGGAGGGGAGTGGGTGAGGGCAGGGGAGTGGGATAAAGAGAACAGGGGAAACAACTAACTGACCGTGTGATTAGGCATCATCATGGTTTGCAACATGGAAGGGGAGCGGGTGGGCATGTGTATGGTGTGATAGGGTGCGGTGGGATGGATCGTAGGTTTAGGCGGGGTGGTAGGTGTACGTGCGCGGAACGGCAGCTGTCCCATGTGCTGGGTGCGCTCGGGAGGCGTCTCCTTCCTCTTCACGCCGCCCGTTATCGGGACAACCCCCAGCCCCCTCCTCTACCCTGCCCCCGTGCCCTCCCTTGTGTGGCGACCTCCCCAGCCATCATCAGACTCCCGGTAAGGCAGGACTCCCAGGCTCTCTCCCGGTTCCCCACCGCATCCCCGTAACCCCCCCCCCCCACACACACCCCACCCGCGAAGAAGAACGTCGTGTTGCGGGTGCGCTTGTCAGCCAGCGGGTGCAGCGGCGTGCGCTCCAGACCAAAGTGCTTGAAGTGGCCCGGAGTCAGGTACACCGGGATGACAACATCCTGGGGGCAGGCAGAGGAGGGGAGGCGGGGGAGGAGGAGAGCAGCGGGAGAGGTAGCCGTAAGGCGGGAGAGGTCAGTGCTGGTATGCGGGCGAGGGTCCAAGGACTGGCGTGACAAAGACCCGGCAGCGCCCGGCTGCGCACCTTGTCAGGTCGGTGCGCCTTGCGCCAGCCGGAGAGCACCTTGTCCGCCGTGAGGCCCCAGTCTGCGGGTCGAGGAGGCGCATGTGGGAGGGGAAGCGGTGTCCAGTGATCTGGCAGCAACGTTGGCACTGCAAGTGGTGCGTGCAGGAGCGCGTGCAGCACTGGGCTGCGGGTGGGTGCCAGCGGGTGCTTCCCGGCGGGCAGGAGGACGACAGCAGCCGGCAAGAGGGTGGCGGAGGGGGTGTGGGTGCTGCGGGGGTGCGGGTGGGGGTGCGGGTGGGGGTGCGGGTGCGGGTGGGGGTGCCGCATGCGGCGGCCTTACTCACGTGTGAGCCAGGTGACGTTGGCTGCCTGCTGCCGTACCGCGGTGTTCACCTCATCCACACCCAGGTCACCTGGGGAGGGGAGGGGGTGGGGAAGGAGGGGGAAGAGGCGGAGGAGCTGAAGTGTAACCGCGATTCGGTGTTGCTGCGGCAGTCGAGCTGAAGTCCGCGCAGCTGTCAAGGGCTGCTTGCCAACGCCGACCGAGCAATCGGGAATCCCGGGGTCCCTTCCCCGGCCTATCCACTCCGCCGTCCCAGCCTGCACCGGCCCTTGCTCCCGCCTCACTCCCCACTCCGGTGTACCCCATAACAGCTGTCGCCGCCCCCCTCCACCCCCCTTGGCACTGACCGGTGTGAATCACAAAGTGCCGTGCGCCCCCCGTGCGGTTCCACCAGGGGTAGGTGGCGCGGATGTAGTGCAGCGCCTCCCCCAGGAAGGCGGAGTCGGAGGTGGAGCGCTGCCGCACCGGAATGTAGTACCTGAGGGGGAAGGGGGGGGGTAAGGAGGGAGGGGAGAGCGGCAGCGGGAGGGATGGCAAGGGCAAGGCGCAGGAAGAGGGGTGAATTGCAGGGCCCTCAGGGGAGGCGGGCGGGCGGGACAGAGAGCAGAGGGGAAAGGGATGCCTGAAGGAAGGCACGGGAGGGGCCTTCGCCATGTCCTGCACACCCCCCTCCCCCCTAGCCCCGCTCTTTCCCCTACCCCACCAGTCCGCCTCGTCCCCATCCGCCACCCGCGCCCCGCTGCCCAGCAGTCGCTGGTAGAAGTGCAGGTGCGTGGAGCGATCCAGGCGCTTAGTGTTGGGCCTGGGAAGGGGGCACAGGGCGGGGAGGGGGGCGGGTAATGATGGGGACGTGCGGGAGGCGGGCGGGTGTTGGGCCATAAGGGAGGGCAAGCAGGTATGGAGCCGTTGCCGTAATAACCTACCAGGAAAGCAGGTGAGGCGGCAGTTCGTACACGTACACCCACGGCCTCTTGTTGCGTGTGGTGTATCCGCTTCCCGCCAGCAGCACGGGCCGACCCGCGGAGTCCAGCGAGAGGGAGCAGTCGGCGCCAAAGTGGCCTGCAGGGGGGAGGGAAAATGGGAAATTATAGATAAGTGCAACAACGGAGTCCCAATGCAGGGGGGAGGGTGAATGGGGCATGAAACTGGCGGTCTGAGGGGCGCGCGCCTGGGCTGTATGGCTTAGGCGGCAGGGGGAATGCATCACAGGTGGGTCTGAGACGTCGAAGGTAGCACATCTGAACGGGGGACGGAGAGGCTGCGGTTGACCATACCAACAGGACTGCCAGCACCATCATCCACGATTGCGCCCACCTGGTTTGCAGTGACACCATCCCGATATGCATTGACCCCTTCGGTTGCAGTTATTGAGGCACGAAAGCTCCGAAGTCACACATTCTTTTGGAGTTGGATAGTACGCCTTCTGGCACCTCTTCAGCAACGTCCGAGCATCGGCAAGTGCTGAGCAGTCTTCTCCTGTTCGGTCCTTGGGGCAGTCACACCTAGTTGGCAAAGTAGGCACTTCATCAGCACTGAGCGCCACATTAGGGCCAGCAACTTCTCTGCTAGTCCTTGCCTCCCGATATCTTCGTTACATGTGCCGAAAGTTGTACAGTTTCCAGGGCATTTAGACTGCTGCGATGTCGCGGCCACCTTCTGCGCAGTAGCAAACTGCAAAATATAAGCAAGCGCTTCCAGAATTTGCCAGTCAAGAGCATATCTAAATCTTACATCTGACACGTATATAGCTAGAATAACACTGATTGCAACATACGCACTGGTTGGTATACAAAATGTCATTGCATCCTTCCAATAGCGAAAGCTGCCAACCTATGAGCGACCCGGTCGTCATAACAGCAATCGTATGATGCAATCCTTGCCATGGGCAATACCTTGGCTGTCTTTGCAGTCCATCAGTGGATGGCGCCGTACCATGTATAGCACACAAAGGCATGCCGGACAGCATGCGTACACTCCCTGTACAGCAAACAACAGTAAGGGCTCGCACCCGAAAAGAGAGTTTCGACAAGCCACGCACGTGCCAGGTAACGCTGTTCGACATACACCACTGCAGGACAAGGCAACTATGCGAAGCCATGCACCGTACACAGCTACCATACCTTGCAAATCGCCAAATAACAATACAGCATTTATAGCATGCGCCCACGCATAACACCCTTCTAATACCCCTGCCTTTCACTACAAAACCGACAGATTCAGAGCTTCTTACAACAACACTTCTGGCCACAAACCCCAACGCCTCCACTCTACACCTACCCATCTCCCTTACACCCGCCATACCCGCGGCCCGCTTGCACCACCACCTACGTCCTCTCACCCTCCTACCGCCCCTACCGCCACCGGTTCGCACCCCAACTACGCCGCCGCCGCACTCAGCCGCCTGTACGCCGCTTGCAGGTACTGGAACGCCGGCGTGGCCATGTCATCCCCCGGGTTCTTATCCGGATGCAGCCGCAACATGAGATCCTTATACGCCTTGGGCAGCCCCGCACGCTGCGTGCCGCCCGCATCTGCCGATCCCAGCCGGAACAGCGCCCTGTCACCTAGCCCCTGGTTGGACAGCTTGCTGCATGCCACCGCGCGGCGGATCTCCCAGCTGTTCAGCCGCTCCCGCGCCAGTCCCAGCAGCTCGGACTTCTCGGAGCAAGTACGGCACAGCGCCTCCGCACCCGCCTCCACCAGGAACTGCTTGAGCGCCTTGATGCTGATGGAGTCGTCCAGTGCAGGAGGGGAGGAGAGCGCGAAGGAGAGAACTGCGGGGTCGTCCGCAGGAGGGGCGGGGCGCGGGGGAGGCTGGGCGCTGGCGCCGCCAGAGGCGCCGCCGGGGGCGGCGCCTGCACCGGCGGGCGCCGGCTTGGCGGTCTTGGGCTTGCTGCTAGCACCCTGCGCCGAGGCGCCGCTTGCATGTTGCCCGTGCCCGTGCCCCTGCGCGGCACCGGCACCGGCGCCGGCAGCCGCACCGTACGCGGCGTTCATGAAGTCCTGCTGCTGCTGCCCTGTGAAGAAGCAGTGCGGGACGCCGTTACTCCAGAAGAAGTTGAAGCCGTACGGGTGCTGCTCCGCTGACTGCCCGGCTTGCTGCTGCGCCCGCTGCTTTGCCGCCGCTTGCTGGGCCGCTTGCTGTGCCGCTTGCTGCGCCGCCTGCTGGGCTGCCTGTTGCGCCGCTTGCTGGGCCGCTTGCTGGGCCGCCTGCTGGGCCGCTTGCTGTTGCGCCCGTTCTCGGTTCATGTACAGCTGCAGGCGTTCATTGAGCAGCCGCTCACGCTGCATGGAGTCCTGGTAGAGCTTCCGCAGGTCGCTCAGCTCCCGGCTCACCACGTCCAGCCGCTGAGTGCGCTCCCTCTCCAGCTTGAGGCTCTGCGTCAGCCCCGCCACCTCGCACCGCAGCCGCCGGACCTCCATCCGCAACGCCTCCTCCACGTCCATGCCAGGCTTGGCCAGGCGAATTGGGCTGTGTGAGCCGCTGGCCTCACCCGGGGCCCTGGCTGACGCAGCTGCGGAGTGCGGAGGTGCGGGGGCGGCCGCCCGGTGCCCAGGCGGCGGCATGGCTTGCTGTTGCTGCGCCGCCCTAGCAGCCGCCATGGAGGCTGCTAGCACAGCGGCCGCTGCCTTGCTCACCTCTGCGGCTGTTGCTGGTCTTGCATTGGGAGCTGGCGCGTCTTGCCGGCGTGACCCAGGTACGGCGTTAACATTAGGAGACACCCCGGAAGCCCCCAGTGCGGCGGCTGCAGCAGGCGACGGCACAGCGTTTGCCGCCGTCGCACGCCCTGTCGGCGCAGCGGCTGGGAAGGTAGCGGTGGCGCCTCTCGCGTTCCCCCGGGCGGGCCGCTTCGCCGCGCGAGCAGTCGCCCCTGCCGTGTCATCCTCTGGTTTCCTCTTGGCTGCTCCCCCCTTGCCGGTACTCGCAGCAGCCGCGGCGCCAGCACCCGTCCCAGGATACACATTCACTGGCCGCGCAGTTGCATGCGCACGCTGAGGCGCAGCTGCTGCACCACCCTGTCCTGCAGCCGGCTGGCCGCCTGCTGCTTGCCGTGTGCCCGCAACCTCCGGCGCAGGCCGGGACGGCACCGTCCTGGGCTGCGGCGAAGGCTGCGACTGCACCTCGTCCTGGGCTGGGGACCGCAACTTAGCTCCCTCGACCTTCACCGGGGTTGGCGACGCCTTGCCTCCCTCTTCATCCTCATGGCTGTCCGGAGACAGGGCCTGCGGGGCGGCTTGAGGGCGGCCCGCGGCCCTCGGGTCCGCTCCGCCGGCGGAGCCGCCGCGGGCCCTGCAGCCCGCTGTGGCCGGGCGCTCGAACAGCAGCTCCACATCGTCATCAGTCGCATCGTCAGGAACCGCTGTGGCTTTAGCAGGCGCCTGTGCTGGGGCGGGAGCTGCTGTTGCTGCTGCTCGTGGTTTCGGGGCTCCTGCCGTTACAGCTGCTGGTGGCGGTGGCGGTGGCCTGGCGGCTCCGTCAGGCGGTGGCGCCGGAGCCGGAGGAGCGGGCGCTGCTTCTGCCTGTGCTGTGGGTGGTTGCCGCTCTGCCGCCGCCGCCTGCCTTGCGGGTCTCGCTGTCGCAGGGGCAGCAGCGGAGGGTGCGACTGCTGCAGGCCTTGATGCTTCTGCTGTTGGATCAGCTGCTGGTGCTGGCGCCGGCGGTGCTGGGGCAGCATCGGTCGGCGAGTCCTTTCCCTTCAACGGTGCGCCCAGCCGCAATTCATCCTCCCAGCCCACCTTGAGGTTGCAGGGCTCACACTTGTAGTAAATGCTGCAGCAGAAGGGCGTGAGTGTTTGGGAAAACGGCAAGAGTGGCTTGGGTAACCGGTGTTGCAAGAGGCAGTTTCACACTTGGCAGGAGTAACGAGTTGGTTCGGTACAGTGCAAATTGCGTGGAGTTGCCGCGAGCAGCATACGTTGTGCCAGACATTCCTACATAGGTTTGGAAGCCCGGATAACCCCCAGGCGCACGGCCCATGTCTCTGCAAGCGCCGGACCATGCCTAAGGCAAATATTGCGAAAACAGTCTGGACGTCTAACTTGGCAGCGCAGGGCACGGGTTGCGGATGGACTTACCGGTTTAGGTTTTGTTGGCCGCGCGTGACCACTTTCCGTCTGCACAGCCGGTTGCATTCTGGGCAAGGAATCTTCATGGAAAGCTTCAGACAATGAACGCTCCTTTAGCGCGCCATAAAAGGCCGGTTTGAGATTAAACTGTTGACGGTCAAGCCGAAGGTCCCTGGTATCGCTGCTAGGCAAAATGACAAGCTATGTGAAAGAGCTTTCCTCGTTTGCCAAAGCACTGCTCCTGGTCACTGGTAAAGTTTATGGGAAAGCTCCAATCATTAACATAGGTTGTGCTGCAGGGTTATACACCTTACCACAATAGAGTAGATAGAACGTGCAAGGGAACTCTGTCTGTGCCAATCCGTAATCCCATGATCAATCCATTGCCGGACACCGTGACACGCTCGTTTCATGCGATGCATACCAGTGCCTTCCAACCTTAGCAGTAGAAGGATATGGAAGAAGTGTCAACCACTATTCACCTATGCTGATTGCGGTCGCGTAGTGCCGGTATTCTTTTATCACCGATGAGTACCCTGCGTAAATCCGCGGTTGTAATGCAGCTTGCACGCTGTTTGCAGCAGCAGGCGGTTATTGCTTCAAGTTCATGCTCATTGAAGTTAGGGACTAATAGCGGACCAGCCATCGCAACACGAGCCGTCGTCGACACTCCCTCTATAAGGTGCTGAGTCGGGTATTTTCAACACATCATCCCTCCTTGTCGCTTGATGCCTGTTAGCCTCTGACTCACTTACTTTGCCCAACAGGGGGCCGATGTCGCTGATGGCGGATGCCGTGCCTGCGCCTCTCTTGCGGAGCTTTGCAAGCTCAGTATGCCTCACGCAAAGCAGCGAGGGTAAGTGCGTGTTGGGGAAGGGGTTTCGCTCTGTTGGAGACCCTGCGTTGGTGCCGTGTTGCGCTGCTGACCAAGGCCAGTCTTTGCTGTGTGCACGTGTGTTTCCCAGCAGCGGAACATGGATAACTATGTACGATGGCCCTAACAATAGCCGTACTGCATCCCCTGGGGCCCCTGGTGCAGGGGACGACGACGGCATCTGACGTTGGCTCCGCTACGGCAGTGGTAGTGGCAGCATGGACGCAGCCGCAGGGCGGCCGTGGGGCAGATGCACATTTCGTTAAGAGTGCGACATTAGACATCCTATGAAGCTGATGGGGAAGGGGTTGCATTCTGTGTTCTCTGGTGGGGAGGCTGGTATTTCTGGGTGGGTGCGTTGTGGGTTGGTGAGAGAAGTCGTAGACTGGCCGTACAGTAGGGCATTCAAGGTGTGCTCCGGACAAAATCCTACATGTAATGGGCTTTTATGTCTCCCCCGTCGTTCCCATGCCCATACCTCTGCGGGCTTTGCTGTTGCGGCTAGGGTCGTAGAGACTGCTGCAGCTGCAAAGATCTGGGTGGGCTTGTGCACACCCCTCAGGCTCGCAGCTGTGCACTCAGGGCGGCCAGAGGAAAGAAGCTACCGCTTACCGCTCCCAGCAATGAATACGGTACCGAACACAGCGAACCAGAAGAAGTCAGAAAGGAATGCGCGTGCGTGCGGCTATGGAGGGTTGCGGATGCCTTGGAGGGTTGCGACTCCTTACAGGGAAAGCAGCTCACTCGTGAGGGCCTCCAGGTCGCTCAGGCGCTGCTGGGCGCTATCCTGGCGGGGGGCCTCCGCTGCTGGCGCGTGGCTGAGCGCCGCTGCTGCGGCTGCCGAGCCCGGTGTCGAGGACGCAGCGGCTCTGCCGGCACTGGCCTCATGCTGAGGAGCCGGCTGCGCGGCACTGTCCAAACGGCCAGCGGCCCGCGCTGCTACTACTGCGCCGCCGCCGCTGCCGCCGTTGCCACCTAGCCTAGCAGCGCTGAGGCTTGAAGGCGGCTGCAGCGCGGTGCCGCGAAGGATGCTGCTGATGGAGGTCACACCGCGGCTAGCGCCCAGCGCCCAAGCGTGAGGCAACACGCGTAGTTGCGGATTCGGAGCAGCTGAGGGAGCGATGCCGCCGGCAACCTGCCCATGGGTCTTGCTAGCAGGGTTGCCGGTCTCCCTCCGCTCGTGCACGTGGCCGATATCAGTAGTAGCCTCTGTAGCGTTCCCCGCGCCCACGTCTCCTGCCGTTATTGCCGCGGCGTCTGTGTCATCTGCTGCGGCTAGGTCAGTGCGTGCCGCCTCCTCCCCTTGCGCCGGCGGCGCCCAGCCTTGCTTGCGTAGCGCCGCTAACAGTGTGCTGCGCTCACGTCTCAGACTGCGCAGTTGGGTCTCCTGCTCATGCACTTGGGACTGAAGCCGGCGCAGCCTGCAGGGTGGCGGGTTTGCAAGTGTAAGAGGAGGAGGGCCACTAGGACAGGTTGCTAGCTGCTGCCACGCATGCCGATGTGGCGTCAAGCGCGCGTAGATGCCTTAGGTTACCGTAGCTACCGTAGCTATTGCCACACACACATCTTTCGGAAATCACAGTACGTTTCGCCTCGCGGTCAGTTATTTTAACACATCGCACGACTCGCGGCCAGTTTTCTTAATACACCGCACGAGCCGCACCCGAGCTTTTTAAAAGCCGAACACGGCAGGCAGCAAGTACGGCACCGGTAAGTACTGTAAGCATGCATGCATGCACCCAGTCGCAAGCATAGTGCCCACCTGGCGTCCTCCTGCTGCGCCCTGACCTCCCTCAGCCTGGCCAGCTGCCGCTCCAGCTGCCCGCACTCCGCAGCTGCCTTGGCCGCCAGCCGCTCAGCCTCCTCGCAGCGCCGCCGCTCCGCCGCCAGCGCCTCCTCGTGCCCGGTTCGCAGCGCCGCCACCTGCGGCACGTACCGCACCACGGCAGGGTCTAATCTAGGGACACGTACTGTGCCGGTTTGTGGTACAGCTGCCAGGGTGCACGCGTGCATGGCTGGCCCTGACATAAGCCAGCAAGCAGGCTCAATCACAAGCACGTGGGTTATAACTATGCGTGCACGTGCACCCAGGCGAAGGCTCCCCAGCACCGCCATGTACCATGTATGCATGCACACCTACCTGCGCTCGTGCCTCGCTGTCCCGGCCCGCCAGCTGGCTGCTGAGCTCCGCCTCCGCCACCCGCGCCGCCGCCAGCTCCTGCCGCAGCCGCTCCCGCTCGCCCCGGCTCACCCGCAGCTCCGCGGCAGCTCGCTGCTGGGCAGCCCGCAGCAGCGCGACCTGCAGGCGGCAGCCGGCGCGTCCAGACACTTCAAAGCCATGCCACAATCCCTATTACCGGTACGCGACTGAGGGGGACACGCATCCGGACCTAATCCAGGGACAGTGTGTAGCGACACTCTGCTGTTCCACCTGTTGCTGCTGGCCGCACCTGCTGCTCGACGTCCTGCAGCCGCACCAGCGCCCGGGACAGTCGCACCCCCGCCAGCGCCTCCGTGTGGCGACACGCCTCCTCCGCCGCCGTCAGCGCCGCCGCCAGCTGCTGCCGTACTTGCGTCGCTAGAGCCGCGGCGGCGCTCTCCGCTGCTTGCACCTGCGGCAGGGCATGGGTCAGGGCGGGGTGACGTCCCAGGACGACTGCAACGGTACTGCACAGCAGCCCATACGGGTATCAGTGTGCCCTCACACAAGATCAGAAGGTGGCCGCTCCTACCCGCAGCTAGCAAGAGTCCCGCAACCCAGTCCACGCAACGCATCACCCTACACCTCTCACAGCATGTCCCCTGCCCCGCACTCCACCCCCCCCCCGCTAGCCGCACCCTCTGCTCCGCTGCTGCCTCCGCCTCCCGCTGCGCCGCCTGCACCCTCGCCGCCACCAGCGCCTCCCGGTGCCGGCTCTCCCGCTCCTGCATGGCCGCCTGAGCCAGCCGGATGCGCTCCTCGGCGGAACTGCTCACCTGGGCGAGGAGGGGTGATCGGGTAAAGGATAAGAAACCGAATGGGCCGAAGGGAGCGGAGGCGGAGGCGGTGGCGGTGGCCGGGCTAGCACTTAGTGTTGAATGAAACCCACCGCTAAATGAGACTGAAGATGAGGCACAGCTAAATGAAACCGAGAATGAGGCACGCTCACTATTGCAGCGACGGGTTGGTTGAAGGCAGCCCACCGAGCGGCTCGGTTTGGTTCCCTTCCCTGAGGCCCCGCCCCACCTGAGCCAGCTGCTGCAGCAGCACCTCCCGGTCCCGACCCATCTTGGCCAGCTCCTGACGCAGCACCGAAACCAGCGCAGCATCTCCCTCCGGAGGGCTGCTGAGGGAGCTGCTGCTGCTGCTGCCGTGAACACCGACGCCGCCTTGCACGCGACCTGCACGCACAGGATGGGTGCATGCGGGTGAGTGCGATGAGTATGTGGCCGGCTGGTGGCATTACAGCCGTTCGGCGTCTTGCGGCCAGGCGCCACCTCCCCTCGTGCTCATCTGCCTGTGCCTTAGAAGTTAGAACCTTACCTGCAGCACCCATAGCGTCTGCCGACGCCGCTAGGAGCGCTGCCGAGCTGCCCGCCAGCACTCCCGACAATGCCACATGTTTGGCAGGACTGCGCGCATGCAGCTGCTGCTGCTGCTGCCACGGGACCGCGGCTCCCGCGGTGCTGCCCGCGCCGCGCCGCTCCCCGCCGCGCAGGGCAGCCAGCCGCAGCACAAAGGTGAGCCGGCTGCAGGCGAAGCTCAGGCGTGTGGCGTGGCTGCTCAGTTGAGCCGCGCGAGCCTCCAGCCCGGTCGCCTGCTGCTCCACGTGCGTCTTGAAGGACAGCAGCTGGCGCCGGACCGCCTGGGGGTGCAGCAGGCCGTCAGGGTTTTGCTTCAGAGCCGGCCGTGATTATACCGGTATGCTGGGACATGTAACGGCAGCCTGGTAACATTGCTTTTGCCCTTGCAGTGTACCCCCCTCCCTCCTCCCTACCTGCGCCGCTGCGTCCCGTGCCGCCAGCTGCTGCTCCAGCCCGGCTGCCCGCTGCCGCTCCGCCTGCAGCTCGGAGCCCAGCTGCGCGCTGCGGGCCTGCAGCTGCGCGTTCTCGCACCGCTGCTCCTTGCACCGCTGCTCCAGCACCTGCGGCAGGAGGGGAGGTCGGGGCAGGTGGAGGGCGAGCCAGGGAGCACAGGACAGGGGGGTTTCCGCGGGGAGCCACAACGACCCCAGCCGCAGTACGCATGCACTGCCGCTGCCAACATCTCCTCCCTGCCCCTGCCCACCCACCCGCGGCCGCGCACCTCCAGCAACGTGCGCGCCTGTGTGAACTGCTCGCGCATGTCACCCAGCTGCTGCCCCCACTCCGCCCGCTGCTCCGCGCCCTCCGCCGCCAGCCGCCCCAGCTGCTCCTGCAGCGCCTGCACCTGCTCGCGCCAGGGCTGCAGCACGTTGTCGTGACTGCTGCTGTTGTTGTTGTCGCCTGTGGTGGGCGGCGCTGAGTGGTGGGGTGCCGCTGCGGGGTCGTCAAGGCCGCCTGCGGGGTTCGCGACAACGACGGGGCGGGTCCGGGAGGCAGATGTTGTGCTCGGCACTCGGGGAGAGGGCTAGTCCGGTGCAGTGACGGTGTAACGCATGCAGTGTCGGACTGGCAACGAGCCAACATCATGCAAGATCGGTGAAGTATCCTCGCAGCCGGGTTCCAATGCAGCTCCTACCGATACCTGACAGACTGGCGCCCCAGCCGGCGCAGGCGGCCTACCCGTGCATCCCACCACCGCCCACCCACCCACCCACCTAGCCTCAGCAGCTCCCGCTCCTGTATACGCACCACCTGCTGCAGTGCCGCCACCCGCTGCTGCAGCGCCTCCACCACCGGAGCCTCAACGTCCGTCCGGCCCAACCCGCCAGCAGCGGGCGGGCTCCGCAGCCCAGCATCACCTTGCGGGGAACCACCAGCCTGCGCGGAACCTGACACATCTACAGCGCTGCTCGCGGCTGCCTGCTCTTGCGCCTGCAGCAGCAGCTCCTGAGTCGCCGCCAGCTCCCGCAGCAGCTGCACCTCCCGCTCCTGCTGCGTCCCCAGCTGCAGCCGCAGCGCCTCCGCAACCGCCGCAGCCTCCTCAGCCCGCCCGCTGGCGCTCCCCAGCTGCGCGGCCAGCAACTCCGCATGACGCACTGCGGCGTCGCGCTCCGCCCCCACCGCGGCCAGCTGCGCCCCCAGACTGCTCACCGCCGCGTGCTGCTGCTGGAGCTGCTGCTGCAGCTGGGCGGCAGAGTCCTGTGAGAAGATGAAAGGAGGCAGCAGCATGACCCACATGGGGGGTTGGATGGGATGCGGGGAAATATTGGGGAAATGTCCACACGCCTCCATGGATGGCTGTGCGCGGTAATGAGGGGTGATGCAGCGGCGAGGGCCAACACATGCCTATCAAGTCCACATGTCCTAGGCAGCTCTCTAAACATGCCGCCGGGGGCTGCTTCAGCTTATCCTGTCATCCCGCCGCTTACACTCCATCAACCCCACCATACCTCCCGACAACCTTCCCTCCCGTATTGCCTCCCTCCCGTGCTCACCTCCGCTCTGCGCAGTTGCTCCTGCAGCTGCAGCACCTGCGCCGCCAGCCGGCCCCGCTCCGCCAGCAGCACCTCCTCGCGCTTCCCAGCCTGCTGCTGCAACAGCAGCAGGTGGCTGCTGCCGGGGTGCGCCTGTGTAGCAGCCTGGGCAGCAGCCTCGGGAACTGGGCCATCAAGAGGCAACTGGTACTGTGGCTGTTGCTGCTGTTGTTGCTGTTGAGGCGGGTAGAGGTGCTGCTGCTGCTGGTGGAGATGGTAGTCGTACTCCGGCTGCTCCAGTTGCAGCCCCTGTTGCCCCCCTGGCTTGGGTTGGGGTGGCGACAGCGGCATGGTGTTTGCAGACGCGAGGGCCGCATGCGACGGCTGCCAAGAGGGCTGCTGAGCCGCTTGGGACCAGGAGGCCGGAGGCTGCTGCAGCGAGGGAGGTGCGGCGTGCGCCTGCTCGTGCTGCTGCCAGCTTTGGGAGCTGTAGTAGGGTGTACCTCCTGCGTTGCGCTCAGGGGGCTGCTGTTGTGGTGGTGCATGGGCCTCCTCCCCGCCTGCCCACAGCAGGCCTGGGGTATCATGGTCCTCGACCTCATCCTGCGGCTGGGCTGCTGGTGCGGCCGGCCGCAGCTCAACACCGTTCAGGCGTGTTAGGCGGGGCAGCGCCGCCGCCAGCAGCTGCTGGCTGCCGGCTAGCTCACATACCGGGTTCCCGCGTACATCCAAGTCCGTCAGCTGAGGCAATTGTCCCAGAAGGTTTACCTGCAAAGCGCACATGCAGTTGTGGCGTCATGTTGGGTTCGTCGCCTCTGGATTCCTGCACGCACCCGGCCGCTGGCCCGTCCAAGGACTTACCCAAACGCCTGCATCCAACCGGTTTGATGCCAAGTCCAAAATACGGAGGCTTGTCAGCTCCGTCACCTCCTCCCCCAACTGTGCTCTGTTTTTGGATTGTTGAGGGGAGAGGGGTTAAAAGTTGGACAAGGGCAAGGCCTGCGCCCCTCGGGACGCAACACGCCGCAAGGCTTTAGTTGGGTTCCGCCGCGCCCAATGGCAACGATTCGAGCCTACACTTACATGTTATTTTTCCTGGCGCTTAGAACTGTTAGGTATCGTAGGCCCGCGAGACCGGCAAGCGTCGTTAGATGGTTATCGTCAACCCTTAGTTCGCGCAGGTGACTGAGTGGACCAAGATCCCTAAGAGCGACGATGCCATTATTACGCAGGTCCAGGCTTTGCATAGATGGATACTGCTCGAAGAGGGCTTCCGCTAGGGCGGTGTCAAAGACCACTGCCTGCGCCATGTTTAGGTAGCGTCGCGATGCAAAAGTATTCTAGATGTGCTAATAGCTATGTTACACTAGCCCAAAATCTGGAAGGCGTCGTTGTGGAACAAGCTGTTGGAGCATTCGTAAGCAAACTCATGATCCAGTAATGACATTGTAATTTCTAGCCCAGACCGCTTTGAGCGTTTAACAAACTCAACAGAAGCATCACATGACCACATACTAATAGTTGTCTGTGCGTATATTGTATCTCCTTTTCGGCACTTTCCTTTCGACATTCCGGCGTTGAACACTGTTGGGCTATCACCATCTGCCATGTCTGCTGCGGCTTGCCTTCGCTCAAGCAGAGGCTTGGTACGCTTTGCAGCCCCTGCACTAGGAGTCCTGCGGCCATGCTCGGCTGGTTGTCAAGCCAGCCTTGGCGCGTCGTCCTTTACACCAGCTTGGACTGCCCCTCAATCGGTACCGTGTGGGTAAGTTATGCTGCCTTATGCATGTTGCTTACCCTTTCCAGATAGCGCTATCTACGATGTCCCCTCACCATCCACACAGGAGCCAAGCGGCGCTAGCAGCGGCAGTTACCCCTAAGAGGTGCTTCGCTCTAGACGCCGTACAGCAGTACCTTGTTGGGCTCAGCAGCTCTCAAGGTGAGGACGGCGTTTAACGGGCGCTGGAGCAGCTGGTGAGGTGGGTAGGCCACGTGTGTATGATAGGACGCAGGCCGGGGTGTGCATGGCGTGCAGCTTTCCGTCGCAGGCGCATTGTCGAGTGGATAGCAATGTAGGGCGTCCCGTGGTGTTCCGACAAGGTTGTGGCATTGGATAGAGACGTGGGATCAGGGTCGAACCCAGTTCATGTTTTCGCCGTCTGCCATGTCCATTGCGAGAAGGAACTTGACACCACACTTTTCGCTTGCACGCTTGCCAACATCGGGGTTGTATACCTGGGTAGGAAGCGCCCTGCATCCCGCGCACTTACACTCCTCATCCCCTTCTCCAACATATGTACCATACTGCCACTATAGTTGGTTTCCCTCCTTACCAACCAGCACCGCTCGCCGAGCGCCTACACCAAGCGTTCATTCCTTTCACCACCTCAACTCTTGCCTCACATGGGCTCCCTTTCGTGTACTACAACCGCACAGTAAACATCCTTCTGGTTCCCCGCGTCCTTCCTCCCCACAGATCCGGATCACTGATGTTGGCCTCTGCTCCATGTGGAACACCTGCTGCGCCGGCATGATGGAGGTTGCCAGATGCGCGGCCCCCCTGGTACTCCTATGCTGTCCGGGTAGCCTGCCAGCATTCGTGCAAGACTGCTGAGCTGCCATCAGAGCTCATTCCCATGCCGCCTGCGGTGTAAGAAAGACGGATGTCGGGCGGTTAGGGACCAGGCAGCCCAGGTGGAAGCGGCACGTCTGCCCCAGGCGGGCGATGCGGGCTTTCTACCCGCTCCCCCTGCCCGTGACATACCTTGCCCTTAAGGCCCTTCTTAATGGCCTCCTTGTCGACCGCCTCGAGCAAACCCTGCAGAATCGAACGTAGGTACAGACCTTGTAACACTATGTGCATTAAGTACGGCCCTTAACCGGGAGGTCCCACTACCCACCTCGTTTATTACCTCATCCACTACCAGCGCCAGCTTAGCGTACTTCTCCAGCAGCAGCCCCGAGGAGGGTGCTTTCCCCAGGATGTCTTTGAGTACCTGGATAATCACACGCAGCACCTCCACCACTGCATGGAGATAAGGAAAGGGGGCTCGTCATGCTTGGGTCTGCCATCTTAGGCATCCCTGGCTTCCTTGAGATACTTACGTCCTACTTCATCGTACTCGCCGGATCCCATCAAGTAGAACACCGTGTCGGTTACCGGGATGAAGGCGAACCGCGCCAGCCTGCCAGGACAGCAGCCGTTAGTTGTGCGTAGCGGGGGGCCGTCGAAGTGGGCCACGACAGCGGGACAGCGGGGAAGGGGTGCTATCTCCCTTGTCACACACGAAACACCATCTCACTTGTACGGAGCAATGAAGTCTTGCTCCTCTAGGTTTATTCGCACATTGCTTGACGCCGCGCTAAATGCTGCTCGGATCTCGGCCTTCTCGAGCTCCGTGAATCGGTCGAAGAACCGTTCATAGATCACGTCGCCTGCCCTAGTGGCGACTAGGAAGCCTGCGGGGGTTTGCCAGGCCAAGGCGGGACACGCATTACCACCGCAAGAAAGGAAATCCATTACACATCTGACATGTGCTGTGGTAGCAATTATTGCAGTACCCCCGGTCGCGCTCACAGTGCAAACGCCCAGTGTCCATGTCCAGTCGCGCCTTGACGCTACGTAGTGCACTAACTAGGCAGACGGCCTCATACCATTATACCTAATAAGTTTGTGAAATGCTTTAATATCTACGATTATAGCATGGAAGACCGTCTGCGTCTCTGCGTTGTCTCTACCCAACAGTTGTTGCACTTATGCTTAACAACGTATAAGGTTAAGATGCTACCCATTAGCGTTAGGTAAAATGCAGAAGCAGAGTTTCCTGCGTTGATACGGATCCGTACCCAAAGACAGACCCGCAAACCGCATCCAAATGCATGTAGACGCTTATGGGCCCCATTAACATCGTAATAACTGCAAGTTTGGCCTGAAGGAAGAGCAGCTTTATCATGCTAATCCTGCTGTCAACCGTTCCCCACGGGGTGACCTGTGAGCTGTTATTGTGGACACGCCAAATCTGCATTCTTTTGTTGAGATGTTTGCGGAAGGTATGACCTCTTTTGCCCTGAAAGGCGACATCGGGCAGCCCTCAAAGCCCAGTTGCCCACGCTCCCGTTCTCGGCTGGCCAGCGTGCATTGTGGTAACCCTTTTCGCCAGGGGTTTAACCTCGCTGGTGTAGAAACATGTTGGTCTATCAATAAAAGCTTGTCTATAGTCAGTTGTTTCTGAGACTGCCTTCATCCGCACGACACATTAGGCTTCCCTTCTTCTCAAGCGATTTGTATGCTTTCGGTTTATCTGAAGAGGATATATGAAGGGATGCGGTAGAAAGAGGCGTGCAAGGTGTGGGTGCTTCGTCTTGGATCTTAGGTTCCAGCCCCTGAACGACAGCCACCCTTGCTTCGAGTGAAACGATTATGGGTGAAGACGGAATAGTGCTGCAAGCATATTGCACTACTAGCTTTCAATATCCAGGGTATTGTATTACGAAGCTGATTCGCTAGGTTGTCCGCTTTTGTTACTTTACACTTCCCGACCCAATCAACCGCTATGAGGCGTGCCGATGTAGTGTTAAGAGGTATAGGGAGCCGCTAGCATGGTTGCGTTCCGAAGACGCTTCCCTTAGGTCTTTGTCAACAACGATGGCTGGCACCAGCACGAAGGCGTCACGGACCACCCAACAGCAGCTACAGGAGGAGAACTACAGCCTCCGGATACAAGTATCAAAGCTTCAGGTGCCTGGCTTGCAGACGCGCAATGTCGCATGCGCCGATGGTACACCAGCGAGAGCCTTAAGGCCGACGCCTAGATTGGAGAACTGGAACCCTGACGCAACATCTGTTTGTGCGCAGGTGGCACTGCGAAGTGCCTTGAGCCAAAAGGGGTGCGTCCGTTAAGGTCCTTTGGGTATGCTCCATGCTCCTTGTCAGGGTGGTTTCAAACGTTGCAGGACCAGCACGGGGAGCGGCAGCAACCCTGCGGAAGTGCATGTGCCAAAGCACCAACTCGACTTGATATTGGTAAGCTGCAGCAGACGATGGGCTGCAGGGATGCCCAGTACCCCTCCACGTATTGTGGTGCCCCGCATCGCATGCAGGGCGAGTTGGCAGCGTTGCGGCAACAACTTGGCCAGCTTACCGAGGAGAACCGGGGGTAGGCCTGGGCCGGATCGGTTCATCACAGTACTGCTTATACGGCGGCGTCTGGTTATGCTGAATCCTACCGCATCATATCACAGCGTGTTCTCCCCATGCAGCCTGCAGGTGCAGCTCCGTGAGGCGCAGGCCGCGTCAGCTGCAGCAGTGGCAGGCGAGGGTCCGTGGGCCGCTTCCGCGCCGTCACCAGCAGCCGGTGAGGTGGTTTCACGTCGTGAGCAGTATGGTTACAGATTTCAATCATGCAGCGGGTGTTTGCACATTTTCTCCACTCACGCCCCCTGCGCAAAATGTGCAGGCCAGGACCGCCTGACGAGAGGCGACATGGCGTTCATCGAACGGGAGATCATCAGTCTCAAGCAGAAGATCAACGAAACGCGCAACAAGCTGCAGGCAGCGGAGCCCCGGACGCCCTGCGAAGGGCTATGCACGCCTCCCACTTTGCGTGACCTGCCGCCCAACAACGGGCCGGCTGCAGTGCGTCAGGGCGGGCCCATGGCCGTGAAGACCGGAGCAGTCGGCGTTACGGTCCCGCAGGCGGCTCACAACGCCCCGATCCGTGCAAACCTATCTCGGCCCTCATCTATAATACGTGGCCGTACCGCACAAGTCCAAGCAAACAAGAAGCCCACGCAACCAGCACAACGCCCGGCGAAGGTGGGAACACGCAATACCAGGCCATCGTAGCTTAGCTGCTACACCCCAATGCGCCGCATTAATGACCGTACCCTTGTCCGCTTCACATGCCAACCGACAGGAGAACCGCGCCAATCCGATCGGCAGTGTCAACCCGCCGGTACGGGGCAAGTTGCAGCGCGGCCGTGTCGCTTTTGACTAAACGGTGCCGACACAATAGGTGGCGTGATCCTCTCGTCCCTGACAAGGTAGGTCGTATCCTCTCAGTCTGTCATATGTCGCAGTACTCCCTATGCTACACACTCCTTGGCCTCCAACCTGTAAATCGTTAGGGCCGCATACCATACGTGCGCCCTACATGACCACCCACTCGTGCTTAAAACAGGGCTCCATTGTATGAAACATGTCCCCATTTAGGGACAGCACGCTCATCTACGAAATGTGTCCCCAAACCCCTGTGTAGCACTCTCGCACTCTTTGAGACTTCCGCCCTCATTCATATACACACACTCCTGCAGGTTCGTTCCATATGAAACCAAGATTGAGTTCGTTAAGCCTGCAACCCCCTTCGTCATCACCGTGCTCGGCTCAGGCCTAGCCGCTTGAGCAGCTCATCTGTCTCCCCGCGAATGGCCGCTACTCGGTCCACAGTCTCAGCGCGGTCGCGTGCGAGCTCCTGCTCCGCTTCGGCAGCTGCCTTCTCGGCTGCTGCTGCAACCTCTTCGCGCGCTGCCGCCTGTCGCTGCTCGCTAGCTTGCAACGCCTCGTCCGCGGCCCGTGTGATGGAGGCCTGCATCAGCAGGGAGTACACCTCCGGCAGCACTCGTTCCTGGGCTAGGTCGACTGCGCTGACGCCGTCCTTGTTGGGGCGTGTGGGGCTGGCGCCGCGTCGCAGCAGCAACCGCACTGCCTCTTTTTGATTTTCACGCACCGCGGCAGCTAGTGCGGTGAGGCCGTCCTTGGCCTCCGCGTCAATAGAGGCACCCGAGTCGAGCAGGAGTGTCAGCGTTTCGCAGTCCCCAGCGGCTGCTGCGGCCATAAGTGGCGTGCCGCGGGCGCTAGTATATGCGGTGCAGGGGGGGTGTTAGCCGGGGGGCAGTCCCGTTAGTGTTTATGAATGCCTTGTGTAGGCCTTAGGGGGCAGAAGGGAGTGGGCAAGAAAAATGTGTGATGTGTGGGGGGCAGGGGCATGGCTTTAAAAGTACATGACGGTGGTCTAGATGGTACGTCCTTCCATGCTATAGGTCACCCGCGCCTGATTCAGCCATGGTTACCGGCATAGAGAGGGGTAAAGCGAGGCATCCATCTGTTGCATGGGGTACCGGTATGTTTGGGGTACACTTTGGGGTCCGTGTACACTACTGGCATGCATAAGGCGCGCCAATGTACAGATAACGAGACCTGTACCTGCAATAATTGACATCCGCTCCATGCTCGAGTAGTAGTCGACAGCAGTCTCCATCCCCAGACAAGATGGCAGCTCGCAGAGGGTAATTCCCATTGCTGAGGTCCCCATTTGCTTCAGCGCCATGTTTGAGAAGTATCTTCAGAATGCTCGCTAGACCATTTTCGGCAGCAGCAACAGTTGGAGACAAGCCATTCTCCGCAGAGACATAGTTAGGTTGGACGCCTAAACCTAAAAGCGCGCTAACGCTTGTTTCGTCGTTTGCAGCAATTGCAGCCATAAGCTCGTCCTGCTGCGAGCTGGGCTTTGGTGTCCGTTTTGGGGCCATGAGTGGATGGCTTGCAAAGGAAGAACCGTACAATATACCCTAATAGCTCACTGGTAGAATTATCAGGTTCGCAGCATACCGCTTCAAATGCCGTCAACAGGCCACCGACGATTCCAACCGACATTTGTTTCGTGGAGGCCGCGGATCTTGCACTACTCGCGACAGCAAATACGCGCACCCGTTTGTAATTTGGAAACAATCATGTATATCAATTCTATTATAACTCCTAAAAACTCTTTATCCTTGTTTGATGCGACCAACGGGTCGGCACCGGCTGACATACGTTACACCTGTTTCCACGACAGCTTTGTCCTACAGTCGTTAGCACGTAAGGGCACCTTGGCAGCCAATTGCTACTTCGCAAGCCACTCCGCCGGTGCAGCCAACAGCGTCCTTGGGCCCAACGTCCATGCAGGTGCCTAGATCGTGAACCACACCTCCTCCGGCCACACTTACCCTCCTGCGTATCCAGGGCGTGCCAAAGCCAGCACCGCATCAGGACCACTACACCACAGATCCGTTTCCTCAACACGCCCCGTTCCGCACCCGAAACACGTTGCACTTTGCTGTCGCTGTGGGGAAGGCTTTTGCCGAGAGGTTCCAGCAACAGCGCACCTGGTTATGCTGAGACCCCTATACGAGAAGGCAGTCGGCCAAGGAATATAGCCACTGCACGTACGGCGGCCAAGCGGTCGCTGACTTGGGATGGATGAGGGGCCTGGCGCTCCTGCGTGTTTACACCTAATGCGTGCTGATGTGGCAAGGCAAGATCATTGGGCTTCAATGCCGGTGTACTTGCTCGGTGTCGGGTAACGCTATACCGGTAGCTCAGTAAGCTCCATTTCAATGTTACGGCCATACTCATATGTAGGTGACTTTGTCAAGTTGGGGAGGCAGCTTAGCCAGGAACAAACGTTACTGACACACGCTGCCTTGGCAAGCAGTCACGGGGACAAAGGACCAAATCGCAGTGCAGTGTAGGGCCCCTGCATGCTCGATGGATGCCAAAAGCGCCCCTGAATACTCAATGGATGCCAAAAGCGGAGAGGAACACCCACCACTATGCTCTCACAACCCCTACCTTCCTCCACTCTCCCGCACCCCCGCCTGCAAGCCCGTTCCCTGAAGTAGTCATACCTCGCCGCGCATGCCCCAGCACGTATCAACCCCCGGCCCCGGGAGCCCCCATGTCTACACCCGAAACAGTGGCCCCAACACATCGCCGCATCATGCCTAAGCCACAACGCCTCGATAAAGGACATCCCCCTGCCGGAAAGCAGGCACAACACACAACGAATGAAACCTACCCGCGCTTTGCTGGCGCCTGGGGGGCGGAGAGGAGGGCGGGCGGGGTGAGGGGCGATGGGCAGTCGGAACATGGGAAGCTGCCGTAAAACTGTCCGCAGCGGGTATGAGCGGCATAGGTTTTGCTATTTGCTTGCTCGGGAAGGCTTGCCTTAAAGACTGCTCCTCACGCCACGGCTCCCTGGCAGCTCGATCCAGATCCCGCTGTGCAGCCGTAGCAGTGGTTGTCACAGCGAATGGGCCGCCCCGTGAGCTGCTTCAGCGAGGAGATGTCCCAGATGCTCAGCGGCCTCGAGGACGCCCCTGCCCCGGACCCCGCCTCCGCCTCCTCTCCCGGCTGCTGCTGCTGCTGCATGATGGCCATGTCGAGCTGCTGATTGAAGTCGCAGTCGTACACAGTGCCGTCCCACCGCACGCTCACCGTATCCCTGTGAATTAAAGGTTAAGCCGCGAGGGTGGGATAAGTTGGGTTACGAAACAGGACGGGAGTCAGTCATATAAGGCCTCATGGCGTCATGGGCCCTCCCCTCCCGTTAGATGCGCCAACCGCCGCACTGTTTGCCGTCCTGTAGCTGCCTAGCTCGCCTCCAGCCCGCCCTAAAACACACAAACCCAAATCTCCCGTTCTATCCACCACAACACCATGTACGGCACCAGTAGCCGGCTTCCTGCGTTCTGGTCTACACCCTAACCCTCCCGCACCTGCACATCAGCGCCGCCCCCGCCTCCGCATTAAACGCCTCCACCAACGTGCCCATGTACGCCTGCAGCTGACCCCGCCGCACCAGCCAGTCCGCGAACCGCTTGATGGGCATGTTGTTCAGCGCCAGCAGCCGGCTGAAGCTGATGCCGTACGCCTGGCCCAACTCGGACCGGTAGGCCGCCTCCAGCTTGGCCTGCGGGGGCGCCAGGAAGGCCCCGCCCGGGTTGTACACCAGGTCCAGCTGCAGCCCGCTGCCCGGCTGGCCGTAGCCGGCTGCGTTGAGTGCGCGGAGGGCGGCGATGGAGCGCTCGAAGACGCCGCGGCCGCGCTGGGCGTCCACGTTGGAGGCGGAGTAGCAGGGCAGCGAGGCAACGATGCGGACCTGCGAGCAGGAAGGAGGAGGGGTAAAGCAGACTAACGACTGACGTCAGGGGAGATCGACAGAGATACATATTCCGCATTGGGGTGCGGTGTTGCATGGGTTGGGAGTTTCCACGCCCCGTGCATGCTTCATCGCCCCGCCCTTGCTTCCCTGCTCCCCCGCCCCCACCTTGTGTGCCGCCAGGAAGGCCACCAGGTCTTCCTGCCCCGGCTCCAGCAGCACCGTCAGGTTGCAGCGGTCGATGATCTCCACACCCAGAGGGGCGGCGCGCTGCACCAGGTACCTGCAGGGGCGAGGCCGGGCGGGAGGGGCAGCGGGAACGGGACACAATCACACAAACCAGGGGGCGGGGGAGGGAGGGAAGGGAGCAGACGCTCAATCGAGGAGCACCCTGCAGGCCAGCTCGACCCACGCATCCAACCACACAACGCAAGCCACGCACCTGAAGTTCTCGTTAAGCTCCGGCGCGCCCCCCGTGATGTCCAACGTGGTCACTGCCGACCCGCGGGTCGCCGCCTCCGCCAGCAGCTCCAGGCAGCGGTCCACCACCGCGCGACTCGCCTGCAGGTGCCAGCAGCGCAGCACCAACAGAGAATCAGCGCAACAGGCCTCCAGCGCTCAGAGAAGAGCCAGCAAAAGGCAGCGCAGCACTACAAACACCCAGCTTGCCGCCGTTACGCTTTCCCTACGGTGCCTTTGAAGCAACGAGCCCGCACCGTCTCCCTTCTCTACACATAGCCACCAAAGGGAGTGCAGCCTCTCCCAAACGTGCAGCCAACACTGCATCGGCCACAAGGCACCGTGCCGGTAGTGGGGCCCATATCGGTGTTGCTCATCCTACAGCTAAGAGCCCTGACATACGCCCGTACCCCTCCCCCCATGTCGCGGTTTTCTCTTCTCCTGACCCTCCCCACGTCCTTTCCCTCCACTTGGCCCCGGCCATCGCCTCACTCGCCCAGTCTTCCCCACCTGCCCCTGTGTATTGCAATGAAGCACCCCACCTGCTCCTGTGTTCGCCGCGGCGAGGACTCCACGTGGCAGTGGCTGCAGGCCTGGTTGCACAGCAGCCCGATGTTGAGCTGCAGCGTGCGGGCGGCGGCGCGGCGCAGCGGGGCCACACCGCGGGACTGGGGGGGGAGGTGCGGAGGGAGGGAAGGTGCACGGGGAGCAGGGATGAGGGAGGCGCATGGGGGTGAGAGGGTGAGCTGGTTGTTGTTGAATAGGCTGAAGGGAGGAGAGTGGGTGACACGAGAGTGGGGATATGGGTTTGAAAGGCCTGGGCTGGCTTAACCACTGCCTCTGAACCATAACACCCGTACCAGGCCCCGAAAACCAACCATGTATCTCCTCGCACGTCCTTCTCCCCATGTACCTCCCTCGCACGTCCATCTCCCCACCAGCCAAAAGCCCGTTTCCCTCTTGTCCCAAAGGGCCCCTCCTCCCTATCCTTCTTTTCCGCTACCTCCGAACCTTGCAGGTAGCGTAGAATGAAGGTGCACCCAGGGCATCTAGCGACCGCTGCCGCTTCAAGCGCTCCTCTCGCGTCAGGGCCTGCTGCCCCGCAGCTGCCAGGGTCGTTAAGTGCTCCTGCAGCTCAACGTCCTCCTCCATCTCACGCAGGGTTTGCGGTATAAGTGATGTGCGCTCCTCGTCATGTGGCAGCGGATTGGCCTCTCCGGAGGAAGTTGGAGACAGCGCACATGCTTGAGCCAGGCGTTGCAGCGGAGATGGAATAACTGCAGGACGGCGCCGTTGCCTGCTGGCGAACACGGGGAGGGACTTGCAGTCTAACCGAACGATGGTACGGGATGCGGACAAAGCAGAACCTATCCTAGCTGCATAATTTACTGCTACAAGTCGGCAGCCAACTTGCCTGGGTTGCTGGTGATCCAATGCAAAGGGCTTACATCGCGCGGTCCTTTTGTGCACGAAGTCATGCGTTGGAGGGCTCGCCACCTTCATCTTGCGTATTTGCTATTCTTTCCTGTCACTGATTTTGGCATGTGGCAACTGGCCAACCCAACGCATTTCATGCCGTACAGCTTGAAAACTCAACCGCCTTCGCATTACGTGCCTCATTCCAGGCAGAGCTCTTGCTACTTAAGAAGACCTACCGTTGCGTCATACCTTAAGACCTATTCCTTTTCTTGTAGCTTGTGAACCATCTTTTATCTAACGTCGTAGTCATATCAAGGATATCCGATCACTATGCTGTCCTGGAACGACGATGGAGACGTCTTCTCTCGGAGTAAGTGCTGGATTGCTGCTATCTTGCAGCCTACCGGGATAGGGTTTCCCTACGTCCCGGGAGGCATGCACCTGACGTCAGCTGTTGCCCTGCAAAACTTCCCCTAAGCTGATATTTTGCCCTCCCCTGCTTCTGTTCGGCGACATAAAAATACAGATGCTCCCTGACGAAGTCAGGGTCCATGGCGAAGTAAGTGCCGGCAAGGGGGTGGCATGCAAGCCTAGCTTCTCCGCCACAACCCTGGAAACTCCGACACGTTTTGCGTTAAGCTGCTAATAGATGATAAGGATTACAATCTACATACACAAATACCAGGGGGCGTATATGCTCAAATGCAACTTGCGGAATTGCAACTTAGTTCACTGCGGGGCGCGTCCAATATTGTTCCAACCTCAATGTTTCTATTGTTCCTTACAGGCCTGCCAGCCTCACTGAGGCGCAGCGTGCTGGCTCTTTGCGAAGGTCTGCGGAGGCTCCCTGCGCATCTGCCTGCAAAAAGGCTACGGACCCGACTAGCTCGCCTCCAGGCAGCCTACCCGAGGCCAGCAGCCTGCTAAGGGGAACCGGCCACGCAGCTGAGGGCACCCTTGGTGCTGAAGGATGGTGAGCCGTGTCGGTTGCCCTTCCATTCTTGGAGTTGGTCTATCTTTTGGATGTAGCATTCCACATCCCGACAGGATAGCTTGATTCCAAGGATCTTGGCAATCCGCACATACCTCGAACATATGCTGTTTATTTTACTCCAATACGATTAACTGGAAAAGCTGATAAGATTGGAAATAGGACAGGAAAGCGCCGAGCTCCTCGATCCCCTGCCCTCACCGCTCCCCCGCCAGGTGGCGCCACATGGACCACAGCCAGATGAATGAGCAGCCGCTGCAGACGCCCAAGCCCGCGGAAACCAAGGGCTTCGTTCCGCAATTCGGCATCACTGGTCAGAACCGCTCCCTGTGGGCAGGTGCGCCCGCCTCCTGCCTGCCTCTATGTGCAAAGGAAGGCCCATGTAGCGAGCCACGTTACCGCCGTAATGTGTGGCGCTTAATTTCTATGCCAAAAGATAGGCCCGTGTAGCCGACCTTGATGCAATTGTGGGTCACCCGGTTGCGTGTATTGCCTGCAGATGAGGCTCCTGCCACGCCTGCTGCGCCGCCAGCTGAGGCCACACCGGCGCCGGCGGATCCCGCTCAGCCGGGCAGCGCTGTCACTCTTCCTGCCACTGCTCCGGAGACTGCCATTCCTGCCGCTGCCGTCTCCGATGTGCATGTCCAAGACACAACCATCCAAAACGCGGGGACAACGGGATGGTGGGTGTGGGCGGGTGCGTGCCAGGAGTATGGCAGCGCAAAGGGTATGGTCGCACTATATATATACCACCGAACGCCGCACCTTGGGCACCAATGGAGGGCTACCTTGCCGTACCATACTGGCACGGTGTCTTATATATGTACGACTTCCCACCACGTCCGCCATTTGTAGCCCTTGCCGGAAGCAAACTGCCAACCGCCCTCCCACGCCACTTTCACGAAACCCGCACTCCGGGACCCCAACACACTCGTTTGCTGTCACACGCAGGTGGGCGCACATGGACAACAGCATCCTCAACAAGCCCGCCGAGGCGGCGCCCCTGGCCCCGGGTGAGGTGCGCAAGGGCGAGCGGGTCATGGGCGGCGGCTTCACCCCGCAGTTCGGAGTGGCAGGCGGCAACCACTACGGATCCATCTTCGATCAGCCGCAAGGTAGGTGCTGCTGAGGGAGAGGTAGCCGAACCCCTTTTGTTTAAGCCACGTAAACGAGGGGTGCCGTGTTTGCGTTGCTTGCATCAACGACCGCTTGCATGCCTATTGTGCTGGTAAGGATCAAGTGATCAAGGAACATGCATGACTGACGTATTTGTCTTATGTGTGGGTGGTGAAGAAGTTAGTCGGTATCCGCCAGCTGCCTGTCAGACTGTCGTGGTTACCCGTAACTCATTGTCCTTGCCCGCAGATGCCAAGCCTGCTGGCGATGACAGCGACTGGTCGAGCTTTACGTCCGCTCCCAGGGCTTGAGGGACGAGAGTCGAGCCTGGAAATGAAGTGCCTCGTCACGAGGTGCGCCGGGTGAGGCATGGAGCTTGCGAAGGCCGGGCGGCGAGGGGGCTGGGGGCCTCCCGTGTGGGGTTCGTGACTTCGTGTCCCTTGGCGTTCTTTGGATGTGCAGCTCGGACGCCTAGCGTGCTGTTTGGCATGACACTGCAGTAACACATAATAAGAATGAGCATCGACGGTGACCACGCAACGGAGCCGCGATTAGACAATAATTATGCCCTTGGTAAGATGGCGTCAAGTAAGCTGAAAGTGCTGATGGTGGGAACCACGGGTCGACGGGTAATCTGCTGTGGGCCGGCAGAGGTATATTGTGTTTATGGGCTGTGAAGGCTGTGATATGCACTTCAAGTACGCGGTATTTATTTCCAAGTATGGATATAGGAGGAATGGGCATGTTGTAGCTTAGTGGCCACTCTTACGCTTGACTTTCTTGCAGTATTGCAAAGGTCCTATAAAGCGTTAGCAATAATTTGAAAGGGTAATTCTTTAGGCTGTACTGTAGCCTATGTCTCTTGGATAGGGCCCGATAAAGGCAATAGTAAATTACCCAAACTGCAGGCGTCTTCTCTCAAGCTGCTTTTCTTGCGTGTGGATTTGGGTTTAGCACGCGCGTGGGGCTCTCATGTGCATTGGGGAGGCCGTGTGGAGAGTTCTGGCGTAAGTAGGGGCCACATGTCTACAAGAATACAACCACGTGACGTGCAAGGGCATGGAGCCAACACGAGGCCCTTAAGACCTGTACAGCAAACAAGGCACGCCGTGAAGTGTTGTACTCATCTTCGACTTGTGTCATTGCTTGAAGTGCTGCTGTTTCTAGGCGTGACGACTTACGGTGTTGTGGGTACCAGTACATGCGCTTGCAATGACACGGGCGTTCATACATGGCAACAAAGCAGTGGCACCGTATGTAAGGACACAGCGGAAATCAGCCATGGCCGCTGCTCACAGGGGTGTTTTGTTGGTCAATTCAGTTAACTTTCCGGCAAGGCCCGAAAGCCACACCTAGCATCCTGAGGACCGTGTCGATAATGCAAGGCTTGGTGCCTACCCGGCTGTAACAAATCCCGTCCTGCACGACGCCGTCACACTATCCGAAATTGACGTGAGAGTGAATATTGGTATGTGCTGGCCGCTTCTTAAGGAAGTGCAGCAGCATCACTATCATCAGCAGCATTGCACAGTAGCGGACAGTACGCAACCAGTAAGATTGCTGGGTTGAGATGCCACTGCTGCCAGTGGCCGCGTTCCTGTACATGAACCACACGTGCGGCACATGTCAGGCCGACCGCTACCATGTGCCAACGTTCCAAGCCGTTAGTTGGGAGCTTGGGAGTTGGGACCCGTAGGGCGGAAACAATAACCTTGATGTCTGCACCAGCAATGATTTCGATTAATTACTGCATTTTAGGATATCGTCTGGGGAGCCCCAACAGCGGCCAACAGCCGCAGTCCTTATGTACGAACCTCGCGTCTGACCGCACTCACCAGGGTAGAGTTCGGAAATAAAGGACAAACGAGTTTCGATCATATAAGTGTGCAGAGGTCGCAATGAAGGGCCCATCGCTAGTAATTAACCGACTAACGGTCGTAACCTCTGCTGCAAGAAAGGTATAGAGTGGCGGCCTTGCTTTAAACCTACATACATGTGAAGACATTTGTATTTGGTATGCGTAGGTAGGATATCCCAGCTTCTTCCTTACCGTTCTGCAATGTCAGCTCGTAAACAATGGCACATCAAGGAAGGACTGAGAGGGTTCGTCCTGTCGCCTTCTTTCGCCGTCGCGGCGCAGCTTGTCGTGGGTGTGTTTACAGCATCGCTATTCGTATTCGTGAGGTATGAGCGCGCACACGCTTGCTCCGGCGTAAGAGTCGCGACGCCGCCCATGTCTTGACGCCCTGGTCTGGCAGCCGGAAGCAGCTCTACCAATTAGACATCTCTACATACGGATGCATAATTGCTTAACTGCCGCAGTCCACTCTGCTTGCTTATTACCCTCACGGTACTATCATGGTTTGTGTGACAGTCATAGCTGTGCTAAGGGCGTTGGCTCAACGATTGTCCTCCTGTAAGCCTCCATGTTCCATGTACCATGTAAATTAACAGTTTCTCACGCGTTATCCTCTTTCTACTGCCTCATGCTGCCGTTGCCGCCTGCACCGTAGCCGAATGCGGTTCTACCTGTCTTGCATCTCCTCCACCATCTTCATCGTAGCCGCCGTCAAGGAGAGCCCGGACAACCATGTGGGGACTCGGCTGCTTGTTGTCGCACTGGTGGGTGCACGCCAGGAAGATCTGCCTTGGGCTGCTCGTACACCTATCCTATGTAGCCTGCCTGGAGTGTCCACCTCATTCTGCTGTCGCGCCTGCTTCCTTCTGCGGAAGGGAACTTGCTCTCCAACAACCACTGCAACAATGTAGCGGTGTGCGTCCGAGCCAAGCCTGATCGCAAAGCATGTGTGTTCATGTCCCGCTCACGGTGGCCCTGTTCACTGCCTACTGCTGTTGCTCCCTTTGCAGGTGTACGGCGGTGTGACGTGGGGATCCACCCTGGCCGGTTGCGTGGTGAGACATGGGGGTGCCTTGACAAGTACTGCCTTGACGTGCAGTTAAACGCACGCTTCTTGCGGGCCTGCTCACTCGCGAGTCGCTGTTCCACTTCTACCGCTTCTCCCACCTTGCACACCGTTCCATGCCCATCCCCAAACGCCAAACCTCCACCTCCCGTCCTCCGCCCATCCACCAGATGTCGCTAGCACTCCTAGCCGGTGAGCCGGAGACACCCGCCCATTCCGCGGTGCTGTGCTGCCTGTGCACCCTGCTGCTGGGGGTGTTCCTTATGAACCGCGCGCCGCTGTCTCCCACCGCCCCGCCCTTCATCGGCGCGGCGGGGCTGCTGGCCTCCGTGTTCCTGGGTATCTCCACCATCCTGGGGCAGTACCAGCCGGAGCACCGGCTGATCTGGCAGGAGGTGAGGCGGGTTGAGGGGTGAAGGGGTGAGGCGGGTTGAAGGGTGAGGGTCGTGGAGAGGTTACAGTGCAGAACGGTGCTGGTGCCAGCGGCGCTGTGGCGGCGAGTGGTTAATTTCACCTCGCATCCTTCCGCTCAAACCACACGCTGCGCTTCGCTGAGGTGTGCCGTGGTGCGCCATCCGGCTCGCTTCTGCTCGCCTCCCTTCGCGCTCCCGGCTTGCTCCGCGCGGATTAACTTCCTGCTTGTCCTCCTCCTTCCTGCTTTCCCCTGCACACCGCACCGCGCAGACGGTTGGCCACGTCATCCTGATGGTGACCCTGGGTGCGGGCATCTCCGCACTCATGTCGGTGCTGGTGCTGCCCACGCTGGCGGCGGACGAGATGCGGGCCAAGGTGGCGGAGGCGGTGCGGGGCATCGGAGCCGGGGCGTCGCGGTGGGTGTTGGTGCTGGTGTGGATGCGCTGTCCGTTGGGGTGCGGTGGGATGCGTGGTTGGGTGTGGTGCTGCTGTTGGCGGGTTTGGCACCGTCTGGTCTGTTGACATGCCGGGGAAGTGCGTTATCCCTGCGGATGGGGACTGTGCTGTATGGACATGCTTTCCTGGGGGCCCGGATGCGAGAACCTCCTCCCTTCCCACATTCCATACAGCTTTGCAAGCACCGCCTTCCGGCCGGAGGGAGGAGGCTGCTCCCGCTCCTGCACCGCGCTCCCCAGCTGCTGCGATGACACTGCTGGCGGCGGCGCCGACGCTGGTGACGATGCCGGCAGTGGCAGCAGCAGCAGCAGCCTCGGCAGCGTGGGAGGTACGCTGGCAGGGGCTGGCGAGGGGCGCAAGACAGCGCCGGCGCCCTCACCCGCGGCGCTGCTGCTGCCGCCGCTACCGCCGGCAGACGGCACGGCGGCGGCGGCCGCCGCTAGCAGGACCAGCTCTGGCGACGGCAATGACAGCCCGGACGATGAGGAGGCGGCGGTTGAGCTGCTGTTTGACGGCATAGACGAACATGACGATGACACCTTCCGCCTGCTGCTTCGGCAGGCGACTACAGCGCTACCGAAAACCTCCGGCGGCGGTGCTGCCCCGCTACACGCGAAGGCAGACGCAACCACAGCTGCTGGTGCGCCTGTTACCGGCCGGCAGCCGGCGGGGGAGCCCGTAGCGGCCATGCGGCCGCTTCTGCTGCGGGCGCGGGCGTGTGTGGGCAGCGCGAGCCTGGAGCCGCCATTCATGCAGTCGCTGCCCGTGTCACCGGGTGGGCGTGGCGGGGGAAGGGGGCAAGCATGTTGGTGTGTTGTGGGTTGCTAGCTGTGGGGACACTGCTGGTGGGGCCAGCGATGGCCCGGTGCGTTCGCCGGGTAGCTTGCCGGGTACGGTACCTCCGTACCGCTGGGTATACCATGCCTATACCACTGTTGGTTCTTGTAGCGCCCATGCCTTCCTCCTTTGCACTGTACCGCAAGCACGCACAGATAGCCCCGCAGCGGCAGCGTCTCCGCCCGTCGCGAGAAATCGTCTTTGGTCGCTTTCCCAACATGAAAAGCATGCAAGCATACCACGACGCCGGCCCCTTGTATCTCCCCGCTGAACACCACCACCACCTGCCCTCCTGGGGCTCCCTCAGGCGACTGGTCACGTGTCATCACGGCAGCTGAGGAGCTGCTCAGCCGCCTGTCGGCGCTGGAGTGCGTGTTCGAGGGCGGGGCGCAGGTGCGCGACCCTGGCTGTACGGCAATGGAAGGGCACATACCGGCATGAGTGCATCCATGCGCATCGCGGCGTGCGGTATGTACGGCTAGCCCCAGGATCAAACGTCCGCATGTGTCCTCCCCATCCTGCCATCTCCTCCTGCTCCGCTGTGCAGTTCGCGGGCGACGCCACGCTGGCTCGTCACCTGCCGGTGGATGTGGTGCCGCCGTTCCGAGTGGCCTACGCACACGTGGCGGCGGCCTGCGCGGAGCTGGCGCAGGTGATTGCGGCGGGCGGCGACGGAGGCGGCGGAGCTGGCTGCTGCGGCGCCAGACGGCAGGTGGGTGGGGAGCAAGTAGCGCTCCGTGTAACTGGCCGTAGCAAAACTTGTCGCGAGTTGAAACGTATTGTGTTTTCGGATCATCTCCGAGCCGGAAGATAAAGTCCTTGCGTTCCGTGTGCGATTGATCTGCCTGTGGGTTTCTAGAGCAGATGAGTTAGTGGTGCCTACCAAGCAAGCCCGTGCTCAGCAGCCGACCCATGGGTCACCGAGGCCTCGTCCTTCTCCCTTCCGTGCGTACAGGTCCGGCTGCACCCCTTTGGCGAGGCCCATTGGCGCTCCACCAGGGAGGGGCTGCGGGCGGTGGTGAAGCAGGCGTACCACGGCTACTGGCGCCGCATGCGGGGCAGCAGCGGGGGGGAGCGGGTGCGCATCATGGAGGCACAGCGGGTGCGTGCCGTGCTGGGGGCAGAGCAGGGCAGGGCAGGGGAGCGGTGAGGTAGACTAGCGAGAGGAAAACAATCTGTGTATTTTAGGGTTTTGTAAATGCGTCTCCGCACAGACCAAAATGAGCTGGAGCGAACCGCCCGCAGATCCGAGGCATCGCCTACCTGTGGACCCTCACCGCGGGTGTGGTGGACGCGATGGCGCAGCTGGAGCGCGCGGCGGTGGAGGCGCAGGGCAGTGTGATCGCGGCGGCAGTCGCGCCAGGGGAAGCCGCAGGGGCCACGGCGTCTGGCTGCGGCCCAGCCACGGTGCCAGCTGCAGAGGCCGCAGGGGCTGCCGGTTGGGTGCAACGGAAGCTGGGCTGGGCTGCTCCGCTGACCATGGTGAGCCCTTGGTGCATGCGGATCACGGCCCTGTTGCTCCGCTGCCGGGAAGCGTTAACCACCGCATGCATAGATACCAGGATGCGTTGGATGTGTGGATGGGTCGTGTTGGGGGGTGGTGGGTGGGTGTTTTCCGTCGCACTGGTGCCTGGTGACTGCCGACGGTATGGCTGTGGTACACTGAGCTTCCCTGTCGCCGCCTAGAGCTGATCACGCTCGTCGCACTCTTCCCGGCCCTCACTACGTGAATGCGCTCCCTGCCTTGCGTACGGCAGTCGGCGCTGGGTGTGCCGCTGCTGGTTCACACGGCGCACATGATGCGGTGGGAGACCCGGCGACTGCGCACCGCGCACGGCCGACAGGTAGGCGGCGGTGTGGGCAACGACTTGCAAAGGCTTGGTTCTGCAAGAGTGGTGTTGCGTTACCCCTGACCCATGGGTCGGGCCGCGTTACCAGCACAGACCTCAGATTTGTGCTATGCCATTCGGCTTGCGTACGTCCAACGCTTTGTTCAGTTACGGTGGAAGCTTAACACAATTCCGTTCCGTCACGCTCTTCGTTGTGCCTGGGTGCAGGCAATGGTGCGGAGCAAGGGCTTCCAGGTGAGCCGAGCCCCGGGAAGTACAGGGACTATAGGGAAGGGGGGCGGACGCCGCATGCAGTCCACCACCTCTGTTACCCTCACCCTCGCCTCAGAACCCTTTTGACGGGAAGCATGGTGTACGGCGAAGTGCCTGGGTGGCTGACGTGACGCACACCTACCACACTACCGCATGGGAGGCAAACGCGCAACCTTACGACTCACCTCACGGCACCTATGGAAGATGCCATGGGAAGGTTAACAATTTATCATGCACCAACTCGTCGGTGCTCCAAATGCACGTACTCCATTGCCGTCTGCCCCACATTACCTTCCCTGTTGGCCCGCAGGCGGGCTTCAAGTCCTGGCTAACCCTCGCGACGGTGCTGCTGCTGACGCTGGGGCTGGGCCAGCGGCGGGACCTGGGCACGTACGTGCACTTCTACCAGCCCATCTACGGGTACCTGTCGGCGGGCCTGGCTATCGTTGACAGGGTGAGGACCGGGCGAGGGAAGGAGGGAAGTAGAAGGAGACCAGGCCTGTTGGGAGGGAGGAGCGCGTGGGTGGGTGGGCGAGGGAACGGGACCCACACTCCCGTCCCCTTTCAGGGCTCAACCCTCGCCCATGAATGCTTTCACGCCCTAGCCTCATGTATGGATGCCTGTCCACTGCATTACTCGTCCTACCCATGACCGTGTGACCGTACAACCCCCAACCCGCTGCTGCTGCTTCCGGGCGCCCAACCCGCTGCCAAGTGCAGGTGGAGGCCACCACGGGCCGGGTGGCTCACTGGGTGGGCGGCACCATCATCGGCGGCACGCTGGGCTTCATCGTCATGCTGCGATCGCAGCTGGCTACACAGCCGATCGGGCTCATGGCCATCATCTGCGTCTTCGCGTTCGTGGTGAGGGTGGGCTGGGGGCAGGGGGATTGCCGGTTGGTTGATGCTGCTCATGACCGTACCCCGCCCCCCCGCTCCTGTTTACCCCCCCCCCGCTCCCTCCTCCGTTCCACCCCGCAGTGCGGCTGCGTGGCCGGCAAGCCCGGCGGCCCCCTCCGCATGGGCACCGCCCTCACCCTTATGACCTTCACCTCGCTCGTCCTGTGCCAGTACAAGCGCTGCTGCACAGACGACGGCGCCCCCTGGACGCACGGGCGGCCCTGGGTGTACGGCGCGCGTGTGCTGTCTGTCATCATCGGCTGCAGCATCTCCGTGGCCTTCTCCAAGTACATCTTCCCTTGGTGCGTTGTGGGGGGTTTTGTGTGCGGGTGTTGTCCGGGAGGCCAGGTGCAACCTCGCGAGCGTACGGTACTTTCCCGCGTCTTTGGGACTGTTGAACCCTTATAATACCGATACGACTTTACTGTACATCCCGGGGCTTGCCGCGGCTCATGCGTGCAGGTACACATCCGACTGGGCACTGCATGTGACGGGACGCGCCTTCCGCGCTGCTGCGGGGCTGGTGCGCGCCTACTACATGCAGTTCTATGACGAGAGCCTCAGGTGCGGGTCGCGCGTGTCGCTGGTACATCGCCGGGGAGGGGGGGCCGCGTGCTGTGGGGCTACACCACTATCCGACATGCATGCATCCCCAGTGTACGGCATGCATTGTCATACATGCACTCGTAGCGTACAGGAGCAAAGGGCCCCCACGCGTGGCACTGCATATGCATGGCTGCTGCTGCGGCCTGTCGTACACTCCCCCTTACCGTAACCGACCGCAACGGCACCCCTCCTCCCGGCGAGCAGGGCCTACCAGGCAACCAAGGGCGTTGCCGCCACCGCCGCGCTGTGTGCCCGTCACGGCGCCCCCTCCTCTCCCATGAGCGCTTCGGTCGCCGCCGCCGCAGCAGCCCCCACCCCGGCACCCGCTGCCATGTCGAATAACAGCAACGGCGCCCCGGACCGCTGCAACAGCAGCAGCCGCGGCCATGACCCTTGTGAGGCAGCGGAGCCAGCGGTGGCGCTAGCTGCCAGCATCCATGCAGCCGCTGCCACCGCGTCACGCACCCACGCTGGCAGCAGCGTGACAGCTTCGCCTGCTGGCAAGAAGGCTTCGCCGCCGCCTGCCTCGGTACCCCCGGATTGGTGCAACAGCGCCGGCAGCCCGTGTGTCGACGTGGAGTCCTTTGCTGGGCGGCCTCTTGAGGGCAGCGGGCACGACAAGAAGGACGTCGTCAGTGATGCCGGTAGTGCTGAGGTGGAGGAGGAGGAGGAGGAGGAGGAGGCGGAGGAGGAGCGGGTGCCTGGCGTGCCTGCGCCCGCGGGCCCTCCGCCGCCGCCGCTGCAGTCGCAGGTGGCCGGGCCGCTGGTGGGAGTAACGATGTCGCTGGTGAAGGACGCGGTGGCGTGGAGGAGCGGACCGCTGGCCACACCGCCGGTGCGTGAGATGGGGGGGGGACGGAGGAGTGAACACGGGGGGACCTGGGTGCGAGCCGTAGGTAGTTGCCGTGCTAGGAGCTGTGGACCCTTTCCCAATTCTGTACCCGTTTCCTTGTTTCTCTACCGATATCTGTTTTCTCATACCCATTCCCTCTACCCATCATCCTCCCTTCCTCCCAGGCGGTGCATGCAGTGGTGGGTGCCAGCATGCGGCTAGTGGACCGGCTGGCGGCTCTGGGGCTGGCGGCGGCTGTACCCGCACTGGCAGACGGGCTCACCTTCACGGGCTGGGCGTTCGAGCACTTCCTGGTGCCAATGCATGCGGACATGCAGGTGCGTGCGTGCTGCGTGCGTGCGTGCGTGCCTGAGGAGAGGAGAGAGATGCCGTACGGTTGCATGTGGTGAACTAAGCCGTACACATAGGTGTGCCCTGCTTGGTTGTTGGAATTGTACTAAAAGTGGTTTTCTCTGCAACTTCTACCCACATGCAGGCCATCTTTGAGGGGTTGGAGGCGCTTGCAGGCGCCACTGCGGCGCACCTGCATGCCCTGACACGCAGCGGGGGTGGCGGCGTGGAGTCATGGGTGGAGGGGCAGGCGGGCGAGCGGGAGGTAGCCACAACGGGCGTGGCGGTGGAGGGCGCGATTGAGGAGCTTGAGAGCCGGCGGATCAAGGTGAGGTGATGCGGCATGGGTGGCGGCATGGGAGGGTGCAGCATGGGGTTCACTGCATGGGCTGGCTGATCCCGGCTGCTCGCACGTCTGCTGGCTCCCTAGGCACTGGCCCTCCGCAGCTCCAGGCCCGCATGCCTGGTCAGCGTCAGCCAGCCATGCTTGGCCCGTCGTTGCCTGCTGCACCCCTCCTTACGCTGCTGCCAGCAGTTGCCCGTCCGGCTACACACCTTGCCTCTCCTTTTGCCTTATGCCTTCGCGTCCTGTCCTCCTCTCCGTCCCCACGTCTTCCTCCCGTCCTCCCCATGTAAACGCCTCTTCACTGCACACACAGCTTCGAAACCACGTGCGGAAGCTGCGGCGGCGGCACCACGCGGGTGTGCTGGGCGCGGCTGAGGAGCAGCTGCCGCACCTGACGGAACCGGACGATGCGCTGCGCACCTACTCCTTCACATTCGCGCTCACAAAGGTCAGCTGGGAGGGGAGGTGTGGGCCCGTGTGGGCATGCATGTGCGCAGGGAGGGTGTGCAGAGGGAGTTGCGGGATCGGGTTGATGGTTGTGGGGTGCGGCAGCGGGCTTCGGGTCGCTTTAGCAGGTTTGGGTCGCATGTTCTTTGTCCTCTTCAGCGCCGTCATCCTCCTCTTTCGCCTGGCCCGCAACCACTTACCAAGCATAGCTCAGGTGCTCGGGTGCTGCTTTCCTAGCTACCTGGAGACCTGCCATCTGCCGTCTGCCGGCCACCCACCCGCGCACCTGCCCCCTCCCTCTACCCTGCTTGCGCGCCACGCAACCCACCACCACCACAGACACTGGACAAGGCAATGGCCCTGGCGCGTATCGTGGCCTCACACCAGCCCGAGGGCGCCGGTGTCCCCCTGCCGCGCGCGCTGTCCAAGTGGCTGGCCGCGTGAGAGGAAGGGTCCCGAACCTGCCTCCCTCCCGCATCTCGCTCCCGGCGGTGGAGGCGGCAGGATGTGAGCCCGCCGCTTAAAGCAACGTTAGCGTGATGGTGGCAGTGGCAGTCCTGTGTCTGCGTCGTGTGTTACTTGCTGGTCCGCTTCGCAGGCTTAGCACAGGGTAGCTTGGGCTTCCTGGCCTGGGGCGGTTTCGGGGTTGTCGCTGGGCCAGGGCAGTGGAAGGCGCAGGAGGGTGGGCGCGTGTGGGAGCTGTGGTCATGTTGGTGGGAGCGTGTGCGTGGAAGATGTGTGTGATGAAGTGTGTTAAGAAAACTGGCCGCGAGTAGGAAGTGTGTGTGCACAAGTACAAGTTGTGTGAGAGCGGCAGCTAGAAGGGGGCTGTTTTGTTGGTCTCCTGCTGCTGCTGTTGACAGCTCAGCGCTGAAGGTGTTTTGCCACACGTGCTTTATGGTGCATGCGCACTCTGTTATGTTTTCATGTCTGGGTCTTTTGTTGCGTACCCACATTGCGTGTGTCTTTGGCCGTGGCCTTTATTCTTTGCTTGTTTCACGTGCCCCAAGTCATGTGTGTTTCATCGTGATCGCATTCTACTTACATGAAGCCCCACAAGTCCCTATTTGCTCTTGCTGGGTGCCGCATTCCGGCATGTCATTGTTTGGGAGCTGGAACGGGTTGCACGGTTGGTAGTCTGGTAGTCAGCTTTGCCGGGAATCCAGTGGCGTTCTTGCTGCCTGGTCGCCGGCAGGTGTCACCGGCAGGTTTGGGTTGATCTTCTGGGCATGAGCTCTGGGCTGTAGTGCTGTCTGCACGTGGGGTTAGGAGCCGCGCAGGCTTCATTGATGGTATGCGAGAAACCTATGGCAAACTCAACCAAGTTGCTGTGTTTAGTCCTACATCTGGAGGCTATGTGACCCTGACGGGGGAGGTACAGACGAACCTTCGTTTGTGGGGAGGAGGCATGTGGGCAGTTCGGGTCCACATTAACACGTTGGGAGCTGTTGCAATCTTTCACCGGTCCTATTCCCAATTGAACGCCGATCCATGCTTATCTTCAATGTAGGCCTCACACTATATGTGTGCAAAGTTGCGAACTGCTACTTGGCTTGCGGCCGTTGCGGGAAATTTTGTATGGGCTCCGGAGCCGACGGTTGGCCTTAAAAACAGGTCGCATAAGCGGTCACCAGTACCAGCCAAGCCGTGTTAATTGTCGGTTATAGACTGTGTAGAACAGCATCTACCTCGGCGCTTGAAACCGTGTCGCCAGGAAGTGGAAGACAAAGGGATACATGTCGGCAAACACAAAGCCTTTTGATGGGGCTGGCAAGGAAGCGGGGCTACGCATATGGAGAGTGAAGGCATTTCAGCTGTTAGAGGAGCCTAAGCAGCATTTTGGCTCATTCTTTAGCGGTGAGTTCATTGTCATTCATAAGCCCTAGGCCTTTCACCAACGCTCTGATCAGGGTACCACGTTGCCCTATGCAATCAGTAATATCCGGACATTAGTTCATGGCAATTTCCCTGCAACGGTTGACATTGTGCCTCCTCGTTGACCGCGGAACATCCATACAGGGGATTGCTATCTTGTGCTCGACACCTTCCTGGCAGAAGGACGTCTTCGCCATCACATCCATTTCTGGCTGGGCAAGGATTCATCCACGGTTGGTGTGACCCCTGCTCCACCCTACTGTTAGCCATGTCGGGTCAGGGAAATGCATGAATGCAGGAAGCAGAGGGTAGCTGTGTGCTGCGGGTGGCAGCAAGTTTGCCCCTTTCCCGCTGCTATTGATGCTTTGCTGTTGCTGCCACCTCAGGATGAGGCCGGCAGTGTGGCCATCTTCGCCGCCCAGCTCGACGAGGCGCTGGGGGGCGGCCCCGTGCAGTTCAGGCAGCCGCAGGTAGATCCGGTTTGGGAGCTGCTGACCATCCCGCACGCTACGGTACATACCCGCATGTTGTGGACGGCTTCCCTAGCTGCCTCTAACCCCCGAACCGCTCCAGAGAACAACCGGGGATTGTGCTGCTGCTAGCACCTTCGCTTCCCTGCGGTCATTCCAACCTAAACAGGCCGCATCTCGCATCACTTGCTCAACTGCCTCAACGGCTCCTCTGCCTCCGCTGCATACCCCGTACCCAGGGCTCCGAGTCGCCTGAGTTCCTGCGCCTCTTCCCGCGGCTTAAGTACCTGGCTGGCGGCTACGTGAGCGGCTTCCGGGAGGCGGCGGCGGGCAAGGCCGCGGGGCCGCGGAGGCTGTACCAGGTCAAGAGCGCCAGCAAGACGTGTGTGCAGGTGCGGGGGACGGGCGCAAATAGGGGGTGGAGCCTTGCTTGCTTTGGAGTGGAGGATGTCTTGTGTAGTGAAGCACAATGCCCTCAATGTGCGTGGTGCAGCAGGTTCTGCTTGTAGAGACGCCTTTCGCAGGTTTCGCAGACCACCTTATCTGTTGGGTACACGCGCTCATCTGGATCGAGGCCAACATCCATCGCCTCGGCAACAACTCTGACTAGTTCCATCCTCCTCGGCCCCGTCCATCATCGCCCATCTGGGTCGAGGCCGGCACCCTTGTCCTCGGCAACAATCCATGCCTTCCACCAACCCCGCCCCCTCCCGCCAGGTGTTCGAGGTGCCCTGCTGCCTGGCCTCCCTCAACCACGGTGACTGCTTCCTGCTAGAGGACCCCGCGGCACGCGCGCTGTGGGTGTGGCACGGAGCCGCCGCCAACATCCGCGAGAAGACCCGCGCCATTGAGGCGGCGTACGCTTTCAAGGAGGGAACCGGCATCAAGGTGAGGTGCGGGCGGCGGCGGAGGGGAAGGGAGAGTTTGGACGGTACTTGCCCCGTGTGAGGTTTCCGTCACCTGGGGCTGCATTTGCTCGGGCCCCTTCCGCTGCTGGGCTCACCAGCCCCAGGGCATGATGCCCTTAATTCCTTGCTTCACCATGCTACTTCATCACTATAGCTTCAGCCCCCCACCTAACACCACCTTATCTCTCTCTCTCTATACTGGTGTTGCCTCACGACAACCGCCCCCCCTCCCTACCTGCAGCTCAGTGTGCTTGACGACGGTGACACGGTGAGCGGCGAGGCGCTGGCCTTCTACACGCGCCTGGGCTGCCCGCAGCCGCCGCAGCCGGAGGACATCCGGGAGGCCGCAGCGGACAAGCCGCCGCCCGTACTGCTGCAGCCGCCGCAGCTGTACAGGGTAGGGAGGGCGGGGTTGGGGTTGGCGGAAGCGAGGAGAGGGGTAGAGACGCATGCGGGGTACGGGGGCGGGGCTCCGCGTAGAGAACCCTGGAAGGAGCAGCTGCCGTGGCAGACGGGTATGCTGAGGAAAGGAGTGGAGGGGGTAGGGTAGCCTTGCTCTTTGCATGGTGCCGTAATCTGTGCCCCACAACCACCGCCGGGCCTGTCTGGTGCCTCCTTCTCCTCCGGTGCCTGTTTCTCGCCCTCCGCCTCCTCCCGCGAAGTGCCTCACCTCGCTGCTCCTCCCCCCTCCCTCCCTCCTCCGCCACCCCTCACCCAGGTTGCGGACTACGACGGCGGCTTCGCGCAGGTGTCAGTCAACGGCGAGCCGCTGAGTGCCGCCATGCTGGAGGCGGGCGGGCAGTTCGTGCTGCACGCGGCGGGGTGCATCTGGGTGTGGACGGGGCCCAACGCGGGCGGGGAGGCGGCGGCGCCGCTGCAGGTGGGTGGGGTTTGGAGGCATGCGTGATGTATGTGGCTGCGCCGAGTCGGTAGGTGTGGAGCCAGGTGGAGCCGCACGTTGTCAAGGTGGCTGCGGGCAGGGATGAAGGGGATGAGGTGGGCTGTCCTGCGTTCTATCGCACGACCACATGTCTTCCTTGCATGCGCGCATCTTACCGCGCACTCCTCCATGCCCCACCTGCACCATGCGCCCCGTATGAGCAGGTGGGCTCCCGCTTCGCCGCCTTCCGCGGTCTGCCCGCCAGCGCGCTCATCAAGGCGGTGCGGGCGCGCTTCGAGCCGGGGCTGTTCACCACCTACTTCGGGGACTGGGGGGCGGAAAAGCAAGGCGGCGGCGGCGCCGGAAGGACCCCGGGGCGGGACTCCTTCGGCAACTTCATTCCGGGACCCGGCAAGGGCACGGGTACGGGGGCGGGGGGGGGCGGATCTGGGAAGGGATTCGGGTTGGGGTGCATGTGGTGCGCGTTTTCGCGGCGGCGCTGTATTGGTACGTGTATAGCTGTGGTAGGGATAGTCGGAATGGTTGTACCTTGTACGTTACCTGTGCGAGGTGGCAGCATTGTCTGACAGCAAAACCCTGCGTAGCTTGCCTCCATAGCATTGTGCATGTCATCAAGAAGACCCTCCCCACTCCACTCCGCTGCGCGCCCCCGCACTGCTCCCCCGCTCCTCCTCCCCTGCCAGACGAGCAGCCGTACAACGCTGAGGAGGCGGTGGCGGCCATGGTGGCGCTCGCGACGGAGGCGGACATGGCGGCAGAAGGTTTCGGAGCCGCCGCCGCCAGCCTGGAGGCTGCATGTGCACGACTAACCGCCAGCAAGATCCGGGTAGGGAGGGAGTGGTTGTAAACCTGCCGTACATGGCCCGCCTGCCAAACCCTCAGCTTCAGCATGTGCTGGGCGACCCACATGCCATGTATCATGTGCTGTAACCCGGCTGGTCTCATGAGGGGGACTACCCTACACCATCCCGCAACTTCACCCGACGGACGGGCAGTGGCGACGACACCGCACACTTGACTCCTAGAACCAACGCCCTCCTGTTCGCCCAGTCCTCACCCCCTCCCTCCCCTGTCCCTTCCTGCTTCCTGGCCTGCAGGTGTGGGCCATGTCGGGCGCCTCCTCCCTGGAGCTGCCGCGGCAGGAGGTGGGGCAGTTCTACGACGGAGCCTCCTACGTCGTACTGCACACGTACTCCACAGGCGCAGGTAGATGGGGAACAGCACTGGGCAGGCTGGGCCTGCTTCCCTTCCAACTAAACGTCGGCGCAGCTCTCTCCAGTCGGCTCCACATCGCGCCTCACATATCTTGCTGGGGAGGCCTCCACACAGATTTGCCACCACCCTCACCCCCTTGCTTTCCTTTCCCCGTTGCCGCCCCCCTCACCTCGTTGCCTCCCCCCTCACCCGCCTGCCCCCCCCTCCCCCCCCGCAGACCCCACCGACCTGCGCTACGCGGTGTACTGCTGGCAGGGCCGCCACTGCGGCAACCTGGAGCAGGGCGCCGCGGCGCTGCTGGCGGCCGACCTGCACCGCACCAAGTACGCGGGGCGATCCACGCTGGTGCGGGTGGAGCAGAACCTGGAGCCGGGGCACTTCGTACGGCTGTTCAGGTAAGAAAGGGGGGGGGGTAGAGGGGAGGCGGTGGAGGGGTGAGTGATGAGGAGGCATGGCATGGAGACATGCCGCGGCTTCACCCAGCAACCATTGCTCCCTTAGCCGCCTTCTATACTACGCTGAATGAGAGCTCCCTTGCCCCCTCCCCCTCGCTTCCTCTCCACAGGGGAGCCATGCTGGTGCGGCACGGCCCCCGCCCCACCAACCTGGCTCCCGGCCGCTCGCCCCCCGGCACCCACCTGTACCAGGTCAAGGGGGAGGCGGTGGCGCAGGCGCATGCAGGTGCGGACGCCAGCAGCGGCTAGGGCCAGGCAAAGTGCAGGGGTGCTTGTGTGGGTCTAGGAATGTCCCCAGCGGTAAATTTCCACTTGGGTTGCTCCTCGCCCACACCTTTGCTGCTGCACTGCTACGCACTCGGATTGTCAATACTCGACCTACCGGCATTCCAATGCGCCCTCTCTCGCCCCATCTTTTGTTCATCCCAAACCCGCCCTTCCCTGCTGCGCCTCTCTCACCATGTTGCCCCCCCCCAATCCCTCCCCCCAGTGGAGGTGTCCCCCCGCGCCTCCAGCCTCAGCAGCGGCGACTGCTTCGTGCTGGAGCAGGCGGCGGAGGTGGGCGCCCCCAGCGCACACAGCCAGCCGGTGCTGCTGTGGCTGGGGCGTGGCAGCAGCGGCACGGAGGTGGCGGTGGCGGAGGCGGTGGCAGCGGAGCTGGCGGGCAGCGGGGCGGAGGTGCAGCGGGTGCAGGTGAGGGGTGCAGGGGGGGAGGACGGGAGCGGGTGGCTGTTAGGAATTAGAAGCCGCCGATGCGGCACGTAGGACGTGGATTCTGGGTGTTGTTCTGGAACCGAAGTTTACCATGCTAGTGCTCCAGTCCCGCGCATGCAGGATTTCGTCGCGCTGAGGTTTCCATCCACGCTCCTAAGCAACCTGCGCACGCCGCATCCTCTCGCCCCATCCATCACAGGAGGGTGAAGAGTCCGAGAGCTTCTGGGCCGCGCTGGGTGGCCGCGCCGCCTACCCCTCCGCCTCCCGCCGCGCTCCCGGCTGCTGCGTGCCCAAGCTGTTCCACCTGCGCGACTGCGCGGGTCGGGGCCTCAAGGTGGAGCTGCACACCGCCTTCGCGCAGGACAGCCTGTGCGGACATGACGTAATGCTGTTGGATGTGGGGACGGAGGTACGGGGGGAGGGGGTGCGGGAGAAGAGGGATTGAAGCGTTGTGTGGGTATGCCATGTACTTGGGAGGCGGCGGATGGTTCGGTTTGCGGGTTGGTGCTGGGAGTGCGGGCGGTTCTGCTTAACCTGGGCGGTTGGGCAGGGGAAGGGTGCAAGCCGCCACTGTCAGGCGGTGAGCCTGGGCGCCTTATCTCTAGCCGAAAATGCAGCTTCCAAACCCTCTCGACCATTTGGATGTGGGCACATCATCTTACTGCGTTCCCGTCGCCTGCACACTGCGCCGCCTCGTGCATTTCCATTTAGCCCCACGTTTCACATGTTTTTTTGTTTCGGTCCACGCCCCCTGTACTGCAGTTGTACATGTGGTACGGCGCCACCTGCAAGCCCACCGAGCGGCCCCGCGCTCGCGACGTGGCGCAGCGCTACCTGGCCGCCTCAGCGGCGCGGCGGGGCGGCGGCGGGGCGGGCGGCAGCGGGCTTGTGGAGGTGGAGGCCGGGCAGGAGCCACCCTTCTTCAGCTGCCACTTCGCCGGCTGGGATGTGGACGCGGTGGCGCACATACCTGATGTGTATGTGGAGCGCGTCAGGAAACTGTCCGTGGCTGCGAAGGGCGAGGAGAGCGAAGGTGCGGTGGAGGTGGCTCAAGTGAGCGCGTGCTGATGGGAGGTTTTATGGTGGCAGGCTTAATCCGTATTAAACTGATCCAGCAATGTAAGGTTTGGAGCGGGGTACATGGCGACTTTGCGTGCGCAGTAAGGATACAATGTTTACACCCTGATACATTCGGGCGAGGCGCAGTCTTTCACGGCGTTTTTGTGACGGAGCCCGCCTGCTTAGGTAGGTGATCTGTGACCGCTGATAGTACGTGTTGGGCGTCCGCTTTGCTACGTGTACGCGACTAGCATCAGTTACAGGTGAAGGTTGCTATGCCACTGAGATATGTATGGTGGCATCCCTTACGGCGGTGCGTCGCCCTATGTGCGAAATAACCCGAAGTGAAAAGAGTTCGACACTTGGGTGTTTGTTGATGCTGGTATGTTTGCATGAATAAAATATTTGCCTCCTGAAGAATGGGAGCCAATATGAAGAGGGTGGCCAACAGACCCGTGGGTCAATAGAACATCTTTTTGAGTTGGCTCTCCTACTTTTACCGCAGTACTGCTAGGTAATGGCGTGTTCATGGCATAACGGGCCTGAGGGATGGACATGTGTGAAGGGTGCCAAACCCTGTTGGCTGTTGCCCAGTCCAAAACACCGACATGCCCGTGTCTCCGCCACGCATGGTACTACTTTCCCGGCCCCTATTTCACCAGCGTGCTCACCACAATCCACACACTCTGCTCCTTGCCTATGTTGCTAAGCCATGATGCTCCGAAAGGGGGAGCATTCACCACAAAACCCATACCAGCGCGCATTCCCCAAGCTACTATATCTAGCTACAGCGGGCTCAGTGTAAATTGCAATGGCGCAAAGGTTGGCAATCCGCATCAGCCTAGCTCACAGATGTTCTGCTGTCAGCCGCTCAGGCAAGCCTGGCAAACTGCCACCAGCCGCCGTTGGCGGCCCTGTGCGGGCCAAGCCATCATCCCCCGGCAAGTAACGGCGCCAAGCCGGTCCCCCTTCTCCACTCCCTCCGCCGCCGCTGCTGCTGTTGTTGCCGCCGCTTGTCACCTCACCCGCGCGGGTCATCATGGACGCCGCAGCTGCCGCACTGGTGCCGTACGCGGGCAGGTAGTCGTCCCCGCTGTGGCAGTACATGCTGTGCCACTGCTGCGCCGGCGAGGGGGTGGGTGAGCGGGGAAGCCAGGCAGAGCCTGCAGCGCATGACCATGACACCGAAGGACCCTGAATGACCTTTCACGGCCTAGCCGCAAGGCCAGCAGTTTGAGGGAGTGGCGGACACGGTTTGCCCTATTGCTGCCGATGTAGTCCTTCCCGGTCGGTCACTCAATAGGCATTCCCCAGATACCCTTGCACTACACGGTCTGTACCGGTACCTAAGCAGCATCCTGATGTGCATCATGGAAACGCACGTGTGCACTAGCTACTCTAGTACTCTTGCTTCCGTCCGCTCCTGCCCCGGCCCCTGTCACTCACCGCTACGCGGGGGAGTAGCGCTGCGAACAAACCGGGAGCGGCTGCGGCTGCTGCTTCTCACGTAGGCTGTAGGAGCGGTGGCTTGGTTGCCGCTGCTGCTGCCGCTGCTTGGATGGAAGGCGGATGCGGTACGAGTGAACATGGGCTCGTTCCCGGGCCCAGCCGAGCTAGGGCTGCAGGTGCCGGTGCCGGCTGGTGACCCGTGTGTAGCGGGGTTGCTGAAGATGCTGCGGTAGCCACCGCCGCTGCCGCCCCAAGCATCAGCATGCGCAGCGGCATTACTGGTAGTGGAGCCCCTGCGAGAGCTGCCGCTGGTGCTACTGCTGTTGCTGTTGCTACTGCTGCTGGCGTCCATTGCAGCCGAAGCGCTACGGGTGGGTCTACTCGAGCTGCGAGCGGCCGCATGTGTGTGGCCGTACGCTTGCCCGTACGGCGGACTGCTCCAGCTGCTGGTGCTGGTGCTGCGGAAGGGGTCCGGAGAGCCATGCATGGAGGCCGCAAACCCACTTAGCGGGGGTCTAGAGGCAGTGAAGAAGTGCTCGAAGTCATCGCCTGAGGAGACAGGACGCGCTGGAGGTCGCGGCGGCACAGCTGGGTTTGCGAACCTGTGGTGGAGCAAGGGAAGGGAAGATGTGATGCACAGTTAGCGGCCTGTCAGTACCGGTATGCGGGGACAGGTAGAAACAGGTAAGTGCATTTCAGGCTCGTGTCTAGACGTGGCAAGGGTGGGTGCAGGGCTGCAGGCCGTACCCGCTTTGTGGCTGTGGGCAGCTCCGTACGGAGGTGGAGCGGGGTCGGGCAGAGGGAGCGCGGTAACTCATTGCGGTGCTGGGGGCGCGAGGGGTTGCCTGCGACATGGCCATTGCCTACTCAGGGGAGGAAAGGTGAGGAAAGGAGGGAGAGGTCGGGAAGACATGAAGGCATGATACCGATACCCGGAGGTTCGGTGCCTGGTGTCTGGATTCCAAAGGACAAAGAAAGTCGGGCATGCACCTCTTCCTGCCGGTTGGCAGGTTGATCCTGAACATCGCATCGCAGGGACAGCTGCACCGTTCCGAAATTGCACCTCAACCCCGCACCTGCTGCTGCTGCTGTTGTTGTTGTTGCTGCTGCTGCTGTTTGAGTTGGGTGTCGTACTTCAGGCGACTGCTCAGCTCCACCAGAGTGTCGTACGCGGCCTTCAGCTCCACAAACTTGTCCCGAGCGCCTGGCAGCTGCAAGTACCGGGGAAGCAGGGGCAGTGAGTCTAACGACCAAGGCTGGTGCCGATAATGAAAGGCAGTGCTCGTGTAAGGCCGGATATGAATTAATACGTAGGAAACAGCAGGGTGGTTACACACAGTCACTCCTTTACTAGCAAACATCGTACGCCCCCACCCCATCCACCTTGCAGCGATCCGGGTGCCAGAGTAACGCCAGGCGGCGGAAGGCGTCCTTGATATCCCGCACGGAGGCGGTTGGAAGCACCCCCAACACATCGTAGTAGGTCCCTGTGCGGTTGTTAGGGGCATGTTGGGTGCTGCTAAGAGTTGTAGCAAGTAGAGAAGGTTGCCAGATCCCGGGAAGGCAGCACGCGGCCCACGCAGGTTACTTACTTTGAGACGGCGCAGCCCTCGCCGCTGCGAAGCAAGTCGCCTTGCGGCTTTGAGTGCTCTGGCAATGCCGGCATGGCAGGAGGCGTCTAGGAACGAAGTGCTGTCGCGCTGGTTCACACTTAAAAGGCCCGGCATGACCGCGTCGCAGGTGCATTCCTCCCCGTTGACGGAAGTGCAACAATTTAGACCGCTTCTTAAAGAGAATGCCTCGGTATGCTAATAGCAGTGCTTTTCACAGGCCGCGGACGAAGTCGACGTTGAGCATGTCAATGTTTGTTAATCATAACGGTCCGTCGGTGGTAGAAGGTTGCGAGGTAAATTACACTATATGACCTTAAACAACGCAGTGCAGTAGAGTGTCTAGATGAAGATCTAAAAGTTAGCTTGGCGGAGGCTCATATACTCGCACGCAGACCAACAAACACCGACAGCTTAACAGCAAACACCGACGCGCCAGATGTATTGATATGAAGTGCGAAATATAACTTTTTTATCACTGCGCTCTTATTACTGGCACAGTTGCAAGCACGTGCCGCAGCTGCCAGCAGTAAGATGATGTAGCGTGCGGTACGGAGTTCACCCACTACGGGTATTGTAAGAACCACGCATGTTCCCTTTTATTCGCGCCCACCGCGTGATACAGCGCATCTTGAATTTGCTCAGACGTAGTCGGTCCATGTAGGACCTGAACATACTCGCTGGATGCGCCCATAAGCCATAACCCAATTAGCAAGTTCACCAACTGTTCCCCCTTCGTCACCTTTCCAAGCGTGTGCGAGGCCCCTCAATTTCCCCAAGTGCGCTTGTAAGTGGACGTTATATGCGATTCCGGATTTGCTTTCCAGGCTTTGCACTGGTACGCGAGCTGCCCCATGTCACACCCTGGGCGCTTGCAGCAGCATGCAGTACACGTCATGCCCCGACTAGCGTTTGCTCAGGAAATTAGTCCCTTTCGTGCAGCGCTGGGTGAGCTTCACCAGATCACCACCCATGTTACAAGTCAGGAGATCCACTCTCCTGCCGCAAGGCTCGCTGTTTTGCACCGCTTCCGGTTGTAACACTGATGAACGTAACGGATACACGTGGAGCTGCGCAGCCGGACGTACCCATGGCACGTGCCCGGGTATATATTTGTCAAGTGCCCATTGCATGGCTGCAAGGTGTCACATCCACCCAAAGAGTGGGCATCGGGCTTGTGGCGGCAGTAAGCCTGGGGGGTTTCTTGGTTTGTTCGGTGATACACTGCGTGCCCCCTTATATTCTCACAGCAGCGGCAACAACGTTAACACACGCAGACCTCTGCCTTCCATGTACAGTTCACTGGCTTCTGTTTCCGCTGCCGCGGCTGATGTTCCTTGTTGGTGCAGGCACATTTCCGTTCCCATCCATGGGCGCATACGCGCCCATGGATGGGAACGGAAATGTGCCTGCACCACACCGCTGTCATATGCCCGATGCTTAGTTGATGTGGAAGCTTATAACTATTAGACTGCCTGATGGCCCCAAAACTCTGTCAGAGAACACCTGCATGACTATTCTGCAGTATAATCCGTTCGACGCCCGTACGACATTCCCTTAACGTTGCATGTCGCCACAAGCAAGGTTGTTGTAATTATAGATAACTTAGGTAGCTAGGGCTTGCATAGGGGGGATGGATTACAGGAGCACGGTTGTCCACGGCAGCTTTTAATGACTTGTGTGCTCCGATTTAGAATGGGGCATTTCGCTGTTGCCTTAGCTTTGGCAGCGGCATGTGCCTACTTTACGTTGGAGCTTTGTAGGTGGGGCTCGCTTTGGAAAAGCCGATTTCTGTATAGGACACGAAAGAACCGGACGCTGTTTCTTGCAGACCGGACGTACTCCTTGTTGGAACTGTAACCATCGATGTGATGGATGATGGGAGCAGGCCAGCGGTGCGTTTGCTGTTATTTGGGTTTCCCTGTTGCGACGACCTTTCATCTGCGATACCCATCTCAAACCCCTGTCCGGTTTGCAGGGAGGGGCCGTCTCGTATGCAGCAGCTGCTTTGCGAGCCTATGGCCTACGGGCATGTGTTGTTACGGGTACGTGAGCATTCCTTATGACTGTGGGGTCTAAAGCCATAATGGCTGGTAGGAGAGGGTCGGGCATTGGAAGACGGAGGGGTTTGTGCAAAACCCTGCCAACCCATATGGCAGGATTCTCATATAGTCCCGCTTCCGCTTACGGATGTTCCCACCTAGCTTGCAAGGCTCACAAGGACGACTTTTCTGGGTATATCCGTCCCTTCGCGGCCGCTCCCATGAGCCCCAAGCAGCCTCCTTGCAGCTCCCATTCTTCCCTTCCACCTTCTTGCCCTTCTCTCCCTGCCCTCCCTCCTCTTTGCGAGTACCCCCATAACCCAACCCGCTCCCCTTCCCCGCACCGCTGCCCACCCGCTGCTGCCCCCCCCTCCCCCAGTTGCCGGCTCCGATGCCGACCTGTCCGTGTTCGAGGGCCACGAGCTGCACGTGGTGCCCGCCGCCTCCACGCTCACCTTCGAGCACACCTACACCTGGTTCGGTGAGGCCGGGCGGGGCGGGGGGCGGGGCAGTCGGGGCAGCTGGGCCAACAAGCAATGTCGCCATCCTCTAGCCCTAGCCCTGTCTGCCCCGTGGCTTCTGGTCTCCTCGCTTGATCAGCCAAAGCACTACGCGCCGTAACCCCTTCAAGGCGGAACCCCTGCCGGGCTATTCCCGCTGGGTCCCGCCGCCCACCATGACGTCGCAGGCCACCAGCGGAAGCTGCGGGTGACCGCCAGCCCCAACATCACCCTCAGCCGGGCGCACGTGCCGCGGCACTGCCAGCGCGCACGCACCATCATCCTGGGGCCGCTCACGCAGCAGGAGCTGGACGCGCGGTCCTTCCTGGAGTACGATGGTGGGTGGGTGGCGGGTGAAGGCAAATGAGGATGCAGGTTTGCGTATGGATTGTTGATGGGAGCTTGCGGGGAGAAAGCAGACGGGAGGAGAGAACGGGCGATGGGAAAGAGAGAGTGAGGCCCCGGTAAGGGTCTGGACGAAGCCTTGACGAAGTGTGTTGATTGCAGATATGTTGGCTTGGAGGGTACGTATTTTGGTCAGTAACTTGGCGAACTCCCCTCCGCTGCTTTGCTGATTGCCTTGTCGTCCTTCTCGTCCTGCTGCTACCCGCCTCCTTGCTGCAGGTCTGTGGGACCAGCTGTCCCGGGGTCGGCAGCACATCGCCCTGATGGCGCAGGGCTTCCAGCGCCGCCTCGCATCGGACGGCCGCGTGCTGCCGCTGCAGACGCCCTCGCCGCAGCTGCTGGTGAGTCGCATGGGGGGCACAACCCCATGGGGAGCTTGACTTGGCTGCGGCCTGCGGGCGTAGTTGGCCCGCGCCACCTGCATGGCGCCAAGCTGGGGGCATGCTGCCTGATGCAGTCCCTGGCACACGGCCGTTGCATACCGTTCCCCCGGTACCCTCCTGTCTTGCGGTGTTGCCCTCACGTGGCCCTCGACCGGCATTTTGATCTCTCCCCAAAACATTTTGCTCCGCGCCCTGCGCTCTTCCTTCCCCGCCGCTTCCCTTCCCGGCCATGTCAGGCTGGTCTGGGTCGCTGGCGGCGCGTGTCGCTGTTCCTGTCGGACGTTGAGACGGACCTGTGGAGCGAGGACTGGCTGGGGCTGGTGGTGGCGGCTGCGGAGCGGGTGCTCATCACGCGGGGCAGCCAGGGAGCCACGGAGTACAACGAGACGGGCGTGCATGCCATCGACGTGGTGCCGGTGAGCGCGGGGAGCGGAGGTGGACCAAACCACAGGGAGAGGCAGGGAGCACACGATGAGGCCGGTGAAGGCGAGAGTAGCATGAGGTTTAAACTACACATGCCAACTACCTCTCAGCCCCTTTCTCTCTTCCTGCTAGTTCGCTTAACCTCTCTCCCTCCTGCCTCCGCTCATCCCAAACACCCCGACCACCACCCCCAGGTGGACAAGGTACGCGACACCAACGGTGCGGGTGACACCTTCGCCACCGGCTACATGGTGGCCCTGGCCCGCGGCCTGCCCGACCCCGCGCACCACGCCTCCTGGGCCGCCAGCCGCGCCGTCATGCAGGCGCAGTCCTGCAAGCCGCAGTGCGCGGGCGACCTCATTGAGGGCCATGTGCCGCACTGGCAGGCGGGCGACCGGGCGCGTGCTGCGGTGCGGGCAGCGCTGCATGTGGCCCGGGGCTTGGTGGACTATACGCTGCGGGACGGGGTGGCGGCGCTGTTGCACCTGCGGGCCCTGCCGCGAGGTGCGCTGTGGCGGGTGTTTGCGAGTGCGGCGGGGCCGGCGGCGGGGCCAGCTGGGGTAAGCGACCGAGGAGCGCTGGATGACCCATGGGACGTGGGCGGTAGTGGTTGAGAGAGGTGCAGCGGGGGAGGGAGAGGAGCAGAGGGTTGGGGTGGGGTTAGTGTAGGGTGTGCATGAAGAGTATAGGAGGGTACGGGGTGACGCATTGTGCAAATGCAGAGGGAGGCGGAATGCCTTTGACGCGGGGCTGTGAATTGAGATGATGATGCTCGAGGGGTTGGAAGGAGCATGGAAACATGTCAGGGTGGATGGCAAGCGCGGGCATGAGCAGGCTTGGGCGGCTGGTGCAATGCAGTGAGGATGGCTGCAGGGATGCGGATGTCTTGTGTACAATTACCACGTGTGACATGAACACCGTATATGCTGTCGACTTGTAGTGAAGCAGTGTGAGGGGGGGCAATGAACGTCTGGAACAGGAATGTGTACTTGGCGAGTGCGACGTATGTTTGCATTGGTTACCTGATTTGCTTGTTTTATGGCGCCCTCTGCAGCATACCGGTAGGGGCAGCTTTGGGATTTGGATACCCTTCTAAACTTCGCAACTACAGCATGCGGTCATGCATGCTAGGAAGGTGCATTGGCTGTGCCGCAGGGCCTCATGCGCTGAGAGAGGCGAGGAAGACGCAAGCATGGAAGGCTCATGCTGACCCACATCAGCACCGCGCGAAGGGTGTGATGCCTCCCGAGTGTAAGGCTTCGTGGATACCGGTGAGGCCGTTAGTTGTCCGTCCGTACGAAGGAGGGGAGCATTCGAGAGCGCATGCATGCTGACGGACAAAGGAGGGGAGCATACCGGTACAAGAGCGCATGCATGCAAATCGAATTACAATGAAGCCTAGATTCGGACCGCACCTGCAGAGTTGTGAAAATAAACGGGAGCTTTTATAGACGGTATTACATGTCTGTGCCGTGCAGACGTGTGCGTCACATCGGCTTTCGCGGGAGCCAAACAAAAGCGTGGCCCATGACCAGCTGGTTTCTAGGCAAGCCATCTAAGACGCCCGGCGCAACACTAAATGAGGTCCCTACCTGTCCCTACCGCCTCGATTGTTAGCTTTCCGAGCACCCCATAATGCCCTTATACCATTATACCTCCAAGTCACAGACGTCAACAGTACATGTCTCATGAACTTGTCACTTCCCACCAAACCGCGTGCCATACCCAGCCTGATCACGTGCCGAGAGCTCGCATGTACATCATACAACAAATCTGCAAACCCAGATTGCAACCCGCTGAGCTACTAGCCAGATCACATACGTAGTACTATTGTCGAGGACGGAGTACAGCCCTACGCTCTAGACCCTTACTAACAGCGGCAGCGGAAGCCCTCTTCCTATACGCCAGGCCTCCTCCCCCTCCTCATAATGCCTCCTGTGTGCGCTCACTGCACGTACTTAATGTGTCGGGATATGTGAATTGGAACTCCAGTTGCCGCATCTCTACTTTCTCCCCCTCCCCCTCCTCCTACTGGCTGGCTGCCCCCAGCGCCCCCGCGGTGCGCGCCTCGTGCAGCAGGCGGTATATGGCCTGCTCCACCGCCCCCTGGTCCCACGACTGGTAGAACAGCTTCACGGGGCGGCCCTCGTGGTTCACCAGGATTTTCTGCAGACGGTGAAGAGGGGTGGGCGAGAGGGGGGGTAAGTCCGATAAGGGTTGGGGAAGAGCGGAAAGGAGGGGAGGACAGGGCGGCTCCCATGCAGGGGCAGAGGCGCAAAGGCAAGCATGGCACCATAGCCGTCTATGGCACCACGCGACATGCCGCCTACCGCTGCGCCTTTCACTGGCCATTGCGCAACAAAACGCAACACAACGGCCGGCTACGTACGGCATCGTTGTCTCCTCCATGCGCCCCCCCCCCACACAGCCAGAGTCGGGATATGGCATTGGGACTCTTGTTGTTGCACTAATCATACAATGTCTCCCCCCCGAGCCAGGGCTCCCACCCATGCCCCCCCCCACCTGGAAGTTCCAGATGAGGTCCTTGCCCGGCCCCTTGCCTCCGCCGCCCCCCTCCGCCTCGGGCAGCTCGCGCTTCAGGAACTGGTAGACGGGGTGCGTGCCGGGGCCGTTCACGTCCACCTTGGAGAACATGGGGAAGTCCACGTGGTACTTGGCGCTGCAGAAGCTCTTGATGTCCGCCTCGCTGCCCGACTCTGGGGGGGAAGGCAGGGAGGGAAGGGGCAGGCGGGGGAGAGGGGCGACGGTCGGGAGAGGCAATGGGAAGGGGCCCAAGAGGGAGAGTGCATCACAGATACCGCAATATCAGGGACATGGGCGCTAAGAGGTCGGGTGGGGACATTGGACACTACCGTCGCTTGAGTTTCCAAGCCGGACATAGCAGATAGCACCCTGGTAAAGCCACGCGCTACCCTCCCCCGTTCACCCCAGAGAAAGCACGCGGTGTCACGCAGGTCGGGTGGGACGCACCTTGCGCTCCGAACTGGAATCGCCAGGGAGGGAGGAGGGTGACAGCCGCCAGACATGAGGGCGAGGGGGGCAGGGGATGGACGTGAGGGCCTCATGGATAAAACGCTGCAGACGGAGCTCTGCCACGTGAAGGCAACGGGCAACTACTGCACCCGACATGACCAGCATGTGGGTGGCTATAATTTGAGATGTTTTCATTGCAGGCCTCGCAACTGCTACACAACTAGCACCCCCCCCCCCGCACATGGCGTCACGGCAACAAGACACCGCCTAGGGTGCGGCTCGACCCACCCAGCCCAGCCCAGCCCAGCCCACCTGGTTGCATGGGAAGCCCAGGATCTCCAGACCGTGATGCCGGTACTTCTCGTACGTCTTCACAAGGCCTGCAAAGAAACGCGGACAAGGTAAGAACCGGTTCATACGGCCGTCCAATGCGGCGACACAAGACATGCTCTCGCGGCAGTGGGTGGCTCCTCTACGATACGCCTCTTCCCTCAGACACCGCGCAACACCCTAGCGTACGGCGTGTTGACCTACCTCGGTAATTTTCGTCCGTGAAGCCGCATGCGGAGGCCACGTTGACCACCAGCGTCACCTTGCCCGCGAACTCGCTCAGGGAACGAGTGCGGCCGTCAATGTCCACCGCTTGCTGCGGGCGAGGGGGGCAGAGCGGTAGGCGGGCGAGGGGGGAGGCAGAGCGGTAGGCGGGCGAGGGGAAGGCAGAGGGGTAGGCGGGAGAGGGGCAGTGCAGCTGCTGTCCTGCCATGGCGAGTACACGCAACACAGAGACCCACATGCACAAGCTGGGTGCCACCATGCACAAGGGAGGACCCATTGCGGTGTCAACAGCGCCAGGTATCAGAGCGCACCGTCCCTTTACCAGGCCGAATACCGCACCTCCCGCTCCAACCCCAACTCCTCCCGCTTCCCCAACCCCAACCCACCCACCCACCCACCACTTACCAGCGTATACATCCCCTGAGCCGCCGGCTTCCTCTGCGGCGCCGTGTCCTCATGCAGCGCCCGGATCACCGGCGCCCGCACCGGCGCATGCACCTCCTCCTCTCCCGCTCCCCGCGGCGCCGCGTTCTCCGCCTCCACCCTCACCCGCAGCAGCCGACTCTCATCCGGCGCCTGCACCTTGGCCCCCTGGGAGGAGCTGTCCGTCTCAATGGGCGCTGCCAGCAGCGGCTCCCGCAGCTGCTGCTGCTGCGCCTGCTGCGTCTCCCGGCTGTCGGGTTCCACGTGCGTCACTGTGATGGGCGCCGCCAGCCGCACCGGCGCCTCCGCAGTGGGCTCCGTCACTGCATGCAGCACGCGACTGACGCCGCCGGGCTCCACCAGGTCCGCAGCGCGGTCGGTGGTGTGGCTGTCCGCCTCAATCAAGCTGCCCACTGCGAGCGAGGGCGCCTGTACGACAGGGGAGGAGGTACGGCTGTCGGCCTCGATGCGGCTGCCCACCGCCAGGGAGGGCGCCTGCACGGTGCGGGTCTCAGCGGCCCGGTCCGCCTCCACGGGCCCCGCGGTGACGGGGGGGGCATGCGGGCGCTCGGTGGGCACGTGGCTGAGCTGGGGGTGCTCCTCGTGGTGCTGTGCGTGCTCATGGGGTCGCTGTGCGTTGTCGTACACATGGTGCCGGCCCTCGCGTGTGCTCTTGTGATGGGGGGCGATGCGCGGCGCGGTGAGGGGTGCGATGACGGGGGCCGTGATGGGAGCTGTGATGGGGGAGGTGATGGGCGCCGTGAGGGGGGCGCCAGGCTCCTGGCTGTCACTCGGGGGCTGCGGGTGCTGCTGTGGGTGCTGCTGCTGCGGGTGCTGCTGCGAGGAGTGCAGCTCCTGCTGCCCCCGGTGGCGGCTGCCGCTCAGGACTGGGGGCGGACGCACCACCGGCTGGTTCTGGGGGAGCTGGTGCAGGCGAGGGTGCCGCGCTGGGCTGCCAACGCTGCGGGTGTCCGCAGGTGAGGGCGAGGGCGAGGCGGAGGCGACGGTACCGGTCAGGTTGCCGTCCCGGGACGCGTGCGCATGCGCCTCGTGGGGTTTTGCAGCGCCGTCTTCCGCCTTCTGTAAGGCATTAGGGTGGGGGATGGCCCTTTGTCCTTCTGCTACCGCTATTATAACATGACATTGCGTGACAATGCTCACGGGCCCACGGGCAGTGTTAGTCCATGTGCAACATACAATATGCCGACGTCGCATGTGTCAATGGACCCAACCCCAACATATTGTGCTCACGCAGGACACACTCCCTTACCAGCGCTCGCCCCTCGTGCTGCGCTCCTGCACCGTTGGACTTCCGCTCCAGCTGCGTCCTGATCAGGGTGTCCTGCAAGTCCTTGCGGTGCTTGCTAGTGCCTATGTAGCGAGCAGCGAAGGCCGCATAGCCGACGCCGAATAGGATAGTGACCAGAATCACAACCCTGCGTGGGGAACGGGCGAAAGAGCGCGTACTTGGTGAGCTAGGGGTTGCGCAGAGGTCGAGGCAGTCCCGGGAGCCGAATGTATCGCCGACGTTCACGAGGAGCTGTGCCGCGAACTCCATAAGAGACTCACCTCATAAGAGTTGCTTTCCGCCGCATACGCTTTTGGGGGTGACGAACGGAATGCACAGGCAGCAATGGGGCTTCCCGTTTCAAGGCCATGGCCGCTGTTTCAATTATCTCAGCCGCTACTGGCTATAAGTAGTCTTTTGTGCAGGCAGCACGCCCTCTGCGGTTGTGGGTCCGGTTGCCCCGCTTGGAACAGATCGCTTGCTATTGTCCAGCGACTTGACCACTAACGTGTCCTTCTCACAGCTCCAGCGAAGCGCCTAACACCATTGGAATATGGAGTAACGAAGGCTTCCGGGTGAAGTCGCTAAAACCATCGTGCTACTTTCGTATCAATGGTGAAAAAAGCAACGCCGGGATTACAGAGTGCTCGCCGACCTCTTATAATAAAGCGACAAGGAGACCATTAAAATGGTCACTGCGACGCCCTCTGCCTCGAACTCTGGGTTGGGTAGTCGTGCCGTACAAGGCAGCTGCCAAAGTGAGGCTGCGCTGCTGATGTGCTGCGTTTACGCACGCAGGTGTTTGCTCCTTTACATTACGAGCATATTTTTCAATTGCTGTCTGAAGACTCCTACATTGGCCCACATTACCGTATTTGCCTGTCGTTGTTCATCCTTAACGGATGTATTCAGCTTGTTTCAGGAGTACACAAACACAGCTATAAGCTACTCGATCGCGCCAGCCGCACCTTACACACAGGTGGTTGTGCATTTATACCCTTAGGCTCGGTGCCGTCGCTGGAATAGCGAAGATGACGTCTGCCGGCGCGACGTTATCCGACGACGTCGATGCGGAGGCCTTTAAGCGGCTTTATCCAGAGCAGTACTTCGACCGCTTCTTCGCAGAGGGCGTCCGACCAGATGGGCGGCCGCTGGGCAGGGCCCGCGCTGTAACAATCGGCGCAGGCGCAATTACAAGCGCCGATGGCTCTGCGCTAGTTAAGGTGGGCCGCACTACCGTCCTCGCGGGCGTGCGACTGGAGATCATCCGCCCAGACGAAACAACACCCGGCGAGGGCCAGGTCGTCCTCAACGTCGAAATGGCGCCCTTCAGCTCTGCCGACTACCGTCCGGGGCGGCAACCCGACCACGTCAGCGCTATCGCCGAAAAACTGACGTCAGCGCTGCTCAGCGGCGGTGCCGTACAACTCGCCAGCCTGTGCATCGCCGAGGGCAAGGCCGCCTGGCGCGCCAGCCTAGACGTCTACATCCTAGACGCCGACGGCGCCGTCCTCGACGCATCCCTGCTCGCATCCCTGGCGGCGTTGCGCAACACACGCATACCCGCCGTACGGAACACCCGCGAGGGCCATTACGTGGCGGCACGTGGCGCATCCGCCGCTGCTGCTGCCGCTGCTGGCGGCGGCGGCGACACGGGCTTGGTAGCAGGCAGCCCCAGCTGCATCGGGCTGTTCCGCACGCCGCTGGGCGTCACGTGCTGCCTGTACCGGCAGCACCTGCTGGTGGACCCCACCGCGGATGAGGAGCGGCTGGCGGAGTGCGCCGTGACGGTGGTGCTGGACCAGGCGGGGAGGCTGCAGGGTGAGGCGGCGGGCAGGGCGGGTAGGGGAGAAGGGAGAGGGGCCGGTGTGTTTTGTGGGTTCTAATCAGGGGCCTGGCTGGGGACTGCGGAAGTGGAGGATGCGGGGAGGGCGGGTACAGGGGGAGCTAACCATGATGACAGGGAAGTAAACCATGTGTGTTGTGGCATGGTCGCCGACCCACTGAGGACGGGAAAGGGGTGTGCGTAGGGCAGGCGGGCGCCTGGGGTTTGAGGGCTGGGTGCGGGCATAGCTGCACGGTGCGTAGCGTAGTACTGACGGAGGTGTGGCCCTGTTAGGATATGTCGTGTAGTCCTTCAGGAGCAGGTGAGGTATTGTAGGCGCTGCGGCGCGCAGTACACTTGAGCGAATTGCACACCTGCTGGGGCCTGCGACGTCTTAGCTTGCCGGTACGTTGCCGCTGCCGTGTCCCCGCTGCCGCTGCCGCTGCAGGTGTGTACAAGCCGGGCGGCAAGGTGCTGGCGGATGCTGCCACGCTAGTTCGCTGCACGGAGGCTGCGAGGCTGCGACACCGGGACCTGTCGGGGCTGCTGGAGGAGAGCCTGGGGCAGCAGGGGGCGACTGCGCAGGCGGCAGGGCCGTGAGAGGAGGCGGCTAGCGGGGTCGGTGAAGGGCTTAAGGCTCTGTTGTTAGGCTTGTTACTGGCTTGCTTAAGGCTGCCTGCATGCTTGGTGGGCGTCATTCGGTTGGCAGCCCTCGACACAGCTATCATAGAAGCAGACTCGGCAAAGCACCCACGGGTACGGCTGTCAAGAGGGGTGGGGTGAAGTGGGATGTGGTGAAATTGAGCGGTCAAGAGCGGTTCTCAGGCACGGCTGTATTGGGATTTGCAATCGATGGCCAGCTGCCGGCTGCTGGTGGACGGATGGATTAAAAACTGGAGAGGCCTGTTGGGGTAGGCATGCATTGGGGAATCTCCGACACCCAGTTTCGGTTCCGAGCCAATGGCCCTGTCACATGTCAGGCGCGTCAACCAGAACGGCAGGATGGCAGTCGAGACCATTACGATACATGCTTATTCGTGCTTACCGTATGTACAACACCTAGCTCCGCGGTTCGGAATCCGGCCAAGTCGCACCGTGGACGCACACTGAAGTGTTCAGGACGTATAACGCAATTACGTACATGCCTCAACGCTTCGCAACGAGGCTCATGTGCCTCAGGCCACGCTTGTCAGTTTAAATTTCAGCTGACCTTGTGCCCTTCCTTCAAGCTGCACTGCAGCGCACAGCTTCCACAGCACAGTACAATGCCAGCACATCAGCAGTTAACATTAGATGGAGTGCTTCGGGAGTTGGACATGTCAGCAATTGAATTGCTTATCGACAGCTTCGAGGACACCTGTTTGGCCTGCAGGGCTCTGCGCGATGCGGTTGACAACGGTGTCCGCGGCGCTACCTTCAATGTTGGGGCTCAGCAATATGAACTCTGGAAGGACGGTCACCCTCACCGTTGTCGCGCTTCTCCCGCTGCACCAACGTGGCTATCAGCGTGAACTACACGGAGGAGGGACTTCGTGGTGTGAGCATCGCAACCCTGCTGGCATTGCCCTTCATGGGGCAGCCGCTGGCTGCTAGGCGGCGCATAACCCGTGTGACAGTCTCAATTAACCCGGAAGCTGACATCGACTGTGCCGAGGGCCATCTTGTGGCATCACTTGCCGTACTCCTTCCTGCGCTTCACGAAGTAGACATGAACGGGTCTGCGGAACATGATTACTCTGAGCCCAAACACGACCCAATGCAACGGCGACTGATGTACGGCGCGTTGGCAAGTTTGCCGTACTTGGAGCGCCTCTCAGTGCCGTTCAGCCAGGGTTTGGAGCACATTGGCCAACTGGCGGAGACCCTTAGGGTCCTGCGGATTCGCATGCGCACGCACCAAGATGTGTTCACGGAGGGCGCTGCAGCTGGAATACTGCAGTTGCGCCGATTGGAGCAATTGCGCATTGAGGGCTGGGGCTACTACTAAGAGGGCAACTTTGCGCCGGAGACAGTCCTCGGCATACGGTTGCTTTTGGAGCACGTGGGCTCACTTGGGGGGTCCCTGGAGCGTCTGCATGTGGAATTGTCTGGGGACTTGCTGCGCGTCTCCCTTACTCCAGCTGCCATCGCCAGCATAGCACAGCTGCGGCGACTGCGGCACCTCAGCCTGACGCCCTGCTCGTTCCGTGAGGAGGAGCTGGAGGCGGGGGCCGCCTCGTCCGGGGGCGTGCCGCAGCTGCTGGCGTGCCTGCCGCCCGCACTGGAGAGGCTGGTGCTGGGTCTAAGCTTAACGGAACCAGCTTCGGACGCGGTTAAAACCTACCGGAACACCCATTCCGTTACCTTCGACTTCCACCCCGATGGCAGCAGCCGCACAGGCATCACGTTGTCGAAAACCATTTCCCCTATCCGCCTAGCCAACCTTGTCTCATTCACCCTGCTGGTCACACGCTGTCGCGGCTGCCAAGGGGGCTTGGGCCGCCTGCATGTCGCCTCGCTGCGCATCCCCTCTGCGACTGACAGCAAGCCCAACCCGCAGCAGCAGCTGCAGGAGTTGCTGGGCCGGTGCTCCCAGCTGGAGGTGAGGACCCTGGCTGCCGCCAGCGCGCAGGAGGCCCTGGTGGCGGTGGAGGTGCTAGGGAAGCCGGTGGAGCTGGAGTTGCGTTCGGGGGCAGGGTGTCCGGTTGCGTTCCTGAGGCTGCGAGGGGCAACCCAACAGCCACAGCTGCTGCTGGGGCGACGGAAGGAGGAGGGCGCGGCTGAGAGCGAGGTTGGCCTGCCGCCGCCAGCTGCCGCAGCTGTGGCAAGATCTGCCCTGGCGCGCCTAACGGCCGGCCGGCGCGGCCTCACGTGCCTACTGCTTAGGGGCTCCCTGCTAGAGACGCTGTCAGCGCTACCCGGGGACTTCCTTGGTCCCTCCATTGGGGGTGTGAAAGCGCAGGTGCCGAGCTTGGTGGCCTACCAGCGGCTGCCGGCAGCGGCCGCCGATGCGGGTGTACTGTTCCTCGAGGTTAAACCGGCGGGTGGCGCGGAGGCGGCCTTGGGTGCGGTACGGGAGCTGGCTGAGAGGCTGCCGCCAGGGGCTCTGTAGGTGGAGCCGGTGAAGCTGGCTTGCCCTTGGTCGCGTACCGGTGGAAACTATATCTTTGCCCTTGCACATGTACGTACCCCTGGACCTTGGACGCGCAGCGGTCTTTGGAAAATGTTTTGGGGAAGGTCTCAATGCCGCCATTGCGGTGAACGTGACGGCAAGGGTAGCGGCACGATACACCCCTGGTATTGGGCATGTCGCATGGGGTTCATGCAGCAGTCTGCTGCGGTGCGTGAAGCAAGTCGGTATCTTCTAAGGTTTCTAACTGCTTTGCTAACTGTGTTCGTGTTGTTGCAGGTTCGCACCTGCCCGCAGGAGCTGCAGGCCCTGTGGGACGACCAGGCCGCCCGGCGGCGCGAGGGCGAGAGGGAGTGGCTGCGGAGGGTGCTGGAGCTGTGGGAGCAGCTGGGGCACCTGCCGCCGGCAGTGTCCTTGAAGTAGGCAGGCCGGGTTTTGAAGTCACAAGGAGTCCTCGGCATTCAGCTTACAAGATAGGAAGCTATGAATAGTCGTACTTGCTGCTCGCATGTTGCATGTTCCACAGCATGCATGGCAGGAGTTGGTCCCAGGACGCCAGGAGCCGTTCGGGGGATGTCGTGACTAGTAAGACTTCACCACTAGGGAGCTTACATGCCATGCCAGCGCGGTTAGGGATTGTATGATTTTGGTATGCTAGAGTTCTGCTGGAGGTCCCTGGGCACCTCCGGGCACGTTGGGAGTTGTTATTGACTGCCGGGGATTATCGCTAACTGCCCATCGCGCAATCTCGTGCTTCCCCGTTACAAGGCATGCCACATTGCGCCCAGTCTGCGAAGAAGTCACGACCGTGATGCTGGCGCCAGTCGTAATGCATGTGCAGTGGATGACTGTAAGCGTCAACCAACATGCGAACCAGCTCCATTCAGCCTCAGGATCCTCGTCACGGGAGCTCACTTCCTGCGCTCTCCACATGTTCACCATCCTTTCAACGTCACCCTCCTGCTGCATAACTGCAGCCGCAGCTCAGCTTTCATGCCTGCCTGCTTGCACAGCAGGTCAACGCCCCATTGAATGCGCCAAACCCATCAAGTACGCCACCATCACCTCCCACGCAGCCTCCCATCACCTTCATCCCAACACCACACCCCCTTGCAACATGCTCACTCCCCCACCTCACACCTGCACCCGTCACCCGCAACACTGCAGCACCCCCACTCCTCACCGGTTCCCTCCTCCCGCTCCCGCCGCCTGCCCCTGCCGCACCTCCCGCTCCTGCGTGGCGCTCTGCTCCGCCATAAACTTGACCAGCGCCTGCACGTCCTGGTAGGTGGTGGCCTCCGAGCTGACCGCCCAGTCGCTGCGCAGCGCCGAGTCCAGGTCCACCCCCGCGATGAAGCCCAGCACGCGCTGCATGAGGGAGTAGGTGGAGGCGGGCGTGAGGCCCACCGCCATGCAGCCCAGTGCGCCGCTGGTGAGGTAGCGGTCGGAGAGATTGAAGATGACGCCCTGGGCGTGGGTGGGTGGGTGGGAGAAGGGGAAGGGAAGGGGGGCATGGAGGGATGAGAGGAGAGGCGGAGGCGTTAGCCAGGGTGGTGTACCTGGGTTGGTTGCAGGCACCTGGTGGTTGTACAGGGCGTGTGGCGCGGGAAGCTGCGGTGCTGCTACGGTACACTTGTTTGGGACCACAGCCGCAACCGCAGCACCGCCCAACCCTCACCTGTCTGTGGTCCACGTCGAAATGGAATCCGTGTTGCCAGCAGTGGTAGAAGAACTTGGAGCAGGGCATGGACTTGATGGCTGGGTGCTGCAGCTGGTCTAGCACAAAGTAGTAGCGCAGCGACTGGTGCTGGTGGTGGTGGTGCGATGGGTGGTCCGAGGCGCCATCCTCGGTCGTCAGGTGGCTGCTGCTGTTGTAGCGGTGGTGGTGGCTGTGGTGGTGGTGATGGTGGTGGTGCGAGCCCCTGCCGTGGTGGCGCAGCAGGTCCTCCTCGTCGCCCTGGTCGGTGTCCTCGATGGGGTCCAGCTGGACCAGGTAGGCGCCCGTCATGGGGTTGAAGGTGCCGGCTGTGGAAGGAAGGGGGGATAGAGCAGGAAGGGCTGAGGGGAGGAGCAAGAGGGGGTACCTGACAGTCCGTAAGCCAGGGAACAAAGGAGCGGTTATAGCAGATGCTGCCGGATCGGTAGGAGTTCATGCCAAACATTGTCAATTATGCGGCACAACGAAAGGAGTTGGGAAGAAAACCACAGCCAGTGGGTCGCATAAGGGGCATGACATTGCAACTTCGCGGCATGCCGTCGGACCACCCCGCTGCTCCCAACGCCTCAGACCGGGCCCACCTTCTGCACCTGTCCTGTCTCACCCACTCAGCCACACCCGAACAACCGCGCTGTACCCAAGGCTTACCCAGCCGAATTCTTGCGAATCCACCCACCCGCCCACCCACCTGACAAGAAGTCGAACAGCTGGAAGGCCGTCAGCGAGGGTGTGATGCCCGGCCGCAAGTCCACAAGCCATAGCCGCAAGCCGCCTGCACCGCCGCCGCCCGCACCCAGACCCTGCAGCGCAGCGCCCTCCCCAGCGCCCACGCCCCCAGGCGGCTCCAGCAGCGTCACGAAATCCACCATCACGTGACCCAACAACCCTGCATCGTACGCCGAACGGCCAACCGCCAACGCCGCGTCGTACAGGGCCCTATGCGGCACCGAGGACTGCGGAAACGTGGTGCCCACGGCCCGGTAGGGGTAGCAGAAGATCTTCTCATGCGTGGACAGCACCGTGACGGCGCCGGCGGGATCAATGAACAGGTTGACGCAGGGCGAACCGACCGCCATGTGCGGACAGCCCTCCAGCACGCCGCCGCGGCGCGCAAGCGTGGAGATGTAGTCTCGATAGGTGGGGTAGGAGTCCCTGCTGGCCAGGTGCAGCCGCCGCGGCAGCTGCCGGAACAGCAGCTCGTACAGTCGGAACATGGCGACCCGCTGGACCTCCGACAGCGGCGACTCGTCGTCGTCGACCCGTACGACGTTGCCTCCCCCGCCGGCGATACCCGTGACGGCTCCGAACTCCAGCCGCAACCGCTCTGCCGGCGACTGCACCCCCCGGCCCATGAACTCCTCCACCACGCGCGCCAACACGTCGCCGCTGCCCTTCACCGCCGCCGTGTCGAAGAATGCATGGCCCAGACCCATGATCTCGTCATCGATCTTAAACAGCCATTTCGGTACGACAGGGTGTCGTACCATCGCCTCCGCCAGCGCCATCAGGATGCGTTGCTCGTCCTGCTCGAACCGATTCTGCGACGCCGGGCCGCCAGCGGCGGCGGCGGCGGCCGCCGTCGCCGCCCCTGCTCCAGCTGCCATGCCGCCGCCGGCGACGTTGCCTGGCTCGCCACCGCCGCCGCCGGGCCGCGACGCTTGGTTGCCGTCGTTGACAACGATGTCAGGTCCGTACACGGGATCTGTGATGATGAGCTCCCCCTCGGGGCCCAGCTGGTAGTCTGTGCCCATGCGCAGCGGCGCCGTCAGGGGGTCGGAGTTGCCGCCGCCGCCGCCGTTGAGGCTTCCGCCGCCGGGTCCTGCCGCCTGCTGCTGGATGGCGTGGTTGGGGCGGATGGCGCAGCCGGGGGCGATGTTGGCGGCGATGTTCTTGAAGAGCTCCCTGGGGGCAGGCGGGAGGGCGGCGGCAGGAAGGGCGGCGAGGATGGCAAGAAGGGGTCGATGTGCGCGTACAAAAACAATGAGGACTATTGGTCCTGGTTAGCAGGGGGCAAAGTGGGCTAGAAGAAGAGGAGCGTTCCGTCCAAATGGTAGCTGGTAGGCATGGTGGCAAACTAGCTAAACAGCCCGCTGGTGATCCGGACTTACGTCCCTACGGTACGTCTCCTGTGTCAACACCTTGACCCGCCCACCACCTCCCCTGCCCATGTTCCTTACCTTGCCGCTGACTTGCGGCTGAGCGCGCGGCACACGGAGGGCCCCGGCCCCAGCAGCGGCACCCCCAGGTGCACCGACAGCTCCACCTCCTCGTCGTGCACGTTGCCGGGCACGATGTACGACAGGCGCCCGTTCACGGCGGCGCTGATGCGCTTGAGGGCGCGCGGCGAGGCCAGCAGCTTGGCGGTGACGGACATGTGGCCGGGCAGGCGTGTGTAGTTCTCGGGGACCACAATCCTGATGGGGTGGGGGGTGCGCGGGTGTGGGGGAATGGAGGTGAGCAGGGCAAGGGGTCAGGAGGCGCAGCGGACAGTCATAATCCCATACCGTTATTTTCCACCTCCCGGCAGCTCCCCCGCACCTGTATCTACTTGTGGGGTCGCTCACGCCGCCCACCTCCAGCAGCTTATTCCAGTAGTGGATCACCTCGGGGTCCGGCGGCGAGGGCAGTACCAGAATGAGGTCCACCAGCGGCTCCGACAAGTCGCACAGCCGCGCCAGCTGCGCCGCCTCCCTCAGCAGCATGCTGTGCAGCAGGTGCGGCTCCGGCCGCTGCGTCACCTCACCCACCGTCACCGGCTGCGGCAGCAGGTTGGGCACGTGCACCACCACATGCGCGTTGCGGCGCATGAGCGGCCACTGCCGCTCCAACTGCTCCCGCAGCTCTGCGAAGCGCAGGTCGCGCTCCAGTCGGGCGAGGCGCATGCGGTCTCGGAGCTGCGCGCGCAGGCGGCTGTTGCGCCAGGCGTGCTGGATGCGCAGGGAGGCCAGGCCGCGGCGAGAGTGCTTGCGGCGGGCGAGGTGGCCGCGGTACTGCGACTGGATGAGCACGGCGGCGGCCTCCTCACCGCCGGGACCCAGGAAGCGCCTGGGAGGGGAGGTGCGGGAAGGGGAGGTGCGGGAAGGGGAGGTGGGAGGTGCGTGGGTGACAGGGTGGGTTTGCGGTATGGGCGGGGGTAGGAAGGGTTGGATAGGCTGGTGGTGGGGATTTGGGTGTGCTTACTGGGTGAAACACAGGAGGAAGGAGCGGAAGGAGTGGTGAGCGGTAGCACAGCAGCAACCGACTGGGCAATTGGTCCAGTGTCAACAGTGTGCAAACCACATACCTTTCCCATCCCCATCTCCATCTCCCCAGCCCTGCTTCCCCTTGCCTCCCTGTTTTCTACGCCCCTCCCCGCGCCCTGCCTCCTCGCATTCGCCCCATCCTCCTGTTCTGCAGCCCTTCCTCCCTGCCCCACCTTCCCGGCTGTTTGAGCAGCGCCGCCACCTCCTGGATGTTGGTCAGGCACACCAGCAGGTCCTCCATGGCGGGCTGGTAGCCGGCGTGGGCGACCTGCAGGGGGGGGGGCGGGCAGGTGGGGAGGCGCCCGATGCGAGTCAGCGGGAAACAGCGCACCCGTGGGGATAACGGTCATATAACCCTTCCTGCGCCTGCATCGCTCTAGCCCTCCCAAACCCACCCAGCCCCCTACCCTTCGTCCCCGTTACACCCCCCCGCACCTGCGCTTTCCTATGGTTCGGTATGGTCATTACCCACACACCTGCATCGCCAGATCTGCCAGGCTCTTGCCGTTCACCAGCGCCAGCGGCACCGCGTACTGCCCGCACAGCGCCGCCAGGTGCTGCAGCAGCCCCTCCACCACACCCCACACGCTGCTGTAGCTGCGCGCGTAGGACTCAAACTCGGGCGTGTCGCGGATGACGACGCCCTTTCGGATCAGCACCTCGTGCAGACTGAAGGCGTCCATGAGGGACTCGAAGGGGCGGTTGCCCGCTTCGCCTGCGCCGCCCCCAGCAGCAGCAGCAGCACCAGCGGACCGCGGGGACAGCGGGGATTGCTGCTGGGTGGCGGCGGCAGCGGTGTCCGGGCCGTCGGCGTAGACAAAGTGCACGGGCGAGTGGGGCGGGCGGGGGCTGGCTAGGATGCCGCCGCCGCCCACGGTTGCCACATGGAGGGCGGGCTGGGGTTGAAGAGGAGGGAAAGAGGCGCGTGGAGAAGGAAAGAGGTGAAGAGGGGTCGGGACAGGTCGTGTGAGTGGCGGGTAGTGGTCGCAGAGGAGTGCTTAGCTTCTGCGTCAAGGCGGGGCTAGGGGTAGCGCCGTCCCCAGGTCCCTGCTTCCGACTTGCGTGGCCCTCCCACTTAGCCCTCTCTTGCAGCGCCTGTGCGCTTACACCTGTGCTGCCTCCCAGCTGGTCACCAGCCAGCAGGTCCACCAGGCGGGACTCCCAATGCGGCAGCCTGCGCCCCTCCTCGCCGCCCTGCTCCCGTCCCAACCCTCGAAGCCGAGGGCAGGACTGGGCACCCACCCACTACCCTATCTCCCAAGGTTGCTACTCCTGTCATGCGAATCGAGCAGTCCGCGATGCCATAACCCCTTAATCTGTTTCATCTCCTGTACCCCACCTGCTTCTGCTCATGCTGCGGCTTGACCACGGGTGTGAGCAGGTCCAGCTTAAACGCCTGCTTGGCCTGCAGTGCGTCCTCCAGGGCCGAGGTCACCGGGGCACGCTCAAACTGCTTCTGGTGAGGGTGAACCGGCACGGCTGCCGTACGGTAGGGACCTGCCGCCGAAGCGCACGCAGTACGGATAAGAGGGATTAAGGGGTAAAAGAGTACACTAGGTGTGGAACTGAGGGCGACAAAGCGTCATCTAAGGGTTAGAGTAAGTCCCACTCTCAAGCTCCCGACCGTTATAGCCTACCTGCCGCCCCGCACAGCGCGGGTGTGAGGTCCGCCTTGGCAGGCAGCAGCCCCCGGTTGACCACATGTAGTAGCCCCTTGTCCAGCTCAAGATCCGTAACCTGTGGCGGTCAGCCAGCCGACCCCGGGGAGGGTGAGAGAAGGGGACGGTGCATGGTGGCCGCGGGAAGGAGCGATGAAGCGCTTCGCACGTTATCCCATGCGTCCCTTTCGGTTACGGTGCGCGCATGCCCAGGCATGCTACCTTGAGCACCAATGTTTTCCAGCAGTGCCATGTAGCGGCGGCTTCCCGACCCGTGGGTCTTACCTCTGGCGGTGCGAGACCGTGCGGGTCCTCACGAATGTGGCGCGGCAGGATGACGTTGGGCATAGCTGAGGGGGTACGGCCCTTGGCTATGTTGCCCCCCGGGGCCACCGGCTTGGGCGCCAGCGGCGGAACGAAGCGCTCCTGAGGCCGTGGATCACACGGGGTGCGCAGGGGATTAGCGTACGGTAGTGTGCGTGCGTGCGTTAGCGCTAGACAGGCACACCGCCAGGGAACAACGACGCAGCCAGGACACGGCGCCGCCAAACTGGGTTACGCGAAGACATCCAATGCCATAATCCGCATGCGCCGCGACACCCTGTGGGGCCCTACGGTGCCCCTTCAACGAGGGAATGCGCCCTGCGGGAATGCGCCCCGCCCTGCCCTGTGGCGCTTGCCTGCAGGTACTGGCGAGTGGTCTCCGTCACGGGGTTGTTGAGCAGCGGCCCGCTGCGGGCGGCCAGGAACTGGTCCACTCGGGAGTTGCTGGGCGGGTAGGCGGGCTGCTTGGGCTGCAGGGACAGCCCCACGGGGGGAGAGCTGGCGGGCGGGAGCGACAGGGAGCCCTCCACGCCGGTCGCATGCGCGATTGCCTGGAGGAAGGGCGCAGGTATGGGAAGTGTCGTTTAGCCCGGGGCCACAGTCACCGATAACACCAGCTGGGGAAGCAGTCCCCATGGACCTTGAAACCCGGTTCCCCATGTATTTTCCGGTAGCTTCTTGATGGGTACCACCAGACGTCATGACCCATTCTCAGAGGTACCCTGCATGTTTGCTTCCCTTCGTTCTGATACGGGGCAGCTCACCAGGGCTTGGCGACGGATGTCATCCTCCAATCGAGCTATACTAGCAGCGACGGTTGAGCGGGTTGCATACGGCTTCGTAAGCTGGGTTTTCAGACGCTTTAGCTCCCATATGGCCTGTTTACCGTTCGGGGCCTTGTCAGCATGCAGGGTTGGCGGGGGAAGGCGGTAGGCCACCCGGACCACATCCATGGACGCATGCTAACCTGCTGTAGGACGTCCGTCACTTCATGTGGGTCAAGAGCTGGCCCCGCAGAAAGGGGCCGATGATGATCCATTCCTCCTTGCTGACTAGCTGCTTTCCACCTCCAGCCAGTCAGCTCCTAACCATTCTTCCCTCGGGACATCCCTCTAAGCCGCGCCCAACCCGGTATGCTTCAAAACACCTACTGTTATTGCAATTCTTTATTTGCTCCTTACTATTTATACTATGTTGCTCAGCGGTGAAGTTGAATAGTGTTCCGTGTAAAGGTAAGACAACGACAAACTGATGCGATGCAAATTACAGCTAGATTACTTTGTCAAAGTAGCCTGCGCAATCGACGCTGTCCAACTGGGTGTCACGCTTCGAGCAGGAGTACGGCAGACGTACAGACTCTCCTGGGAAACGAACCCAACCATGGCCGGTAATCCATTCGATGATTGGGAAAAGGGGTGGATAGGTTGTCATTTATACTTTGGTGTCTCTGGAAGGGTTCTTTGCTGCAGCTACCAATTTAGATACTTGACAGGCACACGGTCATATCGCTATCCCATATACTGTTGCTTATTGTCAAACCACAAGAGTGGATTTGTTTGGATAGCCGCAAGTTGGGGATTAGTGTGACAACGCTCAGCCAAGGTCGGCTTGTGGCCGCGCCGCTCAGGCGTTGCCCGAGTCATGTCGCATCTAGATGACGATTATCTTGGCCAGGTGCGTACACGCGTAAGCCGGGCCGTTTTCACATGCCTCCATAACCTGCGGATCTATGCATCGACATCGCAGGATGGCCAGGACGTCGACGCCAATGACCTCAACAGAGAGCTATTCGGTGCGTCTCTTGCGTTGCCTGGTCGCCGGCTAAGGTTGGCTGCCCATACATACCTTTCCTTGGGCTATCCTCAGCATTTGGCTTGCGGTGTGCCGCTTGTTGTTCTGCGCGCTTGGGTCATGTCGGGGGCCCAATGGTGGTAGCCCAGGTCTACCAACCCACCAGGTCCATGTGGGCAGGCATACCTGGGCCACAGCCTGGTTTTGCCCGTGTCCCTCTGTTAGTCGGCAACATATGTTCCTCCTATATACCCCCCTACACATTAAAGGGGACTCATCCTCTGCCTCGTGTCTCTTGTCTCCCCTCACAGGTGAGGAGAGTGACGACGAGCAGGCGCTGCCCGGCAGCCACCAGCAGCGGGCTCAGGAGGAGCAGGTGCTGGAGGATGAGGACGTGGAGATAGATGAGGAGGCGGAGCTGGAGGACACGGGGGAGAGCAGCGAGGATGAGCGGCGACCCGGGAAGAAGGCGGCCAAAGGGGGGAATGCGCTGCGCAAGAAGCGAGAAGCGGTGAGTTTGCCGGCTGCTTGGGGCTGCAGATCTGGCCGCCGTGTGTTGTTGGGTATAAGCGGTGGTGCTAGCTGCAGTGATGCTGTTGGCAAAGGTCGTGTCATGCCCTCACATGGTGTTAGTTGGTTGAAGTAATGCATGTGTTCCAGCAACAGTGGACGCGTTTTTCTGGTCAGCATCGGGACACACAACAGCAGCCACGTGTTCGGGACGCTTCCTGCAAGCCCTCCCAACATGCCTCCACCTCCCTCTTACCCCCCTCTCCCGCAATCAACCAGGGTGGAAAGGAGGACAAACCAAAGAAGAAGCGCCAGCGTACCTCGGATGCTGACAAGGGCGACAGGGCCAAGCGGGGCGGGGCGAGGGGCGGCGAGCGGGAGGCTCCCGGGCTCGCCCGGTCGCGGCTGCGGCGCTCCGCCGGGGCGGCTGGCGGCTCCCCGGGCGGTATCGCGGGGCAGGATGGCCACAGCGGCCCCGTGGCGGCGGGCGACAGGTCGCACATCCTTGACGAGGACGAGCGGAGCGAGGACATGCAGGAGGCGGATGCGGACCGGGCCTTCATTGACGATGAGGGTGAGGGAATGGAGAGGGCTGGGAGGGAGTGGGAAGCGAAGGGTTTTTATGGTGCGCTTGGGAGGCCGCAGCGAGGAGCGTATGGTGCTGGCCTGGGGATGGGCAGGGAGTGAGGATAACATAGATTCCTCGAGATGCCTTGGTTGGGAGGTTTGTCGTACAGGCGGTCATCCTGGGTTGTCTGGGGAAGGTGCTGCCATCAGGCAGTGCGGGTTGGGATCTGCTTCGATGCCACTGCCTCTACTCGAACCGTACCGTCGCTTCAGGAAGCAATAACAGCCATGCATTTGCTACCAGGTGTGGAGCCGGCTGGCAGCGACGACGAGGGTCCGCGTGTGGTCGCTGACGAGGCGGAGGAGGCGCTAGATGCGGACGAGGACCACCCGTTCAAGCGGAAGCGGAAGAAGGAGCAGAAGGGCAATGTTGAGGTGAGGTGCTGGGCGGGTCTGCGTGCTTCTTTGGTGGCACGCTACGTGTTGAGTGACCCCTTTTCCGTTTTGGAGCCACGGCCATGCGCATCGACAATCAATTTCCTAGGCGAGGCGAAGTTGGTAACCAGCGCATCCTGCCGCTCCCCTCTTCGCCCAAGGCCACCCTGACGTCCCCAACGCACATGGACACGCTCCCAGACACCATGGCACCCGAGCAAGGGTCCGTGTTCCCTCTTTGGCCCCTCCCCTCCCAGTGCCGTCTTCTATCCCCACTGCTTTGCCCTAACCTCTGGTCTCCCATGGTCTGGTACGGTCTTTGCCTCCCCTCCCAATGCGCAGCTCGAGATCAAGGAGATGCTGGGTAAGATGGAGGCGGCCATGGAGCACGACTTTGAGACGGTGGCTCGCAACTCGGGTCTGGAGCTGAAGAAGGACAGCTCCGACAACCTGGTGACGGACGCGGAGGGGCACTACGTGGTGGCGCGCAAGGGGCCGCCGCCGGCGTCCAAGAGCCCAGCCATCAGCAAGCTCAGGATGCTGCAGGTAGCGAGGCTTGAGGGGTGCCCCGGGGCGTGGAAGGGAGGCTGATGTAATCTAAACTAGACACATGTAACAATAAACGGTTATCACGTAACCCTGGAAAGGCCAGACCTTCCGCTTACTTTGCTGTCACCCCGTGTGCGCTGTACCCACTCGCAGGAGCTGGAGCACTTCCTGGCGCAGCGCAAGTACCACGAGAGCTTCCTGCAGCAGGGCGGGCTGGGCGTGCTGAAGGGCTGGCTGGAGCCCTACTTTGATGGCACGCTGCCCAACGTGCGCGTGCGAACCGCGGTGCTGAAGGGCCTGCAGGTACACCTGCTGCGAGGGAAGCGTGATGCCTGATGCGGCTTGCGGCCAGGGGGCGTGTGCCTTGGGTTACCTGCTTACGTGCACATTGAAGTACACAGAGGCTTGTCTGTGCAGCATTGAAGTCTGCCCATTACACACCCCTGGCCACTTGCCAGGCGCTGCCTATCGACACGACGCACGAGGACCACAAGGAGATGCTGCGCAAGTCGCAGCTGGGTAAGAACGTGATGTTCCTGTTCAAGTGCACCGAGGAGACCCCGGACAACCGGCGCATCGCCAAGGAGCTGGTGCACCGCTGGAGCCGACCCATCTTCTACGACCAGGAGGCTGAGGAGGTGGGTGGATAAAGAGGAGAAGAAGCATGCTGTGAACGTTGGTTGGTGGGTGGGTGGGTGACCAACATGGGCGTTGCTGGTATCGTTGGGAAGAGTCTGCATGCATGCTGGTATGTCCCCTTGTGTACATGCCCGAGAGGAAGGTTCTGTTTGGGATGGATGGGCAGGGCAGCCGTGGGCTAAGGAAACAGCTGGTACGCGAACTGACCCGGGTTTTTCCCACTCCCACTCAGGCCAAGAAGCGGCTGCACCAGCAGCAGCTGCTGGAGGCTCGGCGCATGGAGCTGGACCGGCGCGGCCATGATCAGGGGGGCACTGCCGCAGCGGCGGTGCGCAACAAGGCCATGCGCATTCACGCGCTTATCCCCCAGGTAGGCGCTGCCCCTGATGTCGAGCCGCAGCCGTACTGCAGCACAGCCTGTTTAGGATGTTCAACTGCACCCTCGAGCGGTGCAAGGCTGCCCCACGGCATGTGCCATCCATGTGGCTCCTCAGCTGTCCCGCTGTCATCCACCGAAGGGCTTTCCCCACATCTGGTTACCCCTACGGTTACTCGCCTTTGCTCGTTTGTGCTCCTTGCTATCGATGCATGTTCTCCTACACCCCGGTTCGCGGCACTCGCGGCCAACACGCGGTTTTTCTCTCCCCCCCTTCTATTTGTGGGTTCCCTATGGTTCGGTATGATCTTTGACCCCCCTCTGCCTTCCTCCTCTCCCAGGCCTCCAAGCTGGACTACGTCAATAACCCCGGGGCGGCCAGGGACTTCAACGAGTCTGAGATGGCGGCCGCGGCAGTAGCGGGGCCCAAGGCCAAGCAGGTGGATGCGCTGACGAAGCGCCTGCGGGAGCAGCAGAAGAAGCTGCGGGACGGCAACGCGCGGGCGATGAAGCCTAGCGTGGAAGGGCGAAACATTGTACTGATGAAGTAGGGAGGTGAACTGCGAGGGATGGCGCGGGAGGTGGCGTTGGTGCGGTTGACGTTGCTGGGGTACCGGTACGCGACGCGTCTGGGCAAGTTTTGTGGACAGCTTTTGTGTGCTACCGAGCACTATTTGAGAAACAGTTTTAGTATTAGCTTGCAGCATGTCGCTCACGTAGCGCTTAATGCAGGGGAGTCAGAACGACTCACGTGCGACAGACAGGATGTACACTAGCTGACTGGGTTTTACTTTATTTGTTGCATCATGTAACATGGTGCGTGCCGTCCTTGCTTTGCCGCGATAGTAATCAGGAAAGCTTGGTTTTTGTCATACGGCTTGAGACGATGCAAAACGGGCGGAGGGGATAAACACGGCAATGCAACGAGACTGTAGGCCGAGAGGTAACTAGAGGAACGCACCGCCCGGTGGAGGGCATGGGGTCCGGGGGAGCTGGCGGGCTCAGCGCCGCGTTGCACATCCATCCTCTTCAACAGGGAAACGATGGTGCAGAGGCTGGTGAGTAGGAGGAGCGCTGCCCCTAAGGCTGGACAGGCGAATACCAACGTAATGGCCCCCCGCGCGTGCGGCCATCGCCTTGTTAAACAAACGCCGCCCATGCAGGCAGGCATCCCTGCCCCGCTAGCTACTGGCACCCACATGCGCATGCAACCCCGCCCCTCTCGGCTATCGGTGCTTATGCGTGTAGACCTCCAGTCGTCCTGCCAGGAACAGGCACCCATGCGTGCAAGCATCACCCTTCTCCCACCCATTTCCGTCGCACCCCACCCACGCATCAGCGCCGATGCCTGCATCTATAACCACCCGTCCAAAGTGGCACCGATAGATGTATGCATACCCACCATGCCCGATTACCGGCTGCCATGCGGGTACGCACACCCATTGTGCCCGCCGTTAACCGCGGTGATGTACGCATGCATCCTGCCCTGTCCAGGTACCGAAACCAATGCGTTCGTGCATAAATCACCGCCCTACTCAGTTACACTCGGCCATGCGGCCAGCGGCCCCGCCCTGCTCACCAGCTGGCACATGTACAGGAGTGAAGGCATTGGAGGTAGGAACTTCACGGGAAGGGCAGGAAGGCGCAGGCCCGCAGGAGGCCCGCAAGGGTTCTGCACCGATAAGGGCACAAGAAACCAGGGCCTCGGGGGTAAGGACAGCCGAGGGCATTTTGCGGCAGGCACTGCACATGGAAGGGCACCGAGGCCCCACGGCGGGCCACATGAGGCCCGCGAGTTCGCTGCACGGGAAGCACACGGGGAAGGTCAGCTCTATGGGTTAGGACATTGGGAGGCAGCCGCCGCCGGTGAAGGGCAGGGGCACAAGCACGGGCCGCGCAGGTAAGGACAGTCGCATGGGGAGGGCATGGGGAGACCAGGTAGGTACAGCGCGGGGACGGGCATCCTGCACTGGTAAGAACTTAAGCCGCGAGACAGGCACTGCGCGCATCCCTTATCACCTTCCGACAATCCAGGCACGCATTGCACGGGGAAGGGCAAGGGCAGGCAGACGCCTCACGCGGAAACACGGGGGTAGGCAAGCGCCGCGCGGGGAAGAGCCACTTTACGGCCATTGTAGCGGCCACTTACTTGATTAGTAATCTTGCATCGCGGGCAAGAGGTATCAGAAACGGGCAATGCCTATGTGAGGCAGGCGCCACGCAGGGAAGGGCATGGGGATGCATGCGACACCGGCGCCCAGACGTCCCGCAGAAATCCCGGCGCGCCCATGTAGTCCCCGCACTGACCAACAACAAGCGCGCATGCGCGCAAGCGTGCCCCCCGGATTCGCGGTGCCCTGTTGCGCGCGGGCTTCCCCGCCCGGCTGATTACCGGCGCTATCATGCACATGCATCCCCGATGGCCTTTCCCGGCTACCACGGGTTCATTGCACGTGCGTGTAGACATTCTCTTTTCTACACGGTGTGCTAAGAAGACTGGCCGGAGGGGCGTGAATGCACACCCACCCGGCCCATAGACGGGCGCTTATGCATGCGTGCGTAACACCACCGTCCTATTTACCCACCTGCGCCAACAGACCGGCGCCCCCGTCATGCACTGGGGCTGTGGAGGTTAGGCAAGCGCAGCGCGGGCGAGAGCCATATGGCTTCGCCTGTCCAGCCTAAGGGGCAGCGCTCCTCCACACCAGCCTCTGCACCATTGCTTCACTGTTGAAGAGGATGGACGTGCAACGCGGCGCTGAGCCCGCCGGCTCCCCCTCCCCCCAACAGCCGCGCCTCTCAGCCGCTTCCCATGCCCTCCACTGGGCGGTGCGTTCCTCGAGTTACCGGTACTGGCGGGTGTGCATGCATGTATCAGTGCTCGTTTATGGGCCGCGTGGGTTGTGCCGGGTCGGTATGCACTCACGCAACAGCGTTGATGCATGGGTGGGTTCGACGGATTAACGCACAGGTGCCAGTACCGGTACTTCAGCAGTGCACGGCACGGCATGCACACATAAGCATGAGCACCGGTACTCGGGCGGGTAGGAAGGGTTTTGCACTCCACCACCTGCATGCCTTACATGCTGCGTTTTTCTTTGGCTTGCTCAAGCCGTTTGTGCTTCCTACCCGTTTACATATGCTAGCAGCGGCGTCAATCGCTGCCATTCCTTTCGTGCTTTAAGCACCCTTCTGCATCCGCACGCCCTACATGCATGCGTGCAACCGCATCTCCTCGACATCACCTCCCTCCCGCGACCTACGGGCAGCTCCCGCCGAAGGCGGGCCTTACTAGTAAATAAAACAGGAGGCACGAACGACGCGGAGCGCTTCACCGCTTTCTAGCCTGGATCGACCCGTGGGTCTATGGGCGGGACGTGTCACCCAGCCACTGGTTGGTGCCTGGTGGGAGCAGTTCGACTAACGCGTTGGGCCCACAGGTGATGCGGCCGTTGGTGTTGTCCAGAAACGCCCGCCCTATCACGAACGCGGCTGGCAGGTTCGAGAACACCAGCAGGTCCCCATAGAAGTCGTGGAGACGGCGCCCATCGAAGAGGCTGATGGCGCCGTTGGGTGCGTATCCTACTGCGTAGGTCGAGCTACCTGCCATCTGCACCGGCACGGGCTCCCGCACGAACGGCACCCTGGCCTGCTCCACCCAGGCGTGGTCCACGGCACCAAGGAAGCTGCAACCCGTGTCGAAGGCCACATGCGGGGGCGTGCGACGTTCCAGCTCCCTGTCCATAGAGGGCTTGGACCCCACGGTAATGACGGGCGCGGCGGAGAGATCCTGGGCGAAGCTGGGCAGCGTCCGTTGCCGGGTGCTGTGCTGGTACGCTTGCAGGCGCCCGAAGACGCTTGGCGGCCCGGCTGCCTGCGTGAGCACTGGGGGACCACTGGGGGCGGCGCGGAGGCGAGCGGTCCCTGCATCTCGGTGGCGGCGTCGGCGGTCTGCGCTCCCGAGAGCTGCGTCGTTGGCGTTCTCGTGAGCGCTCCCTGGAGCTGCGCCGCTGACGGTCACGTGAGCGCTCTCGGGAGCGGTCACGGTCGTCCTCAGGGGGGGCGAGCTGGGGGTCCCGCTGATCTCACGCTGCAGGTGCCGTAGGTAGCAGTTGCTGGTGTCGTGGTGCTGTCGCTGGCGGCACCCGGGGTGCCGGCAAGGACCCGAGCCCTTCGGCATGCGGGGGTACAGGGTCCTGGCAATCCTCAGGAACCCCTCCCGGTCGTCGTCCTGGTGGGCCGCTAGCATGGAGCTTGCGTGCCCGCTGCAGGAGGGCTCGGCGCTTGGCGTCCCGGATGTGGCTGAGGTCAAGGGTGTCCTGACCTTGCTGAATGGGCTCTCGCTGGGGGCCCTGCCGCCGGTTGCCTCCTGAGGTGGCGGCGCCCGCGTTGGCGGCGGGCGTCCGTACAGCTGGTGGAGGCGAGGGCGCTGCTGTTTGGCTGGGCTGGGAGGGGCCAGCGGCTGCGGGGTCAGCTGCGGGTTCTGCCAACAGCTCCTGGAGTTCTCGCTCCTCGGCCTCGGCCTCTCCCCCTCGCTCACCCATCGGCTCATCGTCATAGTCCAGCTCCTCTTCCTCCGTGACGTCCTCTTGGGAGGCGCGGGTCATGAGGACTGAGGGCGTCCGCTGTGACGTGGCACGGACGGCGGAGGCAAGCTCACAGAGGCGCGCCTGAGCGTCAGGGGCGTCTGGTTCCTCCTTGCTGACCGTGGGCAGCACGACAGTCTGCGGGGTTTCATCAGCACAGCGGTCTAGGTTGAGGATGTACGACACTGACGGCTGGGGGAAGCTCAGGGTGGAGACCCCGAGTGCATGCATGCTGCTCTGCCCCCATAGGAGGTCGAACAATTCCCTAGCCACCGCGTCCTGTACGACCAGCGCTTCCTGGTGGCTGCGGCGTTCATAGGGTGTGCCAGGGCACAGGACGACCTCTAGGCCTCCCTTGACCCGACCCAGACGGCTAGTGCGCCCCCCCACGGTCACTACCGCGTGGGCGTCAGGCTCTACCGTGAACTCACCGCTGTCGGCCACGTGCTGCGCTATCAGGCACACGTCGCTGCCGCTGTCGACCAGTCAGAGCTTAGGCCGTACCAGGTGCTGTCCCTTCCCCACCGCAAAGTGCTCCGAAGACACGTACTGCAGAGCTCCCGGGCTCTCACGGTACCTGCGCAGGGCATCCATGCGCTCTGACTTATTTAGCCAGCAGTGCGAACTTGCTTAGCGTCAGCACCCCAGGCGCGTGAATGGGCTCACACGGTCCGAAGCTGCAGCTGACAGGCGTGGTCGCGGCTGCTGTGGGTGCGCTGAGCAGGCCTAGGGAGTCCGCCCCCCACTTCGTCGGGATTGCTTCCAGCCGCAGGGAGATGCCCTGCGACCCCTGCCACTGCATGCGCTGCATGGCGTCGCCCATCGACACCTCCAGGACGATCTCCTGGAGGCCGTAGCGGTTGAGAGCGGTTGGCTGGCTAGGCTGCACAGGGCGTTGCAGGAAGCCGGCTGGAAGGCGCTCACGAGCGGCGGCGGCGCGCTGCACGTCGTCAGGCCCCTCCACAGCTGAGGGAACGCCACCCGTTGGGGCTGGCTCCGCTACCTCGCGGCGGTCAGCACCTCAGAAGGGCTGCTGCCGTTGCTTGCTGCTTGGGGTTTCCTGCGGCAGGCTGGGAACGGTGTCCAGCCAGGCAAACTGGCGATCTGCCAGCGTCACGGCGCAACAGAACTGCGCCTCATCCAGCGGCACGTCTTCAGCTGCTGCGGCGGCGGCGACGACCGCTGGTTTTTTCAGGAGACCCGGCGGTATGGGGATGTTGTTCTTCCGGCTGAGGTCAACATAGCATCCTTCGGCGCCATGGTGGGCTGGGAAGGGGCAACCCGGCACCGTGCGGGGCCCCTGGCCCCTGGGCGCGTCGGGGAAGCGCCTCTTCATCTCCTCACGCCAGTTGCTGAACAAGCGCCTGGTGCCGGACTGCTCCTGGGACTGCCTGCGGGCCCCGGCGCTGTCACGGCTGCCACCACCCCCGTCACGGTTCTGACGTGGCAGTCGGGAGCTGGCTCTGGCGGCATCATCCCCCCTGTTGAGCCCACGCTGGTGGGGCCTGGAGGAGTGGCCAGCATCCCGCTGCGCCCCCCCCCTGGCCCCCCCACCGCTGCCAGCGTTGCCAGTGACCCCCATTGCCTGGTACTGGGCCATCTGCTGCCGGAGCTGGCTCAGCTGGCGGGCCAGTTCCTCCACAGTGGTGGTGGCGGCTGACACGCTGGGCTTGGGCTGGGAGCGCACGTGGTGGTCCGGGAAGTTGTGGTAGGCCTGTGCCAGCTCCATGATGCGGTGCACGTCATATAGTGTTGTATTGCTGCGCAGGAGTTCCCCCTTCACGAAACGAGCCATCTCGTCGTCCACGATCCCCTTGAGGAAGAACTGCCCGAACGTGTGGTCTGTGTAACGGCCCACTGGGGCACGCTCCTTCAGGGTGATGAAGCGGTCGTACGCCTCCTGGGGCGCCTCCCCCTTCTGGAACCTGAACCTTTCAAGTTCATCAACGGCTGCTACATCCATCGTGCGGAAACGGGCCTCCAGCTCGGCAAGCAGGAACCATAACAACGCGGGGGTCTGGGTCCCAGCTGCGGTGGTGTACTCCTGCCCTGTGTAGATGATGGCGCTGCCCAGCAGTGTGTACCCATCCTGGTGTTGCTGCCGGATGTTGTCCTTCTGCTGATCCATCCATGTGGCGACGGGCGAGCACAGGTCTGGAGTTCCGCTGGTGGTTCTGAGTATGCCTACCCGGGGCGCAATGACCGTGTAGAGATCCAGTTGTTGCCTGGGCCACTGGGTGGACAGAGCCGCTTGCGCGAGTTCTAGGGCGGCCGTGGCCTCCCGTTTGAACGCCAGCCAACTCTGGGGCTTGCCGTCAAACCGGGAAAAGCCCTCCACGAACTTCTGGACATAGCTCGGCCACCAGTGCTGCTCCGCCATGATTGGATTGCGAGGTGGTGGTGCGACTGCTGCTCCAGCAACCTCTCCTGAGGTCCCTTGAACCGAGGCCTCTGCTGGCGCTACGGCGGCTGGCCCTCTTGGGGATGCTGTGCCTAAGTCCCCTCCTGGGGCTCCTAACGTCCCTCCTGGGACCACTAAAACCTCTCCTGAGGCGACCTGGCTGAGACGTTGGCTTGACCCTGAGGGCCCAGACCCAACACGCTGGCTGAGGTCACTTACCGGTGGACCTGAGAGGCGAGTCTCGACGTTGTCCGATGCGTCACGATCAGCGCTCGGACCAGCGTCTTGACCTTGCCCTTCAGTCCCTGCACACGGAGTGTTGGCAACAACCGGGGCAGATGAATCTCCTGCCTCTGATGCGGAACGGCTCCGGTCTGTGCGCTTCTGTCGGCGGATCTCACGCAAGGCTTCCTCTTCTAGCAAGGCAGTAACTCTACTGTTGGCCCTAGCAAGAGCACGTGTTGTCCGCGCGTCGGAAACTTCAGGGTAAACAGGTTCAGCTAATGGGATGGGCGGCGGGGTTCCGGGAACTCTACCGCCTGTGGCTTCTTCTCTACGTGGGCTCTCTACCGTATCTTCACGCCCGTCTCGGGACGTGGGCATGCATGCGCCGGTCGACTCAGGATTGCCTGCAGGTGCTCTCAGCAGCAATGCGAGCCAATCCCTTCGAAGTCGCTCCGTCCGCGCGCCGGACTCACTTTGCCAGAGTGGGTTGGGAGTACGGGAGTAGTCCTGGGTGCTTGTCCAGGCTCCCGCGCGAGGGTAGAGAGGAGACGCTAGAGAGTGGATGCCAATTGGTTGTAGTTGTCCTTTTACACGCACAGCAATGCCAGTGGCGCTATTAGGCTGCCAAAAGACACGCAAGAAGTTCAGTCTTCTTCGCTAGCTGCGCTGGCAAAGGTGACTCCACCGAGAGTCCTCGCACCCTTGCCAGCATGCCGATACGGTACGGCAACTCTAAGCCACACGATATGACAAGCACGCGCTGTGTCATGACAACCTCTGTTATTGCTTGTATTCGCGGTTCACATGCGAACCTCTCCCAATTGCTTGCTCTTGTTCTACTCTAACTACACACCTCCCAGTCCCGCATGCACTGCGCCGCCCAGCACATGCTGTATAGCAGCATCTCAGGCGGGCTGCTGGGCGAGGACGGGCGCTACGACGCGTTCGAGAGCGCGCTGGAGGTGCTGCGGGTGCGGGGGCGGCACCCGGGGGAGCCGCAGGCGAGGTTCGGGCAGCTGGATGCGGACTTTGCGGAGTTCATGAGCTGCAGGGAGCTGCGGGGGCGGGTGCGGGGGCCGGTGGTGAAGGTGGAGGCGGAGGCGGGGGAGCAGGAGGAAGGGGGGGGGAACAGGGGCTTACAGATGAGGGACAGGGCGATGAGGGGACAGGGGAGGAGGCGGGTGATGAGGGAGGGACAGGAGGTGAGGGGCATGACGAGGAGGGGGAGGAAGGGAAGGTACGGAGGCTGACCCACATGTGAGTGCTGCTGCTGAGGGTGCCGGGGCAGTAGATTCAGCTGGTGTTGCGCAGGGGGCGGGTGGGGCTGTGCAGAGGGGTGCTGGGGGTGGCGGGGGTGCCGCAGGGGTGCTGTGTAGCCACGCGGCGGTGGACATGCGGGCGGCAGGGCGGGCGTGCTACTCGTTGCTGCGGGGCGGGGGCTACATGGGGGTGCCGGGCGGAGCGTTGTGTGCGCGGGGGGCGAGGCATAACCTGGCTGCCTGCCCGCGACTGTGGGAGTGATGCGCGGTAAGGAGAAGGTGGTGGTGGAAACTGGAGAGATGGTGATTTAAGGGCGTGGAGAAGGCAGGGGTCAGGCATGTATGTGAAACCATCTGCGAGGCCAGAGGTGATGCAATGTTGGTATGCCGTGAACTAACTAGAGGAAAGCGCGACGTGAGTCTGCGTGTGTTGGCAACAGGCAGACATGTGACCCGTTCAATCTCAGCTACGGGGGCTTTGCTATGGTACATGATGGGATGCTGACTGTGCGGACTTGTGCGAGTTCCAGCAAGCAGTGTGTTGACTTGCACAGTGGAATGCCGTGGACATTGGGTGATGATCTCTTTGACACGGTTGCTGCTGCACCCAAGCTGCTGACACGCTGGCCAGGCAGTCGCATAGGCCCGTTACACACTTGGGACCGACTAACGAGCAAATGAACACCGACATGTTCTTAAAGGCCGGCTTAAAGAGACAGGGAGATAAGAGGCAGTAAGACGCCATAAACCCTTGCACCCGCTTTAAGACGCATCTACCATCTACCGGCTAGCACGACAAAACTCCCCGTCGCCACTATTTCTGGTGTCCGAATAATATACAAGACCCTACGGACTCTCCTAGCCTTGTCCGTACTAGCAATAGCATAAGGAAAGCAACAGGGACACACGACGATAGCCCGCTGCATCTTTGGTAGCGTACATCGACCAAGGCGCTCCAGAACCACATTTTTCTGGACGCCAAAACAAAGTATTGCTACAGTAGCTTTTACACAGAATCCGCTACACATATCGTCAATACCTTTTATTACGCTGTTTCTAACCCTGAACTCACCAGGCCTGCGTACCTAAGTTTTGCTATACCTGGTCAGCTGCAAGACGCCTGATGTTTAGAATGCGAAAGTTACAAGGGGGGCCCGACCTTCTCCTTTCGGATTCTGAGGCAAAAATTGCCGGATGGGAGCGGACGATTGCAGCCGAGGAGAAAGAGGATGTCCCTTGTAAAGGCCGTATTAATGGCCTAAAGTTTTTACTGAGAATGAGCCATACTGAAATGCTCGGCCAGTGTTGTACACTACGGAGCTTCCGCCCATGTAATACCGCAAACGCAACTAGAACGATGCCCCTCTCAGAATACCTATCACTTACACGAGCTAGCACTTGCCGATTTACAACGCAATTTGTGACAATTTTGACATTCATCGACTACGCTCCAAGTTCGCGGACAAGTTCCTTCATCCTCGGACGCACCGGCAAGACGATTAAGAAGAATAAGGTAAGTCTGGGGGTTTATGCGTTAGCAGCCGGCGAAGCAAGCCCTCGCGCGGACCTCAGGGACCGATTCGTGGACCGCGCGAAGTGTAGTTTGGGTTAGCTGGTCAGGGTCTCTTGCTAGCTTACCTGGTTATTAAAATGGATTGCTAGCCAGAAAGGGGCGAAGGGCAGGGCCTTGCTTCACAGACCGCCATTGGGGGAGCTGCGAAGCGTTGACCAATCTCCTTGCGTGAGCCGGGCCCTTTCCTGAGTCTGTAGGAATGAAGCCGAAGAGCAGAATTTGCCCGGCTATGCCTTAGACCAACGCTGCAGATCCGCCCCCCCTTCCAGCCTAAGGGTCCTTTATCCAACCTCGAGCCGCCTTCGCCGAAGACCGCAGCTCGCAAGAGGCCCACTAGCGGTGGGCCTAAGTATGCTGGCTAGCAGAGACGGGGTAGAAGCGAGAGCGCTGAGGCTTCAGCGCTGCAGGGCACCGAAGCAACCTAGTCGGGGTGAGGGCCCAAGCATGCAGAATGGGACACCCCTCGCGGCGCCACCTAGCTACCTAGTGGATAACGAGTAGGATGCTACCGTGTACAGAGTCGACCCCTCTTGCCTTTAGCGTGCCCGGAGGCTGCCTCCGGGACTGCCACGCTGCCTGCCGCTACCTATTAGCATGCCCGGAGGCTGCCTCCGGGACTGCCACGCTGCCTGCCACTACCTATTAGCGTGCCCGGAGGCTGCCTCCGGGACTGCCACGCTGCCTGCCGCTACCTATTAGCGTGCCCGGAGGCTGCCTCCGGGACTGCCACGCTGCCTGCCACTACCTATTAGCATGCCCGGAGGCTGCCTCCGGGACTGCCACGCTGCCTGCCACTACCTATTAGCGTGCCCGGAGGCTGCCTCCGGGACTGCCACGCTGCCTGCCACTACCTATTAGCATGCCCGGAGGCTGCCTCCGGGACTGCCACGCTGCCTGCCGCTACCTATTAGCATGCCCGGAGGCTGCCTCCGGGACTGCCATGCTGCCTGCCGCTACCTATTAGCGTGCCCGGAGGCTGCCTCCGGGACTGCCACGCTGCCTGCCACTACCTATTAGCGTGCCCGGAGGCTGCCTCCGGGACTGCCATACCGCCTGCAGCTGCCTTGCGTGCCCGAAGTCGGCATCTGTACCGCTGCGCCACCTGCCATTGCCCATAGCGTGCCCGGAAGCTGCCTCTGAACCTCAACGCCGCCTGAGGCTGCCTCGTGTGCACGGAGGCTGCCTTGCATGCCTGGATGCTGCCCCTGCACTGCCATGTCCTGCCACTGCCTTGCGCGCCTAGAGTCGCCCTCCGCATCCCTACGCCGCCTGCCATTGCTTTTGTGCGGCTCGAGTCGCCCTCCTCACCCCCACGCCGCCTGCCAACGCCTATGATGAGCCCGGAGGCTGCCTCCTGGACTGCTATGCCGCCTGCCGTTGCCTTGTGTGCCCGGAGGCTGCCTCGGGGACCGCCGCACCGCCTGCTGCAGTCTTGCGCGCCTAGAGTCGCCCTCCGTACCACCACGCTGCCTGCCATTGCCTATACCATGCCCAGAGTCGGCCTCCGCACCTCCACGCTGCCTGCCATTGCCTATACCGTGCCCAGAGTCTGCCTCCGCACCTCCACGCTGCCTGCCATTGCCTATACCGTGCCCAGAGTCTGCCTCCACACCTCCACGCTGCCTGCCATTGCCTATAGTGAGCCCGGAGGCTGCCTCCAGGACCGCCACGCCGCCTGCCACGGCCTTGTATGCCCGGAGGCTGCCTCCTCGCTGCCACGCCGCCCCATCCGCATCGCCTGCTGTAGATAATGACGCGGGCCAGGAGCGCCCAGAGGGCATCGGATGCCCAGCTACCCCCCTCCCCCGGAGCTCGCCGTGCTGCCCCGCTGAAGCAACCACGCCAGCCACCACCGCCACCTTACCGCCCCAGCCAGTCAGCGCCCTGCAGCGGGCACCACCACAGCCCGCCACGCACCACCCACGTGACTTGGGAAGAGCCGACCTTCGCCGACTAACCGCCGCCACGGGCTTGCCTACTCACAGCACCAGCACCACCCGCACCCTTCCTGCCGCCGCGCACCAAGCCGCCCAGCCCACCTACCCCTTCAGCCGCTACGCAGCAGAGGGCCCCCACGCAGTCAGAAGCGCCGCCAGCACCATACCCTCGACTCGTCAAATCCCAGGGTCCCCTCCCCCTTCCTTAACAGCCTATATGCGCGCTACCCCAGCCAGGCAGCCGAGCCAGACTGCCACCCACACATCACAACTGAGCATCTCCGCTTCGGCACCGTGCTCCGCACGACGTCGACGCCACTGGTTACCACCGGGAGCCGACATCCCATTCCCGAGCCTACGCCAGCTTACGGCCCCGTTGCGATTGCCCCACGAGGTCTGGGGCAGCGCGCAACTGCGCGCACATGTCCGCGGCAAATAGCAGAAAGGCAGGCAGCGATGCGCAACATGCATGCCCCTCCGCCGCCTGTTAAAGTGCAGCTGGCGGGGGGTGTAGGGTGGCCAGGAGAGAATGCAACCCGCACCGCCATCTCCTGCACCGCTCCCGCCTGGCGTGCCGCCACCTTCGCCGAAGCCGCCCAGCCCTGCACCGCCATCTCCTGCACCGCTCCCGCCTGGCGTGCCGCCACCTTCGCTGAAGCCGCCCAGCCCCGCACCGCCATCTCCTGTGCCGTTCCCGCCTGGCGTGCCGCCACCTTCGCCGAAGCCGCCCAGCCCCGCACCGCCATCTCCTAAACCGCTCCCGCCGGGCGTGCCGCCACCCTCGCCGAAGCCGCCCAGCCCCGCACCGCCATCTCCTTCACCACTCCCGCCGGGCGTGCCGCCTCCTTCGCCGGAGCCGCCCAGCCCCGTAGGGAATGGCGGCCTTGCGGATAGCGTAGGCGGCAGGCAGGCCGTTGTGGATGCGAGTAGCTGTTAGCCAGCGGTGGGATAGCTGCGACAGGAGCACGAACGTTACACAGCCTATAGTGCAGGTACCCGATAGCGCAGGTAGACGATAGCGCAGGTAGACGATAACGCATGTAGCCGCTAATGCTTGGTTAGTGGTAGCGCTAAGCGTCCGCTAGAGGTGTTCGCTAGCATGTAGCCGTGAGTCAAGGTAGTCGAGGCAGATGGGCAATCACGGGCCAGTAGGTGCCAACAACGGCGGGCGACATACTGGCTATGCAAGGGGGCTCCCACTGAGCGAAAGGCTTAGCGGGATAGGCTGGTATTGGGTGGCTGGGTACCCGGCTCGTACGGTAGAGGCGCCTTCAGGCTTGTGTCCCCCCGCATCACTTGACGGCTGACGGTCTGTGTCAGGCGGCATGTAGTGGCACAGTCCCCGGGTCGCTCCAGCTTTACTCTACTTAACTAATATAGGCTTGATTGGATGACTTGGTTGACGATGAAGAAGAAGGATTATAGGTTGAGAGGTAGTGGAAAGACTAGCGTCAGCCAGCTTTAAATAGGGCGCCGCCCTGTACGACTCATTCAGATCATCCATTCCGGGATCGGTTACTCGAGTCGCATTGCGAGATCATTAGCGTCATCATAGACGTGGCTACTAGCCTCTTTAGGCGTATGACCCATACTTATATTTCCACTTATAAATCCACCTTGTGTTACAACATTGCCTCCCCCCTTTAAGAGTTTGCGTCCGCGCAACTCCTTTGACGTACAGCTTCTAGCGTTGAAGCCATGTCAGGGGTAAAGTTTGTAGCTGGCTCCCAGCTATTATGTTCGTCCGTGTACCCTTGCCATTTCACAAGGTACTCATCTACGTACGAACGTTTTCCCGTTTTTCGACGACGGTAATCAAGTACCCTTTCAACCGGCAGATAGCTATCTTCAGACGAATCCTGCCATTCGGGCAATGTTTCTGGTGGCAGTGGCTTAAACGAGCCATCTGATTTGTATGGCTTCACCATACTAACGTGAAACACGTTGTGAATCTTCAGATTGCCTGTTAGAGTAAGGCGCACAGCAGCCTTCCCTATCATCTTTTCCACAGGAAAAGGTCCAATCCAACGAGGTTGGAGCTTGCGTGTAGCCTTACCCTTCGTACGAAGGTTTTTCGTACTCAGTAAAACCATGTCACCTGGGTGGAACTCCACCTCTCTTTTATCTTGGTTATAGTAAGCAGCGGTCCTATCTTGGGCTGCTTTCAAGCACCGCTTTGCTTCAGACAGTCGGTCTTGCAAAGTTTTACTCATGTCAACAGCAGCTGGTACGGTAGTATCAAGTTCACGTACCAAGGGTGTAGCCGGATGCCATCCGTAATTCAGGAAGAATGGTGTTTGACCAGTGGAACGATTCACGGTGTTGTTGGCGGCAAACTCTGCCATTGACAACGCCTCATCCCATGATCGTGGTTCAGAAGAGCAGTAATTCCGTAACATGTCACCAAGAACACGATTCATCCGTTCTGTTTGACCATCTGTTTCCGGATGGAATGCTGTTGACAGGCTTGGGTTGATATCAATCATTTTAGCTAACTGTTGCCAAAATCGACCAGCAAACTGAGTTCCTCTATCAGAGACTGTTTGCTTGGGTACCCCATGTAAACGTACGACATTTTGGAAGAACATCTTCGCCGTTTGTTCTGCGGTCACGCTCTTTTGCGTTGGAACGAAATGAGTCATCTTCGTAAGTCGATCAACGAAAACCAGGATAGCATCGTACTGCCGTGCCGTACGTGGTAATCCCGTAATGAAATCCATTGAGACACTGTCCCATGGCATCTCAGGTATTGGTAATGGTTGCAAGAGACCTGGCTGCTTGCCGGATCTTGCTTTGTTTCGTTGGCATTGATCACAAGCCAACACATGTTGTCGTACATCCGTAACTACACCAGGCCACCAGTGAGTTCGTTGTACAAGTTCCAATGTACGGGTTACACCTGGATGTCCTGCCATTGGGTCTCCATGGCAGCGAGTAATCAACTCTTTGCGTAAATCATTATGATTTGGTACCATTACCCTTTTCTTGCCATCAGGGCAGGTTTTAATCCAAAACCCTTCTGCATTTCGTTCCATGTCTGTCAGATTGCCGTTATCACGGAACCATGGGTCTTTGGCATAACCAGCTAGAATACGATCTCGTAGCGTCTGACGCGTTTGACCACGGGTCACCACGTTTAAAAGGGGGTGTCTGCTGAGGGCATCAGCAACGTTGGTTTTACCTGATCGGTGTTCCCAATTCATGTGAAACCGACACAGAAACTCTAACCAACGAGCTTGTCGCCGACTCAAGGTTGGTTGCGTTTTCAGGTAAATGAGCGGATGGTGATCCGTAACAACTTTCAAGTCTTGGGGACCTTCCAGGTAACATCGCCACTCTCTGAGTGCGTGTATCACCCCGAGCAACTCTTGCTCACCCGTTGTATAGTTACGCTCAGCAGGTGTAAACTTCTTGCTGGTAAAAGCCACAGGTTTACCATCTTGAAGTAGCACAGCTCCTGTTCCCCTTAATGACGCATCCGAGATCACTTCGAAAGTGAAAGGTCGTGTCATGTCTGGATATCTTAACAGAACATCATCTGCTAGTGTATTTTTCACCGAATTAAAAGCTTGAATCCTTTCAGGAGTCCAATCCTCCGGACGGACTTGACCACCACCTCGCAACATATCCGTCAGGGGGGCACTGAGCGAGGCGTAAGCTTTAATAAACTTACGAAAGTAGTTTGTTAATCCAAGGAATTGTCGTAACTCTGTTACGTTCTTTGGCAACGGCCATTCCCTCACGACCTTCACTTTCTTAGAGTCCATGCGAATACCGTCGGCACATACAATGTGACCGAGATATTCTAAATGTGACTGCGCCCAGTGGCACTTAGACGCTTTTGCATGGAATCTCTCTCGTCGCAGCACTTCAAGCACTTGCTCCAAGTGTTTTAAGTGCTCTTCACGACTCTTGGAATATACCAGGATATCATCTAGGTATACAACGACAAACTTGCCAAGGTAGGGCTGAAAGATTCGGTTCATGACAGCCTGAAACGTGGCTGGCGCATTGGACAATCCGAACGGCAGTACAACGTACTCGTAGTGTCCCATGGGTGTGCGAAACGCAGTCAGCGGCACATCCTCAGCCCGAATCTTGATTTGGTTATAACCTTGCTGAAGGTCAATGGACGAGTAGATCACGCTACCGCCTAAACTGTCCACCAAATCATCTATCCGTGGCAACGGATAGCGGTTCTTCACCGTTTGTGCATTCAGCCCTCGATAATCCACCACCATACGTAATGTACCATCCTTTTTTGCTACGAATAGGATGGGAGCCGCCCAAGGTGATGCACTTGGCCGTATCATGCCTTTTTGCATCAAATCTGCCACCTGGCGTTTCACCTCTTCTAACTCTGCGGGAGTTAGGCGGTAGAGCGGTCTAGCAATTGGCGTTGCGCCTGGTTGCAACGGTATTGTGTGTTCCACGGGTCTATCTGGTGGTGGCCCCATCAGGTCCCTAAAGATCACTTCGTATTTATCAAGTAAAGCTTTGAACTCCGGGTCCGTCGTTTGTTCAGAAGTCTTACTTGTGTTTGTATCAGTTAACATCGCCGACTCCGGGCCCATCGTTTGTCCGACGTTAACTGCGGCAGCGGTAACCGGTTCGGTGCCACACCCGGTTGGCTGACTCTGCGGTTGACCCATTTGTTTATCCGCGCGAGCCGCTGCCTGTCTCAACACGGCGTCAGCTCGTATCTTTGGTCGGATCATCAATGCGTGTGCCCCTTTACGCATCATATGTTTAGCTGCTTTGCGGTTGACAGTACGAATCTCAGATCCGTTCATAAACGCAGCCACGACGTGATGAACTTCACGTGATTGTACAGCTGCTGCTGCAGCTTCAGGTTGAATTGTCCGACCAAAGGATACACGGTACGTAAGGTTCCGTTTGCGAAAGCGAGCTACACCGTAGGCAAAGTCCACTGTGACTTGGTATTGTTTCAACGTTTGCGCTCCCATGATCACATCAGCTACAGCCGTAAGGTTGGATAACACCAGCGCTGGAACCTGAACCCGTATAGGACCTAGCTTCAGCCTTAGCGAGGTCTGACCAAGGATAGGTGAACTACCCCCGTCTGCTAAGCTCACGTGCGAGAAGTTTGAATCCTTAACTCGAACATTGAGCTGTTGTACCAAAGATTGCGACACAAAGTTGTGGCTGGCACCCGTATCCAACAGGACCGTTACCTTCTTGCCCGCAACTTCAGCAATCACTCTTGGTGTTTCATCGCCAGTTGCAGCACAGCGCGGGGACTCCCCAAAACTAGGCGCATCATACCAAACTGTAACACCAGTGGTAATCCCAGGCAGGAGTTGATCATCTCCTTGTAAACCAAAAGCACAGTACAACTGCGTTCCCACGGGGTATTTGTGAAGTGGAATCATCCCTTCCACTAAAGAAGCAGGCACCTGAACATCATCAGGAATCAAGATGCATGCGGCTGTAGTGGTTGGATGTAACTGCTTGCATGTACGATAATGCGTAAGATAGTGGCAAAGCTGTGGTGTGGGCACGTCAAGCCACACAGTATGTCCGCCGATGTCGGTATGGCAAAATGGACGACCCGAACAAGTGTAAACCTTACACATTGAGTCCCAACCGTGGTCTGCAGCATAGGCGTCCAAAGAAAACGTCCTGCCAATGCGCTGCTCAAGCGTTGCCACCTCAGTGGACTTTATTACGCGACCACTCAACACATCAACCATGACCGACGGGTCCCTAGGAGTTCGACGAGTTCGACGCTATGGGGGTGTTGGCGGAGGCTATGACGGTGCGGGCAGGGGCTACGGCGGTGCCGGTGGGGGCCATGCGGGTTACGGAGGTGCCGGACGGGGTGGAGAGTTCGGGGGACGCGGTGCGGGGCGCGGAGGTTTCCGTGGTGGTGGTCGTGGTGGCCGTGGTGGTCGTGGGGGCGGGCGCTCTCAGGGGCCGTACAAGCGGAATTACGATGATGAGCCGGCCGAGAAGGTGGGGCCCGGAGGGATGCAGATCCCGAAGGGCGTGCTGAAGCGCAGGCGCCGTGACCAGTGCTGCTGGTGGTGCAATAGCGATCAGCATTGGTCGGATGACTGCCCGCTATGGACGGTGCACGGTGGGGGCCCGGGAGGATCGGGGCCTGGTGCGGGCAAGCCGGGAGGCTCGGGTGCCGGTGGCGCTGCAATGAACGCCTAGGAAAATACCCTAGGAGAATGTGCAGTTCGACGAACCCCACATCACTCCTTGGTGATGTGGGGTTCGTCGAACTGGTTCGTCAACCACTTCCTATTTTCATGTTTCCTGTCCGCCCACAAACAACAATATGAGCGTCACCACGATGTGGTGACGCTCGGTCAGCTTGTTGCTGACCGAGCGTCAAGGTTTGCCTCCTGGCGCACCTGTAAAGGAACACAGGAACGCTAGGCTAGGGATTAGATACTCAACAACAGCTGCTCCCTTTCACCCGTCTTTGCTGGGTACGACGACAGCTGGTCGCTTTTGCCCGTCAAACCCTCTGCATGATTACAGCTGCTCGCTTAATCCGTATGTTGCTCTGCATGCTTGCTGACTTCCGGTGTTTCTGTATATGATAACCACACTGCTTTCCATTCCCTTGTTCCGTGCAGCTGGCCCAGCGGGGCGACGACCCGGATGTGGAAGGCCCGCCGGACGAGCACGATGGTTCAGAGCTGCTCCCCATCGGTTTGAACACGGTGCCCGAGGACGGTATGGACGCCGTTGCAGCTGCAGCTGCGCAAGCGGCAGATGCACTCCCGGACGTGGACGCTATGGCTGGTTTCGACATGACTAAACCGGAGGGCAGGTACGCGTACGACGCTGTAACCCGCTGTAGTGACGTGCACCTTCCAAATGGCCATGGTGCGGACGCGGTGTCCTTTGTTCGGCGAGCCACCCCAGAAGACGGCCCCATGCTGCGCGCCGCCGAACAGCGCCTCAAACAGTTTGTGCTGAGCGATGCTGAAGTAGCTCCTGCAGCAAACAGCGACAGCCACCAACGGCGGCACGTTGCCGGCGGCCATCATGGCGACCCCGTCCGTGCGTGGGTCACCACAATCGATTCCATCACCGGAGCCAGCACGGACATTCACCTGCGCCCTGGAACCGCGCCGCCGTACGTACACATGGCGACGCCGCCTACACCCGAGCAGACGATCCAGCTCTTCACGCTGTCAGCAGAACAGGGCGTAGCGTTCTTGCTTATCCACCGCGCATTCATGGCTGACATCCAGCACCAACCGCAGCCGCCGCTGCACCTCATGGTGGTGGGCGGTCCGGGTACTGGCAAGAGCCAGACCATTAAGGCCGCTCTGTGGCACACCTTCCAGCACGGGCACCGCGATTGGCTAGCCACAACCGCTTACACCTGGTGCGCGGTGATCACGGTCAACACTCCCTACCACCGGGGGCTGTCGACCAGCACCATGTTCCAATTGGGATGGGGCCGAGGTCGTCAGCAACAATCCTCACGCGCTGGCGAACAGGTGCGCACACCGTGCTGACTAGAGGTAGTGTACTCCGACCGCATGCCCTCCGCTTTAAACCCAGCTTTGCGTGCCCTCGTTTCCCTTTGCCCCTCCCTCCTTTTCGCACCTCCTCGTGTTTCCAATTCCCTCTCACGCTCATCTTCTCCCTCTTGTCCGCTCTGTCCCTCCTGTCCTGCTATTTCCCCCCTCCCTGATTCTACGGCCCTCCCTTTTTTCGTTTCTGTTTCATTTCCCCGTAGCTCGATTCCGAGGAAACGTATACGTAGTATACGGTTCCGGAGGAGCGAAGCGAAGGGATGCATACCCCGTTCCCGTCACGCTCAACGGGATCCTTTCAGCGCTCTTGTTCACGGCTCGGCCTTCACTTTGAACCGTCCAGCGTGGCGCGCTTTTGCTGTCACGCTCTTTGATACGGAATCTTACCAGATTTTCAACGGCCGGCCAACTCTTCGTGCGTCGCTCGTGTCGTTGCTTGTGAAGTTTGTTCGAGTTTGTGAAGTCTACTACGGCTATATTGCGTAGCCAGCGTGGCTTCACCGCGCTTCGATTTCGCGAGGAAAACCACGCCGCTTCACAACCCACCTACGAAGATGTTTTAGATAGACGTCTAAATAAGCGTATAAGAAAGCGCGTAAAACCAATTTATAACGGTGCACAAGCCACGCCACGTGCGGCGAGGCTAACGAAAGTACTTCCTTGCCTGGAAAGTAGTCCTAGCAGAGCCTTTGGCTTGCTGCTGCTGTTTTTTGTTTCGTTGTTTGGTATAGAGCTACCGCTTTCCGAGCTGGGCACCATGGGAAAGGATGATCAAGGTGTGTGTGGCGAGCGCATGACGTTCGGTTATATTCTGGCGCTGTACCAGCCTTTCCCTTGGGCGTGTCGCAGGCGCGGGTGACCCGCTCGACAACGTGCTCTACTGCAGCGGCTTACGTCGGCTCAGCGTGTGGCCGTGGTTCAAAGCAGTTGCCAGCTTGTTGCTGACCGAGCGTCAAGGTTTGCCTCCTGGCGCACCTGTAAAGGAACACAGGAACGCTAGGCTAGGGATTAGATACTCAACAACAGCTGCTCCCTTTCACCCGTCTTTGCTGGGTACGACGACAGCTGGTCGCTTTTGCCCGTCAAACCCTCTGCATGATTACAGCTGCTCGCTTAATCCGTATGTTGCTCTGCATGCTTGCTGACTTCCGGTGTTTCTGTATATGATAACCACACTGCTTTCCATTCCCTTGTTCCGTGCAGCTGGCCCAGCGGGGCGACGACCCGGATGTGGAAGGCCCGCCGGACGAGCACGATGGTTCAGAGCTGCTCCCCATCGGTTTGAACACGGTGCCCGAGGACGGTATGGACGCCGTTGCAGCTGCAGCTGCGCAAGCGGCAGATGCACTCCCGGACGTGGACGCTATGGCTGGTTTCGACATGACTAAACCGGAGGGCAGGTACGCGTACGACGCTGTAACCCGCTGTAGTGACGTGCACCTTCCAAATGGCCATGGTGCGGACGCGGTGTCCTTTGTTCGGCGAGCCACCCCAGAAGACGGCCCCATGCTGCGCGCCGCCGAACAGCGCCTCAAACAGTTTGTGCTGAGCGATGCTGAAGTAGCTCCTGCAGCAAACAGCGACAGCCACCAACGGCGGCACGTTGCCGGCGGCCATCATGGCGACCCCGTCCGTGCGTGGGTCACCACAATCGATTCCATCACCGGAGCCAGCACGGACATTCACCTGCGCCCTGGAACCGCGCCGCCGTACGTACACATGGCGACGCCGCCTACACCCGAGCAGACGATCCAGCTCTTCACGCTGTCAGCAGAACAGGGCGTAGCGTTCTTGCTTATCCACCGCGCATTCATGGCTGACATCCAGCACCAACCGCAGCCGCCGCTGCACCTCATGGTGGTGGGCGGTCCGGGTACTGGCAAGAGCCAGACCATTAAGGCCGCTCTGTGGCACACCTTCCAGCACGGGCACCGCGATTGGCTAGCCACAACCGCTTACACCTGGTGCGCGGTGATCACGGTCAACACTCCCTACCACCGGGGGCTGTCGACCAGCACCATGTTCCAATTGGGATGGGGCCGAGGTCGTCAGCAACAATCCTCACGCGCTGGCGAACAGGTGCGCACACCGTGCTGACTAGAGGTAGTGTACTCCGACCGCATGCCCTCCGCTTTAAACCCAGCTTTGCGTGCCCTCGTTTCCCTTTGCCCCTCCCTCCTTTTCGCACCTCCTCGTGTTTCCAATTCCCTCTCACGCTCATCTTCTCCCTCTTGTCCGCTCTGTCCCTCCTGTCCTGCTATTTCCCCCCTCCCTGATTCTACGGCCCTCCCTCCTGATCCCTTCCAATGATTAGGTACGAAAGAATGTTCCCGGAGGTGCCGTATCCTTCGATGAGCTTAGCTTCCTAAGCCTGCAGCACCTAGGGCAGATCAACGCATCGGCCAGCAGGTGAGCGCTAATCTGGCTGATTACTCCTATCTGGCGCTATACCCTCCCTCTCCCTACTTATCTTCCTGCCTATCAATACGTCTCCAATCCGTAGTTACACCTTTAAATCTAGTCTTGGTGCTTGACCGCCCGCTAAACGTGCTTTCGCAGGCACCTCCAGCGACCTCCCCACCTGTCCCGGAGTGGTGCCGGCTACAGCATGCTTGCTGGTCGGCACGTCATCATGTCCGGCGACATCCTTCAGCACAGGCCGCCCAACGGCAGGCCACTTTACACGTTTGCAGAGGGCCTGGAGAAGGACCGCAACTACCTCGCTCGGCTTCGAAGCGGCGACACCACAGCCCCACGCGGAATCCCGCCGCTGCCAAAACAGAAGAAGCCCAGGCCGCCCACCCGTGAAGAAGAGGCTGGCCTGGACTTCTACCGCGCCATCGCTTTCATTATACTGCTCTCCAAGCAGCAACGCCAGGACGACACGCCAAGCGGCCGCCTGCTAACACGGCTAGCAAGTGTATTCAGCGGCGACCAGGATGTCAACCGGAGAACGATCGAAGAGCTCGTCCGCCAGTTGAATAGCCGCGTCGTACCCGACCTGGCTGCTCTCGGTTCCAGCGACCCACGGGTCGTCCTGCAGCGAAACCAACCCCGGCACGGCCTCAACATCCGTCTCATCAAGCTGCAAGCAGCACACCAGGGGAGGCGGCTGGTCGTGTGGAAGGCGCGTCACGCTCGTACGGGGCACAACGCACTCCCGCTCAATGAAGCAGGCCAGCGCGCCGCTTCTATGGCGCCTGACGAGGGCTATGAACAGTTCACGCCTGACACCTGGTACTTCGAGGGCGCCAAATTCCTCGTCCTGGACAATAATGGCCCTGATGCCGGCAGTTGCCACAACAACACTGTGGTGACGTGCGGCCTGTTGACGGACAAGGAGGAGCCAGATGACACGGGAGAGGGACCTTACAGGCGCCTGCAGTTCGTCCCCCGTGCGGTATTCGTACGGCCCGCTGCCGGGAACACCGACCTCTCCGTCCTTCGCGGCCTGCTTGACTACGACGAGACTCGTGCCGCCTTTGTGGTTACCCCACGGTGGAGCGGCGCCCAAAAGGTGGTATTCCCTGACCGTACGGTTGTCAGCGATGGTGAGCCCGCTGTCAACTCGGCCAGCCTCAAGCGCTTTAACATACCCCTAGGCGACGCGTACGCAGTGGAGGAGTTTGGGGGTGGGGAGGCTAGGGGGTGGGAGGGTGAATAGGGCTGCGTCATTCGGCGCTGTGGGGCTGGGCTGGGCGCATGCAAGCCCTGCAGCTGTTGCGGCGGCTACTGAAGATTGCTAGGTACTGGATGGCGGTCAATGATGCCTGGCGGCTCGCAAAACACCGCATGCATCTTGCATGCCTCACTTGCTAGGGCTTGCTGTAAATCTCCCTCGGTCGGGCTTGCGCGTGCTGCAGCTCTTGCGATGACTACTGAAGGTTGCTAGGAACTGGATGGTGCTCAATGATGCCTAGCGGGTCGTAAAACACCGCATGCATCTCGCATGCCTCGCGTGCTAGGGCTTGCTATACCGTAGCTGTGTCTGATCATCGCGCACCAAGAAATTTAGGGATTATTTTTATATAACGCGCAGGGGTCTGAGCAATTATATTCCACTTCGCGCAGCCTAGGGAATATTATCCTCAGTACCTTCCAATTATGTGACGAACAACCAAAAGCGTAGCGGTGGAAGCAAAAGCTACAAGCTACGGGTGGACTTGGACGAGGGGAAACCCGGGGGAAGTGGAGAAAGTGCGAAACCCGTTGTTTTGGGGGTGGCACAGGAGGCCACGTAATTATTTTCCTTAACGCGCAGGCCCCGGACCAAATATTTTATTTTGCGCGTTAATGCACATGTTGCCAAATAATTATTTATTTTTGCGCGATGATCACGGGGAGGGACGGTAAGTTCCCCTCGGTCGGGCTTGCGCGTACTGCAACTGTTACGGTGACTACTGAAAGTTGCTAGGTGCTGGATGCTGGTCAATGACGCCTGGCGGCTCGTAAAACACCGCATGCATCTTATCGGTGTGGGTTGTCCGTGCCTCTCTTGCTAGAGCTTGCTATAAGTCCCCCTTAGACTTGCGGGTACTAGCCGCACTGACGGTGCTTATTACTGACGCCACTGACTGCAAACCTACACGCTTTAAGTACGCCTCGTAATCTATTTAGCGTCTTCTTTCCGATGCATGCCAAACAACCAATATGAACACGACATCCGACATAACCGTTTCTTACAACAAATCCTCCTCTGTTAACGCTCTGCTGACTGCAACACATACAAGCAACCGCGGGCTAGGCAGTAGGTACTACCCCCTTCTCAATCAGCGCCGTACGTATCCGTCGGGGCGCCCACTACAACCCCCGCACCAGTTCGCTAATAGCTACAAGGCGACCGGGTGCCCCGTGACTTCTTGCAGCAGTACGGTAACGGTAACGTCCACTAGACTATTGCCCAGGTACACCTCCCGCCGCTCCTCCCAGATGCGGGCCACCCACTGCTTGGTGCGCCGGCGTCGCGTCACGCCCCGGTACCTGGCGGCGCAGGCGGCGGCACCGGAAGCAGGGCTAGGGTGGGGTTAGTGATGCTGGAGATGGGGGATGGGAACGCGGGCCAAGGAAAGATGCAATGCTGGTGCTCATGTGGCTCGGCGCCACGCATCCTAGAACCGTCAGCCGGCAGCAGTCCTTTGCGTTGGAGACCTTAAGTGGCAAGGCAGCCTGCATGCAGGACCCTCCGCCACCCCACCACCCGCCCCTCGGCCCGCACTCCTCCCTCGCCAGCCCCCCTCGTCTAGTCTGCGTGTGGCCTCCCAGCTTTGCCCTTCTCCCTCCCCCCCTCACGCCCCTCAACAACAACCCCACCCCCACCGCCACCCGCCGCCGCACCCACACAAGCAACACGCCCGCTACCCACTTTGAGCTGGTGCCGATGGGCCCCCGCCGCGTCTTCGGGTCCAGAGTCATCAGCGTGGCGGCGCGGCGGGCGGCGCGGCCCATCAGCGCCGCCAGACCACGCATGAAGCGCTCGCACATCTCCTGTGTGGGTTGAAGTGGGAGGGAGGAGCGCAAGCAGCACACAGCAGGGGCAAGGAAAAGGGCAGCAAGGGGGTGGTCAGGGTCAGGGTCAGTCCCCCCACCCCAAGCTGTGCGAGTACCGGCAGGTGTTGGCCAGCAAGGACGCGACACGTAGGCTGTCGGCCGGTTTGGTGCCATTCTCACAGATAAGAACGGGGTACGGCAAGATCCTAGGCAAGGCTTAAACAGAGCATTACGCCATGCGTGAAAACCTCTCGATACCTCCTTGCACGACCCTCTGGCATGGAGGTGCTTATGGTGCATCAGTCGTCAGTCCTTGTCCTCGCGGCTATCACAACATCTGCAAGACGCTGAGACCCGAGAGGGGCAAGGGCACACCTTTTCAGAAAGGGCATACGTTTCTTGGTCTGGGGGCAACCAAAAATACGTGCTCGCCGCCGCAAGGGAGAACTTGGAGCCGGGGCGCTTTGCCAAGACACTGAGCGTGGCATGGTGCCAGTGTTTGCAAGCCTTTACGATCGCACAGTGCCAATCACAGGTCTACAAATGCTCTCATACATGGACTACAGAAAGAGCGCGTGGTCACCATGAGGTCCAGCATATCCTTTGGCATGATTACTCGGGCAGGCTACACATGCGTGCGGTGCCGTACGTGAACTGCATGCGTTGAATGGAACCAAGCAGCCAGCAGACCAGGATATCTTTCTGCGCCTGCAGGTCGTCCAGGTTCTGTCGCTCCTGCTGCAGCTGAGCAGCAACCGTGTGCGCCTCCTCCTGCGGAGTGCTGGTGGTGGGGGTGGCAGGGGAGACGGCGGCCGCAGCGTGGGGGGTACGGGTATTGTTGATGGTAGTGGTTAATTTCGCTGGGGGTGCAACACCGTTCACGTTCACGACTACAAGCCGGTATCAACCAATGCACCGATGAGAGCATGGGTTAAGCAGGTTACCAGGTTGCGAGCGGGCATGAACACATTAAAACACCTTACTAGCAACCAGGCATGTGGAATCATCTACCGGTACCTTGAGGGCATCCGCCAGCGCCTGTGCGCCTTGGCCTCCGCCTCCGTCCTTGCCAGCATGGCATCAAAGCTCGCCTTGTCCTCAGCCTTGTCGCGCAGGAGCTTGTCGATCTGGGCCTTGGAGGCGTAGGTGGTTTGCTGCAGGTGCGTGGGTGGGGGGGTTTGCCCATAGGTGGAAAGGATGTACGGCAGCGTGATGCGAGTCTGGTAATCATGGCATGGTGCACGCAGGGTGAACACAAGGGCGCTCCAAGGCCGCCGTGGTGTAGCTCCAGGCGGAATCCCACTTGCATGCCACGCCATCTACAATCTACGCCATGTACAATATAATAACACGGCCGGGTACTCCGCACCGCCCTCCGCACAGCAGCCGCCCTCATCACCCTCCTTGTCGTCTGCCAGGCACGAGCGCGGGGTGCAAGGCGCCCCAAACACATCACTGCCAGGGGGCCCCACGCTACACAGCGCAGCAACACCCGCCTCCTCAGCCGCTACCGCCGCCGCCGGCGCTGCGTGAAAGCCGAAACCTGGACTGTGCCCCTCCACCTCCTCCTCCTCTCCTTCCTGCACCTGCTCCCCTCCCCACGTGAAACCGCCCGGGAAGCTGCTACGCCGGCTGCCGCTGTGGCGGCCGGAGGGAGCGGAGGGGTGCACGGCGGGGCTGGGTTGCTCGGGACTGTCGTCCAGCAGGGACCTGAGGTCCTGCGGGTTGGAAGGCGAATGAGGGGTAGGCGTTACGGGCGTGACGGGACAGCAAGGATAGCGACGAGGGCTGCGGGTGCGCAGGGAGGGATGGGGCTTGCAGGGAATGCAAGGAACAGGCTGTAAGACAGGCACTGCACCACCCATGGCGAGGATGCACCTGTTCCTGCGGTGCAATCTTTAATCCTTTACACCCTGGGGTGCATCAAGTACCCAGGGCTCCCTGCGTGTCCTGCTGCTGAACCCCTCCGCACCTGAGCTCCCCAGTGTATTTGCCCGAGTTGAGCACTGTGGGTCAGTTCTGAATGGTGACCTTGCTCTGCTCGCTGCCCATCGTCACCGCCGCCACCAGCGGCCCGCACACCCCCTCAAACGCCACACCTAGCGGCGATCCGTTGCGGGCAAAGTGGATAACACCTGCGGCCAAGTTAACCGACACCGTCATCACGTGTTCACGTCTCTGTTCTTAAAGGCAAGTGTGAACTCCTGCTCGCGCCCGTCGAAGCGCTCGTCGCCATTGGAGTGAAGGGCCCAGCCGCAGCCAGAAGCCCCCACACAGCGCACCGGGTCCATGTGCGGCGGCACGACTCCGACCAGACGCCATCAGGGCCCAGCGTGTCTAGGACCACATGGAAGTCATGGGTGCCCGAACCGCTGTACTGGGTCGTGCCACGGACGGTTGACGGACAGTTGGAGGTTGACTTGGTGGCGGTTAGAGCTCAATGTCGGGACCGCGGTGTTGCGTGTCCCACTCCATGTCCGCCAGGTGGCGCGGGAAGCGGTTGAGCAGCAGGCTGTAGCTGCCCAGCAGTGTGATCTGGTCGCCCTCACTGTCACAGGACACGAAGGGGTATAACCGACCACGGATGCCGCGCACACGGTCTTGCTACACGCCATTACAGAAGAAGACGATCTATCTCACCCTGTGGCAAGACGCAGCAGACATTTTTGTTGACACACACATAGCCGGGTGCTGGCAACACCCTGACCTACTCGTGGTGCCGTGTCGAGAGCCCTCTTGACTTGGGCTTGCTCAATACGTGCCCTGCTTCCAACTAACCCAGATGCCACCCATGCAAGCACCTGATTGGCATCCAGCACGCAGCCCACGGTGTCGCCCTTCTGGAATTTCGCGGCATTGGTCGCCACACAGCGGCCGCTCACGCAAATAACACCGTGGGACAGGTAGTACGTGCGGTCGCGGAGGTCCTGCGGGAGGGTAGCTTGTCAAGTTTTGTCAACATCTTAACAACTGTTGGGCCTGCCAAGCGACCGGTGAACCGCACTCCTAATGGGAGTTGTAATGTCGCCTGCTATTAACCTTGCTCACCTGAGGGTCCTGGTCCAGGGGCATGCAACCACGGCAGACGCCAATGAAGATGGAGTTTGGGTCTGACAGGTTATGGACAGGTTATTGACACACAGGTGCACTCCCGAAATGAAGCCTGGAGGGCGTACCAAGGAAACACCGTCGGTTGCATAATGGAAGTCGAAACTGCCTGACCCAAATGGGTGCGCTCCCAATACTCATTGAAATAATCATGGTTCAAAACAATAATGAACTTGTGATTGTTACATGGTTGTTTGTATCAAGCGTGCGACTTGTAGGAGCTTAGTAAAGTAATGAGCCTGTTCAGTTGAAGCTACTTCGCAAAACGGTGTAAAATGTGATGATACGTATGGACATATTGTCGCAAATTTATAGAATTTGAAGAGTGCTTCTGGACAACGAATAAGGCTGTCGCGCCCATTCATGGAGCAGTCAGCGCGATGTCAATTTTCCAGCACCCAATCCTTGTAGGAAAAGCATACCTTTCTCTTTGAAGCTTTTTATAATAAAATACTCGGTCTGAGCTTCATACCAATATACTTATACACTGCAATGGGGGATGCGGGGCTCGAGCATCGTTTTCTGGTACGCGGTTCCCTATCTTTCGTTCCTATGCTAAGGATTTTCATGGATAGCTTGTAGGTTGACAACTCTGTTTTGTCTGTGCGCTTAGGTGCATCGCTCGGAAGGGGAATCGTCCTCGTCCTGCGTGAGCATTAACAAGGAGGCAACGCAACTCGTCCTCTCGGTAAGGATTGGCACGGTCAAGATCCCTAGCGCTCAATTTGACCGCTTGCACTGATACCGCAGGGGAACGGGACACTTCCGGAAATCCTCTCTGAGTGCGACGGAGTGATTGGCCCGGATCATGCCGCAGAGGCCATTTACGAATTTGTTGAGCCCGTTGTCTCTCATGTGTGCAGGGTGAGCAGCGTGAGAGTATCCTTGGTCTGTCCCCTTAGTATCCTTGGTCTGTCCCCCAAATTATTACTTCATGCCTTCATCATGCGCGCAGGGCAACAACGGGACCATAATTGTGAATGGCCAGACTAGCCGTGGCGAGTCGCACCCGATGTATGGTAGGTACATGCTTTCGGTAGCCGATGTTTTTGAGTTACTCCTGATAGCCCCTTCTGATTATATTGTAGCCATCGCTGGCACCGCTTTTGGGCTCATTTGTAAGCTCCGCGGAGGCATCATGAAGAAGCCAGGGAAGAAAATGCAGGTGAGGAGATAGCATAACTCTTCAGGAAAAGACAGTATGTATGGAGATACCGCGCTACGTCAGCACCATGCCTGATTCTTCGCTAACTGCCGTTAGCGTGCACTTCGTGCAGGTATCGGTGGTCTCCCGCGCTGAGGTTCGAGAGGAGAACGAGCTGCTCAGCGAGTTCGAAGAACACCTAGCCAGGCAAGCGACAGGAGAGGGCCGTTGGCAGTTTACAGAAACCAGCAGCGCAACTTGTGCTCACCCCTCATTGCCGTGACCCGCACTGCTGCTGCTTGGCCCACATGCTCCTTCCTTTCGTTGGTTGTTGTCTGCCGGCGCTTTTACTGCCATCCGTAGTGCCCGCGCTATTGAACTTGCCTTTCCATTACTTGCCCAACCCACTGTGTCCACACACCCCCCCGACTGCATGAGTAAGGACTGCTAACCCTCCCATGTTTTGTGGCTCCCTGCCAACAATACCCATTGTTTTGCCCCAACATTGTGGTTTTTTTTCTACCCCCGACTGCATGAGTCGGGATATGGGATTGGGACTCGTTGTTTCACTTATTAAATCCCCCCCCCCCCGACATACCCTTCTGCAGTTCCTCGGGGCGCCACTCCATCTTTACCATCACCATTGAGCTCACCACCGTGGGCCCGGACGGCAAGGTGCGTTGTAGGGGGTTCAGGGGTTTCGGGGTTCCATGCGAAGCGCATTCGATCATACCGGTATGGTCGCCGTGCTTGCTATCAAGGTATGCTGCTGCTACCGGTAGGTGCTGCAATGCAGCACCCGTGGGGGGGGGGGGGAGATGCGACCCGGTCCCCCACCCGAAACCTGGGTTAACAAATAAAGGGTGCCCATGTCTAGCATGCGGTTTGAGTTGGGTGGGCCTAGAAGGAGATGATGGACTTGCATTGTGCGTCAGCACGGTGACGGATTCCCCACACGGTATGCACGTGCTTGAATCGCTGCTGATGACCCACATGCCCGGCGGCTGCATGCAGGAGCGCAAGACGCTGTCCACCGGGAAGCTCAACCTGGTGAACCTGCCCAACAGCGACCGCGCTGCAGACAACCAGTAAGTAGATGACCATGGTGGCCTACCTCCTCTGCCGTTGGTGACTCTGACGGCGTCCTAAGGATGTTCGGGCCCTGGGCGTACAGGGAGCGATCTATCCTGGGCAACGTCCTTGCGGCGTTGTACGGCGGCAACACCGGTGGCGGCAAGGTCGGCACCACGCACGTGCCATTCCGTGATTCTGATCTAACTGAAAAGCTGAAGGTGCGCAATGGGGCTTAGGGAGGCCGGGATAGATGTTGGCTTGGGGAAGGGCGCGCAGTAGCCGCTCATAGAGCGAGTGGAGAGAAGAAAATCGGATTCTTTGCATGGGCATACCGGTACTGGCTATCTTTCCTTCAACCACATCGGATTCAAGCTGGTGCTAACCTGCCTGTGTACCCTCCCTATGCCCTCAATAGGACTCCCTGGTCGGCAACAGCATGGTGGTGACGATTGCCTGCGTCAGCCAGTCGGAGGCGGACTACAAGGAGACGCGGAAGACGCTCGACTTCATCGACAAGTTCCGCCCAGTGAAGAAGAAGATAATGGCGCAGGTTGGTATAGGCTCTGGGGTCTGGGCATGGGTACGGGCTGAGCTTGTGGGCGTACGCGGCATGCCGGGTTGGGAACAGGGCGAACTGCACGCAACGGGTATTACATACGGCAGGAGGGTGGCTCCAACGGCAGCTACCACCACCGTACAGCGCCCTGTATGCGCAAAATTGACTTTGGCGCCCATGCAACCCCACAGGTAAAGACCTCGTCCTCGCGCGCCGCCGGCATGGGGGCGCGGCAGCAGGCCCAGAGCAGCCGGGCGGAGCATGAGCAGCAAGTACATACGATCATGGAGGTAAGTAGGTAGACCGTGCAGTTGCGTACAGCCGCGGTAGAGCACGATGCAACGGTGTTGCTGAGGCTTGCATGGGCATTTTGCGGCATACCCAGCGCTGTAGCTTACGGTAGCGTTGGTAAGCGCGTCTTAATATTGTCTACAACCTTGTCTTAATGAGCGCTGCTGTGTTTGGTGGATGACGATGATGCATGGTGCCGGTTATTAGGACTGCTGCCGCCATAAGTAAGCTCCCTCGCAACAGTAGCTGCCTGACGGCTGCCCGCGATGCACCTTCCTTTCCTACCCCACCTTCCTTTCCTACCTCCACCTAACACTCCTCCCTTACATGCTATCCAGGAAGCCTTGGCGCGGGTCAAGGATGAGCGGGACCAGGTGAACGAGGAAGGGGTGGTGAAGCTGCTGCGTTACCGGTTGTAATGAAACCAGCTTTGTTACCGGTGGTAATGTTACTAGGGGTTTGGGGTAGAGTACTGTCACGGTGTTTACGTATCCATGGAAGCGTGTGTGTTGGGTTAGGGCTCGTATGCTGCTGCTGGTGTCGGCGTGTAAACCAGTTGAGAGTGGCTTCCTCATGTTGCACCATTACGAAGGCGACCGGAGCGGCCGGCAGCGGCGATGCAGCCATGCGCCCTCCGCCTGTGTGCTCGCAGGCTCGGCCTGACAAGGTGGCGGCGGTGAAGGCGCAGATGGCGGACCCTGCACCTGCGTCCCAGGTAGCTGTTGAGGAGCTACCGGTACCGCAATGTAAGTCACCAAGGACCGCGTGGTTAAGCTCTAGAAGTTAGTTCATTGCTTGGGCCCATTCTAAGCCAGTGACTGCGGCTCATCAACCCTCTTTCAGGTCCATCCCGAGCTGCTGCGGGCGGCGGCGGTGTGGCCGGCAGCAGCCATGCAGCCGTGCGCCCTTCGCCTGTGCGCTCGCAGGCTCGGCCTGACAAGGTGGCGGCGGTGGAGGCGCAGATGGCCCCCCGGCCACTTGCGTGCGCCCCCCCAGCAGCTGTTGAGGAGCTGCCGCAACGTAAGTCACCAAGGACCGCGTGGTTAAGCTCTAGAAGTAAGTTCAATGCTTGGGCCCATTCTAAGCCAGTGACTACGGCTCATCAACCCTCTTCCAGGTCCATCCCGAGCTGCTGCGGGCGGTGGTGGAGCAGGCGGCAGCGGCGATGCAGCCGTGCGCCTTCCGCCTGTGCGCTCGCGGGCTCAGCCGGACAAGGTGGCGGTGGGGAAGGCGCGGCGTGCGGCACCTGCACCTGCGTCCCAGGTAGCTGTTGAGGAGCTACCGGTACCGCAATGTAAGTCACCAAGGACCGCGTGGTTAAGCTCTAGAAGTTAGTTCATTGCTTGGGCCCATTCTAAGCCAGTGACTGCGGCTCATCAACCCTCTTTCAGGTCCATCCCGAGCTGCTGCGGGCGGCGGCGGTGTGGCCGGCAGCAGCCATGCAGCCGTGCGCCCTTCGCCTGTGCGCTCGCAGGCTCGGCCTGACAAGGTGGCGGCGGTGGAGGCGCAGATGGCCCCCCGGCCACTTGCGTGCGCCCCCCCAGCAGCTGTTGAGGAGCTGCCGCAACGTAAGTCACCAAGGACCGCGTGGTTAAGCTCTAGAAGTAAGTTCAATGCTTGGGCCCATTCTAAGCCAGTGACTACGGCTCATCAACCCTCTTCCAGGTCCATCCCGAGCTGCTGCGGGCGGTGGTGGAGCAGGCGGCAGCGGCGATGCAGCCGTGCGCCTTCCGCCTGTGCGCTCGCGGGCTCAGCCGGACAAGGTGGCGGTGGGGAAGGCGCGGCGTGCGGCACCTGCACCTGCGTCCCAGGTAGCTGTTGAGGAGCTACCCCCACGTAAGTGTTACTGAAGCGCATGACTCCGTGCCCTATGCGCGTTCATGCGTAAGCAAGGACCTCGAGCTTGGGTGAAGCCGTTAGTTCATGCCGAGGGCCGATTTTACCCAGGATTACGGCTTACCATGCCCGTTGCCCCTTTTAAACCCCGCCTCCCAGATTCATCCCGAGCTGCTGCGGGTGGCGGTGGAGAGGAATCAGCCAGCAGCGGCCCTGATATCGAATGGAGCGAGGTAAGCGAGCATGCACAAAACTGCATTGCTTCTTCGTATCTTCTTACCGGTTGTACCACACCCTACAGATCGGGAGGGAGGGGAAGGGGGCGAACATAGAGCTTGGCAACGGTACCAAGGTGAACGTGCCGAAGCACCTACTGCCCGACAGCTTAAAGGACAAG